ATATGCAATTTATAAATGTTACGTTAAGAAGATTATTAATGGTTCTGTGTATTACCCACATACTTTGTTTTTTTTCAAATTCAAGTCATTGCTTAGATTATTTTTAAGATATGAATATGTAGCAAAGAAAATAACACTAAGGTGGAAGAAATGTTAAATATATTTTAATGTTAGCCTTTGTCATGTTTCACTCAATCTTTGAGTTACTAATGTAAATATGTATTGAAATAATGGAAATAAAAACCTAGCTTGATGATAAGAGAAACAATGCATGACTCAAACGAGTATTTAATGGTAGATATACATAATTTTTATATTCTCCTTATTTCTCCATTTCCAAACCAGGGTATAACGCTCCTTAAATTTGGTATTGTTGTGCGGGTATCACGCATGCATCGCGTTCAGTACGGATATACATGTAAATCACTACGTGGCTGCAATGCGGCTCGTAGAGTTGTATGAAGGCGCGGGGGAAATGTCTCTCAAATCACGCTGTTTATTAATGTGCAACATTTGAACATGGGAACAAGTCAATCTTTATACTGTTATTGTACTTTTTGAAACTATGAAAACAAAACCACGGCAAACAATTAACTAAATTGATTGAAAAAGAGGCTTGGCCAAAATTACACGGAGATATGCGTACTGTGGCAGACAGTGTTATTACTTGCATTCGGAGTATAAGGTCACTTCGCGTGTTGCGAATCTGGAAGCAATAAGAACATATAGTTGTGATGACCAAAATGTACGAAAAACATCAAGAGACTTAACAAGAATATGTTTAAGCGTATCCACTTAAATTTGTCCTAAACGTTATTGTAGCATTAACAAATTTTGCCTACCTTAAAAATTGGGTCCTCGTCTTTCGTAATGGCGCTTGTAGCATGCATGTATATTGGCAGATTATAATGATGTCATAGAGTTATTATGGGATATGCCGTCAAAATTGTCATGATTATGCGTTCAAAGTCTGTAAGACCGCATTGTGGAAGTTCAACTGCTATTCTGGAGCAGACGAAAAACATGTCGATTAAAACCGGTAACAGTGAACCGAAAATCTCAAGGATTTTGATTTCCACTGCTGTAATTATTTGTTTTCGTATCCGGACACCCACCCCCTGGACATCCACCCCGATTTACCAACCCCAGCCATCTACCCCTTAGGGCAACCACCCTCTAGTACGACTACCCCCCAGCACAACTACCCCGTGGACAACTACCCCCAGACAATTACCCCCATGACAACTACCACGGACAACTACCCCCGAAAAACTACCCCAGACAACTATATGATAGTTGTCTGGGGGTAGTTGTCTGGGGGGGGGGGGGGGGGCGTTGTCCGGGGGTGGTTGTCCCGGGGCGTAATTGTCCTAGGTGATTGCCGTAGGTGTCCTATAACCATTATTTTTAAAACCGTGACGGAGTATATTCCAAATTTAAACATTAAAACAAAATAATTATAAGGTTGGGCCCAGATATTAACATAAACCAGGGGCGACGATTTTTTGCCATGACCACGGAGACAAAATGCGAGGGAAAATTTGTATTCCGTTGGTACCACCAGTGGCGAAATGAGCAAAAACTTTTTTTTTTTGAGGGGGTAGAACAAAAATCCCAATCACCACCAGCCCCGCCGAACATTTTTCAAAGTCGGGGGGGGGGGGGGGGCTAAAGTATTCATGATCAGGTATAGCCTTTAGAAAAGGCCTCATGTCTGATAGACGTCGATCGACTAATGGCGAAAACCCAAGTGAATGTCAGAGCGAGTGGCGTCAGCCAAGAGGCCTTTAGTAATCTAGTTTGGATTTCTTATGTTAATCCTTGTTTCCGACTGGGGTTATCTACCGAAATTATAGCGTCCAATCGGAGAACGTATCATCGCCTGGCGTCGGCATATACTATCCATCGCGTTCACATTAGGCTCTGAACATTGAACGAAACTGGCTGGACCGGTTCATTTTAAAAAAAGGGAAAGTCCAATTATTTCACTTACAATTGTTAGCTCAAGTCATCAAATGTTTCCTATTTTATTGTAATTTTGCATGTAAAATAGAATTAATGTTTCTTACTTACTTTCTTTCTATTTCTTTTTAACATACTTTTTAAAAGCAACATTTGTAAATCGCTGGTATCGAATTAGAAATGAACCACGTTCGAATTTTAGGAGGGGGGGGGGGGAGTTTGGGGAATTTTGCAAGCGAGCGAAACTAGCGAGCCAAAAAAGGAAGACATTTCTTTAATATATGGTAACAAATTATTTTGTAATCAAGACACAAGACAGGATCGATATATAATGATGTATGCGGGCCCCTCACCACCGAAAATACATGAATAAAGAAATATTCATATATTCAGTCACCTAGATGCACTAATATGCGGAGTTTCGGACAATTCCCTGCCTGTAATCACCCTGTTCCTAAATGCTGCGAGCGAGGAAGAAAAAAATGCTTTCTTTAAAATACCATTTCTACATGATATTATTACATACTCCAAGGGTTTCAAAGTTTTGGTTTTCCACGATTTTGTTGTCTCAAAAAGAATTGCCGATATAGGCCTAACTATAAGTGATATTGCATACCTGTTGAAAAGCGTGCCAATAGGGTTTTGAAATTGAAGGTGCGTTGAATTTTTGACGGTGTTGAATATATATATCTTTGTTAATATGCAAATGTATTGGATGTACTTAGAGTTTTCCACTTAAAAGCATATATGAGGTGTCGTAGTCGAGTGGTTAAGCACTTGACTTGAAATTGAAAAGTCGTTGGTTCGAGTCCCGGCACACGGCACTTATTTCCTTTGGCAAGGCACTAATCTACATTTGCCACTCCATACCCAGGAGACAAATGGCGACTTGAAAAACTTTGTGTGAATAGTAATTGACATATTCCCTCCCAGTGACCATATGGTAGGAATACTCCCCAGGGTGGAGATGTTGCACATTGTGTGTGAATGAGTCCGGTGACAGTAGTAATAATATATGTAGAGCGTTTATAGATGGTATTTCGTATTAAGCGCTATATTCATCGATATCAGTATAGGTATCTATATGATTTTAAGTAGAATAGCAGCTGAAATAAACCGAAAGGAAACAATCTTTAAAGCTACTTGTTCCCTCTATACATCCAGTATTAAATGCCATTGATTCCCATGGTCCCCTTGTTCTAATGTTAATTGAGAGCTGATTAAATGAGATAACCACCTGGCAGTGACCATGAAGAGAGGTCTAATCCCTCCTGGCCAAACTAGTGCAGGTAGGCTTTAATACAAAGAGGAGTTTGGGTCATGCGTTTTCATTGCGAGAGAGACCGTGTGTAAAATGTGAGTTTATACTCATAAGTTTTGGAATCAGCAAAAAATGATTAACCAAAATTAAAAGCCGAGTCTTGCTGAAAGTCATATGCGCTGAACACAGAGATGTGTATAATTATGCGGCTAAACAAATACGAGGCTTCACAAACACGCGGCTTAATGGCATCGTTGAGTGTTTAATCTGACATGAACGGCCCTACGTGTTATCAGTGTCTGTGATATGGTGTAACATTGAAGTCCTACAAAATGATAAAGAAGTGCCTCAAAAAAGTAAAAAGCTTTGGGTGACCGGTTTAACCATACTCATTTCCCATCATAGACTGTATTGTTATGAAAACCGTTAGGAAAACGTAAAATTTGATTTCGATTTCCAATCATAAATATTTTGATAATCAGACAGGCGATCGGCTTGTAAAAATCATGGGGTTCTTGAATGACCTGAAGGTTTGTAATTATCATTGCACCATGAGGTAAATCCAGGATTTTTTTTCAGAATCTGAGACGAAGTTACCGAATCCCTTAAAAGGCAAGGTCTCTAACTTTTAGCCGTTACTTGTCATATTTCAAAAATGAGGGCATTTGAAGAGCCATCCTTTTCAAGAGAGTTGACATTTCTTCTTCTGCTAAGATACTCTTTGTTTTCTATGATGCACTTCCACACGAAGATAAAAGATAATTGAAGTGCTCACAAATTATTTTCACCTTTCCCAGAACTCAACATCGCCTTTAAAGCATGGACACAATTCTTTCCCATACAACATGCAGCCTTTCCACACTTTAGCACGCACTTGAACAGACAAATCGTTGTCTCTGACTTTGCTTCATGTTTAATCATTCCAATAACAATTACAAATTACATTTTGTTCACATACATGTGCCATTTTAGCCAATTAACTCAAAGATTGGATTCTGAAGAATGATTTAAAATATCAAGCCTGGGAAAAAGTCTGCTAAAGACAACCTACACGTGTGACGTAAAAAAATAATAGACATACCAGTATAGATATGAATCAGACATTTTTACTTCATAGAAAAGCTAAAGTTAGTATAAAGACCCAATTGATCCATTCCTTTATGGTCTACACATAGCCCGTCTACTATCCACACTGTCTAACAATCATTTCAACTACTTATCATTTGTTCTATTGACCATTTAGGCTAATATTCATATGGTATAATTTCCGATTGGTCTAATCTCTAATAATTCTGCTTCGCATTTGGTCTAATTGCCAGTCGGTCTAATGTCTAGTTTGTCTAATGCCAATTTTGTGCACAATTCATATGGTCTACTATAAACATTTGATCAAAAATAATAATTAGTACATGTAGTAGACAGGCTGGGTGTAGACATATGGTAATAGACTATTTGGGTAGTAGAAGAACTGGTTGTAGACCAAACGGCAATTCATCAGGGATATATATATATATATATATATATCGTTTTTATAAATGTTGTATTATTGAGCACACATTGGAATACAGCACACATACATGTAGGAAAAAGAACAGTAACCCTAAGATATTATCTCTGTATAAACAATCAATGGGGCGAAGTACTATTTGTACATACCACCTATATCAAAATATACACTCTTATGCATGATAGTGATAGACATATATACAAAAACATCACATACATAGATATTTTTCTCATGAATAATGCTTATTAGAATAAAATAATAAACAACTTCGATTTATATAGAATGGGTTTGCACAGTGAGTTAAAATTAGGATTCTGTTGTTCGAGCCACTCGCTTTTTTCTTTCCGTTTTCTAGCCGTTTCATTGTTCTCACTATTTTCTCGCTCCTTTTGACTGCCAAATCAGTTAATTTAAGAAAACAAGATTCACTGTTTCGGCACTTAAAAGTCTGTTTTATCACTGTTCTGTAGCAGTTAAAACGGTATGTTCTGTACATCTGTTGTTCATAATATGATATAAAACAAAGAAAATTGCAACAAACGGAAAATGTCATGCCTTCGATTTAATGTGACGACGGCTTTATGCAATTAAGTTACATTTATTATGGTGGCTCAAGCAGTGTTTTTCTATAGTGCATACAGTACATTTTAAAGATTCTATTGTGAAAGAATTTCAGATATAAAAAAGAAGATATCAATTTCAAGCAGAAAAAAGTAAATTTGATGTATTTGAAGTGTTAAGCTGTCGTGTCGTTATTGAAGGGTAATTCTACGGGCTTGAGTACGTTGGATTTGAGAAACCTTCTTTTTCCGATGCCTGCAAATTAGAGAAAGAAAACGTAAATGTTTTGGATTAAGAGGAAAAAGATTACATAGGATTTGAGAAACCTTCTTTTCCCGATGTCTGCAAATTAGAAGAAAAAAACGGAGAGAGATTGAGAGATAGAGTGATAGAGAGAGAGTGATAGAGAGAGAGAAAGAGAGAGAGAGAGAGAGAGAGAGAGAGAGAAAGAGAGAGAGAGAGAGAGAAAGAGAGATAGAGAGAGAGAGAAAGTGATTGAGAGAGTGAAAGAGAGAAAAAGAGAGAGAGAGAGAGAGAGAGGGGAGGGGGGGGGGGAGGATCCACATAGACTTTTGTTTAACGATATCTGGGCATTCATATTTTAATTTATGGTCTATTTTCAAACTCCTGCCAACTTGAACACATGAATGTATTCAAAGCCCATATTTGAATTATAACATCATGGCTAAAATTCTTTCATCACACAGAATTCCATTTTCAGTTAGGTCTAAGTCAGAACTGAAGGTCTAATTCTCCCTACCGCATATAGCTGAAAATAAGCCAACGTAAGTTGCGCTCAACTTTTTCCTGAAATTTGCTAGGATTTTATAGTCACATGAACTTTTGTAGTCATCATGATATATACTTACTGCTGAAGTGTATGTTCCACTAACTCCGTACATATTTGTGTCTATATCTTGCATGGCAAACTGGATTGGAAAAAGGAGGAAACATGGATTTTCAAGAAGTAAAGAAACGATTTAGAAACCTCTAAATTGTCGTTGATTTTGTAACCATTACAATTGTGCCATATGGTCATGTATGTACTTATGTGCAAGTATATATACATTATCATAGTACATACCGCAACAAGATTCTTATGGTATATATATTTAATAATACCGTCACTACTTAACCCTAAAAAGGCCGGGCTATATGAGGTCTTAGTACGGCCGGGGGGCATTATGCCCCCCCCCCCCCCCCCCCCCCCCCCCCATAAGATCTCGGCCGCGAAGCGGCCGATCTCCGCGAAAATGTGCAAGCGTGTCAAGAGAAGTGTATAGAATACTATGATAATTTTTTTTTGTTGAAAAATGCACTCATTTGCATATTTACGGTAATTTATGCAAATAAGGTCATACAAATCACATTTTTACCCATAAATCATATATTATTCATATTTAAGCATTCTTTTTCACTACATATATTCATTAGACCATTCTAAATAATAATATGACATTTTTGGGAAGAGCCAGCTTATTCCTTATGTTATCCCTTGTTTTGATAATTTCTTATGTATTTCATTTTTTTTTAAACTTATGTATTTTATTGTTTTGTTGTTTTATTTCATTTCTAACTACAATTCAACTATTTTGACTCCCAAATCAACCACCTAAATTTTAAACAAGACCCAATAACCCATGTTTGATTTGTTTTTAGGAAAAATGACTTTTCAATATGTTTTGTACACAAATCACGAAAACTAGCAATTTTCGGGCTGTCATGCAAAGACAAAGGTCACGTGACGTTGTAAAGGCAGGTCCGATTTTCAAACAAATTCTTTTAAAAGTTGCGCAAGACTCGAAAGAAAAAAGTCAGTGAGCGGCGGGGCGCCATCCATATGCGTTCCCGAACAATCAGAAAAATCGTGGAGGGGGGGGGGGCATGATGCGCGGCCTTATTAGGGTTAAACGGCATACGTAATAAATATAGCTGTATATAAGCTTTGCATGAATTAAACAATACTTCAAAAGAAATTTAACATTTACAGTTTATCCTATATCATGATTCTTTGATAAAAATCACCTCTGATATAACAAAATTGTTTGGAGCAGAAACAGAAGATACCCTTATGTTCTTACGTTTACAACTCATTATTTAAATGATAGTGACGTAAGGAAGGTAATGGATTTAAACCCTTTACCCAAGGTAAACAGGTTGGTCCATGTATTAAGTCTATGGGTATTACAAATTTAGAAGTTAACAGGTCAATAAGCCATTTCGTAAATACTATCTGCGCATAGGCAGATAAAGGTAATTTCTGATAAAATTGTAAAACCTACCGAGATGAATACGTGCTCATGCTATGTAATCATTATTCATTTGTGCACCTACGTTCACCAGATGATACCTGGGATTATTATACAATCAAAGCTGCCGTAGTAAGTGGCCACCTTTTTCTAAATGGCACCTATCTATAGTGGCCATGCGTTTGGTCTCCATAAATAGAGAAATGTGTGTCGCAGAACTTGTCTAGAAGGGCCACCTGTTTCCCTTGGATGTTTTTAATATACAGGTTTAACATATACTTACAGCTGTGATGTTTAAGTCTGTATCATAGCCTTGACTCTCCATTGCAGCAGGGATATTCACTTCCTCTGCCGGTTTCTTGCCTCTGCAGAAGGTCAATCGTAGAAAAAACAAAAACAAATCAGAATTTTAACAATTGTGGCATATTTCATAACTATGTACATATAAATACAAAAAAAACAAGGCAAATTTGGGATATCAAAACGTAACCAAAATCAAGCACATAGAAATGAAGGGTCTTTTTTAGGTGTACCTTATGTCTGAAACTTATCATCCATGTTATTTTCCGCACATTTTTAGCCTATTGTTAATTGGCATAAAAAGATATATTGTTTTGGTAAGCCTAATTAGTAAAGCCTAATTATTAAAACCTAACTACTCAAACTTAACTAGTAAATCCTAACTGGTAAAGCCTAACGAGTGAAACCTAGCAAGTTAAACCGAAGTAGTAAAATGCAGCTAGTAAAACCTAACTAGTAAAACCTAACTATAGTAAAACCTAACTGTTGCTTGTTTGGGATGGTTCAAAATATATGTTCAAACATTTATTCCTTCACCTAACAAAGCTAATAATGCAAACGGAGATGAAAGTAATACAGTACAACACGATTAATTAATTCACCCCAAATCACAGCAAACAAGGTAATTTGCTCTAGTCCCTGAACATGTGAATATTCAAAGCAAATTTATATATTCATAAATGGCTAAATTCCCATATTGAGGTAGGACTAAGTCAGAATTGCGGGGCTTACTTCGATTCATCGGGTCATCGCGTCGGGTGGGGTGGCCACGTTAGCAGAAGGGTTTTTTACAAAGTGTCCGGAAAATTGGACCAGACCATTTGTGAATGGGAGGGGTTTATTTCACAAGCTTTACCCCCGACATTTCACGACGCAACGACCCGATGATTCAAAGAAAGCCTAAATATAGGGCTAATTGACTCACCCTCTCTTCTTGGATACCAGCAGGTAGGCCAGAACCAGGAACACGAGTAGGATTAAGATCCCGGAGACAACGCCAACAGCGATGTAAATAGTTTCTGCAATGGAAATGTGCTTATGTTAAATAGACCGTTTTACTGACATATTCAAATGTATGGATTTTTGTTTTCCGGGGACCTAGTGAAGAGTTCTACAATTAGCCTGATATTGATGAACAAACTACAAAAATTGGAATCCAGTCTGCGTACATAACTTCTTGCTATGTTGGGCGAGCCTCTGGCAAGCTTTCAGGTTGTCAATAACAATCTTTGTTTAAAAAGTATGCATTTCATTTGAATATGTTATCAATGTGGTCTATTTGAAGTCAATGTCAATAAAGTACATACTGTCATATGAGAAAACAATCCATTATTACCCCCTCAAATAAAAAAAACACATTAAAACCTTAAGGATGGAAAATAACATAATACTAATGCTTCAAGACTGCGAGTCCGAAACTAATTCGATGCGCTTGTGCCCTTTAAGGCATAAGTCCTCATTGAATTACCAAGCCGTCAGTCCCCTGTCTGCTTACTTACACGCATAAACATGGTTTCTTAGCAGTCAGGCAAAACAAACAAACAAATAAACAATCAAACAAACCTGAAGTTTGACCTGCAGGGGTCGGTTGCTCTCTAGGGGTTGTGAACGCTGTTGTCTGTACCTGGTCTGGAGTGGTCACTGTAGAAACAAGATCAATGTAAAAATAATTCGTTTAAAACGTAATTCTGTACAAGCTACTAAAGCTTCACAGATCTCAACTTTTCTTATATTATTTTAAATTAGCTAGATTGTAAACTGGCCGGTTCTAGCAACCAGTCAGGCGTTGTTATTCTATTTTTTATCATTTTTTCGATAACATTAGCTCCCATTTATATTGTTTGGATTTAGCTTTTAGTTCAGCTTTAGTAAGATAACAAACTCAGTAGGCCTATATTTGTATTGATATGCCACTCTCCAAATGGGTACCGGTAGGAAGGGATTCCTTAAATGATGTGAGCGCCGAAATCGGCTGCATAGCAGAGACGGGGTAATAGTTGGAGCGCCTTGAGCACCATGCATAGTGGATATGTGCGCTATATAAATATCCAATATTATTATTATTAATATGTAAATAACATGACCACTTATCGAGTGCAGATAGTCCCCCTCGACCTAAAATAGTGATTCAATCATAAAGGCCATACCTCTGGTATCAGGCGTGGTTGGTGGAGGGGTGGTGGTACTTCTTGGTAGAGGGGTGCTAGACTGGACACACCCGGGGGTGAAAGATACGTCATCGAGAGCTAAGAAAGCATTGGAATCCGTTCCTTTCATCGCCTCAAAGATCACCTTTAAGAAAGGAAAGACAAAAGTATTGTTGGGTCGAATGATAAATGAACTGATTAAAGCACGAGCCAAGTTTTGTAATTAATTTGAAAAATAGATTCATCCAATATACTATTTTTGAGGATGTGGCATGTTAAAGAGAGTGTAGCTTGGAAAATATCGGTAACGTCTATGTCTTTCGGACAACTGCACGTAAAAGAATGGACTTGATTAACGGTAGTCAGTCAGCGACTTAATCTCTACATGGTCAGCGTTCGCGAAACAGACCGAAGTTCTCCTCACACTTCGGTTTCATCATGGAGTTACTAGCTAGTGATTGATTTGGCCACATTGTCCGTAGTCGCATTATACCCCCAAAGACCCTAATCCACATAGTCCACCTTTTATTCCTGAGGTACGAAAATAAATCATCAAATTTACAAGGTGTATGAAGAATTATGTTGTTGACTGTATCTGTACAGATTATATTGAATCCTCATCATACCCATTATCTGTATACATTTTGTATGACACATTAGCAAAAATCAATGCATGATTTATGGATCATAAAGTACTGATTTGAACTAAATTGAATTATAGTCAATACAGCAAGTCCCCATTTCGCAAACTTGTCATCAGTGTCAAATTACATTTTTTTTTTTTTTTTTTTTTTTTTTGGGGGGGGGGGGGGGTTATAAGCTAATACAATCCTTGTTTCTGATTGGTTATCAGCAGATTTGTCACTAATATTTTTGTCATTGAAAAGAGGCTCCGTGAAACGGATCCCAGGATATTAGAATATCGCTCTTGGGTTGATTTCTTGACATTCTTTGCGATCATGTTCTTCTTTTCTCACCTGGAATGTGTCAACACTGTTAAGTAGTAATGATCCCCGATTCCACAGCAATCCCTGGTCACCAGATATACTCCATTTCTCCGTCATTGGACCGCCCACCAGGGTCCTCGTTTTGATGGTAACGGTCGCATCTTCTCCGCTCATGAAGTAATAAAACCTCATCTGGATAAGATACATGATTCGGGTTAAGGATCAATTGTGCAATGTAGAAATGGTAAAAATATTATCAATTAATTTATGTTTATTGTCCTTAAACAATCAAACCAGCAAAGCCACCTGTATAAAAAGGCCACATTTATACTGCTTTCCTTGAGAAAAGTTTCTAATTGAATTCTGTATTAAAGGGACCTACACATAGAGACCGCCTGCTAATATAGGTCGCTTTTTCGTCTCCTTTGAGTGGTCTTTATATAATAATACAGAAATTTGAGTCCTTTTGAGCATGGTCTAGTGGAAGAGTAACTAGAATAAAGATCACAAGGTACTTGGTTGCCGACATTGGTCGCTAACGTAACGACACATATTGTTGCTACTAGAAAGAAAATAACTTTATAAGTGAAAAAGAAAAAAAATGATCAAAGATGAGAAACTCACCGTGCATCCAGAGGATACTGGGTTCACAATGAAGCTACCGAGCTGAGCAGAAGAACCAGAAGACGACTGCTGGTACTGGTTGACTACCAGGAATGAACCTGTGGGAGAGAGAACAAAAATATGGTGTGTGTGTGTGAGAGAGAGAGAGGGAGATAAGTGTGGGGGGGGGGGGGACTTACGTTAGAAAATTTTTATAAAGGGAAGATTTTTGTTAAGTGTCTTGTTACGAACCTTATTCATATTCATGCATGTTGATGTAGTTATGCGCATGAGCAGAAGACTTGCTGGAAATTGGATTTTGGGGATTAACACGTATGGCCGGCTGTACAGGTATTTCATTGTTTTTGTTTTTAATTCATTTTCTTGTTACTATTGTGTTGTTATGATATCTTGTTGTGACAGTCAGGGACCCGTTTCCCAAAGCCTTTTTTCAATGACAAATGACAAAAATCAATGACAAATCTGCTGCTAACCAATCAGAATGGAGGATCTCAGTAGCTTATGACAAAGACTGTCATCTGTCACTAATGACAAGTTTGAAACGAGTCCCTGCATGGACACACAATTAACCCCCTTCATACACTTGAAACTAGCTGCTAGTGTAAAACACGGTTGCATATCCATTCCTTACCTCTTTCGTTGTCTAGGGTATGATCAAATGTAAGATAAGCTGAGGTGGATGCCTGTATTGTGTTCCAATCCAGATCATCTTCGGTCATCTGCACCCAATCACACAGCCCACTTTCGAAATCACACCTATTGTATGTTGCTAAAGATGACATGTGTAGGGGATGAAAGAACCATTCGAAATTGTTAATGTGATGTGAATACTGCACATACAAGACGAAGATCAAGAAGTGAAGTTTCATGCTTTAAATCCAAAGGTTCTTATCAGGTCATGAATTTGGAATCGGTAAATTACCTATACAACACATCGTGTATGTTAATACATTTTGCGAGAAAGGAAATATGTTTCAAATTGGTATTATAGTTGAAGACTAGTTGTATACAATACACAGTCTATACATTCTGTCATATAAGTATTTCATATCTAATCTATACGGAATATTATGGAATCTATATTGGATATTGTTTTAAAAATGAATAAATTAATGTTAAACTTACAACAGTCTGTTTCATCTGTGATATCAATACAGCAGTCTTTTGTGAAATCACACTTGTTATCAGCGGGATAGCACTGGCCGCTGTCGCACTTCGCCTCGCCGTCCCCGCACGTTACAGGAGTATACATGTCATACGCACAGTTGTCGAATCGGATGTCATCGATGGCAAAGCCGCCAGCGTAGGGTTGGGGCTGGTGGTTCTCTGCGGTGATAAGGACCTATGAAGAGAGAAAGAGGGAGAGAGATGAGAGAGATAAGAGTATAAAATATATTCGAAGGTCAAACAAAAACATGTATTTTTACTCCATGGAGGAAAAAAGTGACATTAAATTGCGAATATACGGCTTATAGAACTTTACTGAAATCAAGAATCTAGCGATCTGTCACTTTTATTCTGAACTTACTGAAAAATTAAATACAATTAAAGAAAACTCTGATGTCTGAATTAAACAGAGAGGCCTACCACCTAAAGCTGTTTTGGTGAAAGTGATATAGTTATGTTTTAATTGTTAAATTACTTTTGAATAGTGAATTGAATTTAGGAAAGCTAAGTGTCAGAGTGAAACACTTGTTTGCCACAAAATAGCAATTACTTAACGTAGGGTTGACTGCAAAATTAGTAAATTCGTTTTTTAAACGGTAAATGAACCTATTCCACATATTTTACATTTTTCCAACAAATAAACAAGCATTTCAAATAAACAAAAAAGATGCTATGCATGCGTTCCGTGATATTCTGTAACAAAATATCTTCCACTAACAACTGCATGCAATAGATATGTCATAGATATGATCAATATATTGTATAAAACATTATACGGAACGAGAAATCACTTTACAATTTAATTTTCCATAATGCTATCAAATATTAACAGCACAACAAAAAGTTATGAATTTAATTGATGATTACCGGTAAAGTTAATGTTAGCATCACGATTATCACCCGCAAAAGGCAAACTTATAAATTAAATTCATGTTCATGGCTTCATGTTACCACCAAGATAACATTAGATCTTACTTTTTATTTATTTATTTATTTATTTATTAGTCATTTTTTAGTAGGGTGGCTCCATCAGTAGTTAAATACTGTTTTAAGTGGAGGCCATACAACATTTACAATCATAGTGATGTAAACAATCAATATCGAAACAAAATGAATTCAGTTCCAACATTTTCGAACTAAAGAAAAGAAACAAAAACAACACAATGAACCAGTTCAATGATATAAATTATTATAGCGCCAAAACAAAAGAGTAAATGAAGAATTTGATGGTGCATTTCTTTGAAAATTAGGTAAACTATTCCAAAAGCCGCACCATCAAATGAAATACTTTTTTTTCCCATCTGGGGTTTTATTTTATATAAAATTAATCCTGCATTTTTGACAATCCCATTGAAGACACCATACCTGAAAGTCCGTAAGACATTGTGGGATCTTGATCTCCGCCTTCATCCACTTGCTCTCCACGGTGTTCCCGCTATCTACGACCATCAACGTGCGCTCGTCCGTTAGAACCTTACGCTTCAATGCAAGCATGCCGTAGTCAACGCCGTACGAGTAGTACCAGAGCGAGGCGGTGCACGAGCGGCCGGCCTGGCTGAACCGCGGGCTCACTAAGGTGGCGAACTGGTTCGTGGATTTGGTGATGGACTGCTGAGAGCCGTCCACAAAGTAGTATATTCCTTTAAAACAAAAACAAAAATCAGATATATATTTAGTTTTATAGTTATATGCTGTAAAAGTATACACAAAAGGAGAATGGAGTTTCATTTCATTGACCTTTAAAAAAATAAAAAGGAAAAGAAATTGACCTGACATTGGCTAAGATATATAGAGAAAAAACGAAAAATAATATCATCAAAATCACAATTCGGAAATTGAATTAGTATTGAAATCAATAAACAAACTACGTGTATAAAAAACATTAGTGGACAAAATTGAAAATTGGAGAAATGAACGAAATACACAGAGGAAAATTCGAATGTTATATTTAAACACTTTAATATCATCGTATTGGATGAAAAAAATTTGAGAAATTTAATATCAGGATGATAAGAAAATAAAAATTAGAAAATGAGAAAAGTGAGACAAGAGAAACGAAAAAAAGAGAGAGGATGTGAAAGAGAGAAAGAAAGGGAGAGAGAGAGAGAGAGAGAGCAGGGCGGATCTAGCTTTTTTGCCAAAAGGGGGTTTGCATGACCCAGTGGCGGATCCAGGATTTTCCAAAAATCGCGCCGTTTTACTGTTTTACTGTTTTTTTCTTCACTTGGCCGCCCAAGGGGGGGGGGGGGGGGTTAAACCGCCGACCCCCACCCCCTCGTTCCACCCCTAGAGAGGGAGAGATAGATAGAGTAAGAGGGAGACATAAACTGTCTCAGATATCTTACCATCAGGGTTATTCATGGTATGATCAGTATCAGGTCCGAGGTATTCGAAAGAATCAGAGTCGTTGTGCTTCAGCCAATCAAAATCATCATTGAGAGACTGCTCCCAAGAGCACATGTCATTTTCAAATGAACACACGGTAGCTGCAGAAGATGAACAGAAAAAGAGAGATAAAACGGAGGAATTAACATGAAGAATATTTTTAAAGTGTATTAATCACCTTATAATATTTCATTCTGTTTGTTATTAGTCCTATGTGGTAATAATAATAATAATATTTAATTTGTATATAGCGCTTAATACAAAATGTCTCTAAGTGCTTTACAAATATACTATTACCCCGGTCATTTGATTCAGTGCTTGCCCGCACACAATGTATGCACAATCTCCACTCCCTGGGGAGCATACCAGCCAGGCGTTACATGATGTATTTATTAATAAAATTCAAATATGTCTGAATAGAGATTTTGCGAGTTTGAATACACCCCTAATTACCATTAAATGGATTTGTGAGAATACAACTTGGCGATCCTGTGCGCACTCGCCCGAAAGAGGGCCCGCACGGAATCCTAGTCCGACTTCACTTCCGTTTGTGTAATTTTTCATTTTTATTTTTTGTCTCCATATTCCTTATCCGTTCGCCCATAGAATGTTGGGTGAAGCTTTTTGGGTGGATTTTTATAAATTCTAAGTGCACACACATGATTGTTTAAAGATGATTGGTAAACGTTTATTATTCGTTTTTTTTTTTAAATTTATTAACTAGAGTAATCCAAATCATCCATTCTGTTGCTTTTACTAAACACATTAAACAAAATACCTCAAAACATGAAAGCACAATCAAACCAACTGAGAGCATGAAGAATCAAAAGTTTTTTTCCAAATGTCAAATATTTTCATATTTTTAAAAATCCATCCCCTAATTTTACTTTTAGAAGAAACAGATCTACGAAATTATGGTTTTTGTCAAAACATATGCACTACATTGTTATTAATACAAATTCAATTATTGAGGTGTAACGAACCTTATAAATATTCATGTATGTTAATGTTAATTTTGAGCATGAGCAGAGAACTCGCTCGTGAAGGGGAGATTCTTACATTATAACCTACGACCGTATTTGTCACATTAATACTGTTGCTAATGCTGTGTTGTGTAGTCCAGAAAGAAGTGATTGTCCTTTAATGTCATCTTGTTGTGAAAAGAGGGTTTTATATATTTAAAAAAAGTAGTATTGTAAGACTTACGGCACTCCTTTTCATCACTGCCGTCATCACAATCGAACCTGAAGTCGCAGAATTTAGTGATAGCTAGACAAGATCCATCGTCGCAAGCTCTCTCTCCTGTGTTACAGTTCGGGCCACCTTGAGGTATAAAAATAATTATTCATTTTAACCCTTTCGATCAGGACAGGATTTATATTTCAAACCATAATAGATCACATATTGTTCTTCAAATTGACCACAACAATAGTTATCTTGTATTGCTACAGTTTTAAAATGAAATCTAACGTCTCTACAAACAATATACCTGGGCAATAATTTCAGAGGCTGTAAAATGACACATTTTGATAGAAAACAGTGAATAAGAATCCCTCAGTGTATTAGCAATTTAAGGATTTCGAAGCTTTTTTCCGTTATATGCTTGGCTGTGTACTGATGTTGACACGTTAGTTATATTGATGGCAAAGTTACTAATAGTGGTTAGCATTATTATTTTAATACTTATGTTGTAAGGATTTCCGTATTTAACTTTAAAGTAACATAAAAATAAGTATATTATGTTGTTTAGATAAAAGATTTAACAAAATGTAATTTCCTGCCAAACAAAACCGGAAATTTGTTTCATAGCATAACATATATTCTTTTTGAAAGTTTGCCGTCTCAAATTACGGAGTAAAAAAAAGAAGAAGAAATATGCTTACTTGAAGGAGTAACCTTAATAGGTAGGGTCTGATCTGGTGAGACTACACATCCAGGTGTGAATGAGATATCATCAATGCTCATATGATCGTCCAAACCGCCCGCCACGCCCTCTATTAGAATCTAAAAACAAATGGACAGACAGAATAATTATTAGTGTATCCGATTAAAACTATTATAATTGTTTTGTTCTGTGCAAGTTATTCTCCATGCACAGGGAAAACTGAAACCTCAACATGAAAAACAAAAACGAGAAACCTACACCCCACAAGCACGCACACAAACACCCATATTTGACATTAAAGGATTACGTCATATAACTTTTTATTGATTTTATATTTTGCTACAATCAATGAAACTATGTTAACATTGTGCAATTACTCCCGGAACTACTACATTGTATTTGTAATAAACCACATTGAATTGAATCGAATTGAATTGAAATCATTTAACCTGAAGACAAAAGACACATATACCAAGAATCAGAATCCTTACCTGGAATTTGCTTCCTGGTTCGAGGTCCGCGATACCTCTCAGCCACGCATCTCCTTGCGGACCGGATTTAGACCAGATGGATTGTGGGTTATCAGAGAGTGATATCAAGGTCATGACCCTAAGTGTCCCGACGTTAGCTCCGTTTATGTGGTACCAAAATCTCATCTACAAGGAAGAATTAAAGCAATTCAATTATTTGTTCATTAAACAAAATAGAGTCTTCATTAAATTCTTTCTTTCTTGCTTTTTGCCTTTTTATTATTTCCCTCCATTTTCCCTCCTTTTTATCTATAAAAAACAACTCAAAAGTCCTACATAAAGAAATTTAAACACAATGTATAAAGTATATGATGCTGTATTCATTTAGTATTTCTTTAAAAAAAAGGTACATTTAAAACAAAAGTAGTGAATTATGCCTGAAACAAGAATTATCAATTTTCCTACTAAAAAGTCAGGAGAAACAGCATTATCTTTAAACAAATAAATAAGAAATAAGATATATATCTCACCTGACAGTCACCAGCCTTAGGTCTAGAATAGATGAGACCATCGAGCCTTGCTCTCTTGTTAGCATCCTTGTCATATGTATACAGGTAGAGATAATGTCCTGCATGAAAGGTATCAGATGGAATAGGGCTTGAATTCAGATTATGTTCAATCTTTTACTTAGAAATATGAGTACATTTAGGACATTTTCGGGTAATCTTGATTATTAGCTATCACCTGATGGATTATTAAGGGTGTGATCCACCCAAGGAGCACAACAATACACCCTTGGACATTTTCAGGTAATCTTGATTAACCTATCACTAGTTGGGTTATTTAAGTTATTAACGGTGTGGTCATCCCAAGGAACAACAACCTACCAAACCACAACCTACATCACCACCACCGCCAGTACCCTTACCACCGCAAATACAACAACTACTACCACTGCCCGCACTATTTCCACAAACACCACCCCCTTCTTTAACTTCTTCAAACAGCATTCATAATGCTCCGTTATAGAAATATTAAGTTTCTTTATTTCATGTATATAATTATACGTTAATCGCATTTTGTCATGAAGTTTAAATTGTTAGCAAATTTGTATTATACCTCTCGTTTACATGTTCAGATATTTTATTTGAAAAATGCAAAAAATTGAATTTAATGAAATAAAAGAAAAATATTGAAGAGCTTCTTACCTGATGGATTATTAAGGGTGTGGTCGACTCCTGGCGCACCGCCCTGCGCCCCCTGGTTACCCGTCATCCACAACCAATCAAGGTCATCATCTCTGTTTTGACTCCAATCACAGAGATTCATCTCAAAGTCGCATCTCTGATATGCGTCTAAAAACAAACACATACAAAAAGATTGCTTGGTACATACTTAATATCAGCTCTCATTGACATATGTACTAAAATGTTAAAATAAGTAACTCCATATCTACCTAAGACATAACAAAAAATACACAATAATATCTGGTAGACCACGAAACTTCTATATTCTTTATGGAGCATTGCATGTTTTACTCACCACAAGTCCTTTCGTCCGTCCCATCGGTACAATCGTCCGAATAATCGCATTTCTTGGAGAAGGGCACACATAGAAGATTGTCGCATTTGACCTCGCAAGGAACATACGACTCCACCTTGCAGCCATCAAGTTTGATGTCATCGACGGCGATCATGTCACTGTCGTCCGACATGACGACGACAAATTTGATCTGTGAGTAGAAAGAACATGATTAGAGACAGAAACATACATGTTCGCTTTTACCTTCAGTGGCAGATTATGATATCAAAATCAAGTATTTAGAAAAATATCAAATATTGGTCATGATGTTTGAAGCAACATGTTCAACTTGGTTGAGAAAGTTGAAAGTTTTGTTTGCCTCTTTTCATGAAGTGATTGTGAGAATATGATAAATCTTAATATGTAACGTTTATATCTTCTAGAACTTTATTTATCAATCTAGATAAAGTGATAGATACTGACCAATAACGTTCAGAGAAGTTATAGACTTTACCTATCGAAGATAAACCGCACTTTTTGTTCTTGTCCTCTTACCGAGGTGTTTTATTTCACATATTTCACATTTCATATATATTTACATCAATTTACATTTTAACATAATAAAAAAAGACAAAATATTTAAATAAATAGTTACAACCTAAACATTTCTTGAAAAATTTCTTTGTGTTTCGTTAATAAAAAAAACTTTGTTTATTTGCTAGATAAACCGCATTGAACCATATTTTCGCCATCATTTCATGATGGGAGGCAAGAACAATATTGTGTCAACTTCAATTGGAGAACAGCGTATTCCTCTATACCTGGTAGCTTGTTATTTGTCTTCCCAATCCGACCGTGGCTTGGGTCCACGTTGCAACCGACGTTGAGGGCACCAGCCACAAATCAGCCTTGTCAGCGGGGTCGCTAGCATTGATAACTTGCATGTAGAACTCGGTCAGTGGAGCGCTGGTTGACACCTAGATCAAAGAATACAGATTAGATTAGTCAGACAATGAGTTTAGACGGAGGAACATGAATGGTAACTGAGATACGAGACATTATATAGTGAATCTGTCGCAACGGCTATCTGTCAATAAAGACAATGTGCCTCTCTCTTTCTCGAACCCCCCCCCCCCACACACACACACAATGTCTTTTAGAACATGCTAAGAAAGGCCACTGGTCTACAGTGGTCTGTGGTGGATTTATTAGCAACAGATAAGAGTTTTGTTGCTGTATATAATTTTCCTTGTGTTTTGCTACTCTGCATTGACAATTAATTTATATGATATATGCTTACAAACAGGATATTGATTTGTTGCATTGCATTGTAACTGGGTTAATATGACGTATATGTTTATAAACAGATTAATGATGTACATCAATGAAGTTCAATATAACCAATTCAATACATTACACAACTTTGACGGTATAGTATTTCTCCATCAATGAACAAAAAGGTTTTGTGTAACCTTGATGGACAGTCTCTTACCTGATAAAGATACCAGAATGTCATGGTGCAGTCCGGTGAGGTGTCTGGAAGGACTGTACTCACGAGTCTAGCTGGTTCATTGAACTGCCCATTGCCACTGCCAACCGTCATGTAGAAGCCTTGTTAAACAAATACCACGCACATTTATTTCATTTAGATGCCTACAAGCCTACAATAGTGGATAGAATAATATGAATCCTAGCCTCATCGTTAGAATTAAAATTAAAAATACTCTGATATATATATATGCAGTTACCAGAAAACTCATATTTCAATTCAATAAATGTGGAAAGACATGCTCCGATATTTCTTTGATGGGTAAACTATTGTGTAAAACTATTAATATGAATCTTTACGTACAAATTAAAAAATTAAACAATTAAACATGCCGTAAAAGGTATGAGGTAAACAATTCAAAACTATCTTTTGGCAAGACAATTTAATATATATATTCGTTCGCAAGAAATTAATTTGCACTTTCCACTGTCCACCAGGTAAAGTAGTAAATGGGGAAGCTGTGCTACAGCCAGGGTAATAATAATACATCCCTGATATAAATACACGCGCAATATTAATGCAGCTTTCCTTCTCTTCCTCGTTCCCTTCTTCTTCTTCTTCTTTTTTCCCCTTCTCCTCCTCCTTCCTCTACTTCTTAGTATTCTCATCCTCTCCTTCTCCTCCTTATTCTTCTTCTTGTCCACCACTTCCTCCTTTTTCTTCCTCTTTTTCTTCTTCTCCTTCTTCTTCTTCTTCGTAATATTATTATCACCAATAGTATATTATAATCTTACCACCAGCATCTTGGAGAAGATCACTCTGGTCTCTCATCCAAGCGAAGCTACCATAGCTGTCATCCTGGTAACCACAAAGTCCATTCTCAAAGTCACAGGATCCTATAAGATTTGAAAACGAAATTATTAATTGAAATATCCTCTTAACAGAAATTTGCTATCAATATCCCCACCCATCATCATAACCATCTCCATTATCGTCAACATCACTAATACATGCATCATCATTATTATGATCAAAATTATCCTCATCATCATCATCATAGCACCACCATTACTTAACCATTGCCGTGGCACAATCACCCTATTATCTTCACCATTAGTAATATCACTATCAACATTATTATGGTACATGCAGATCCTCCTCCTCCTTATCATCATCATGACCACTCTCCTCCTCCTCCTCCCTTGTGTCATCATCATCGACATCCTCCCCCTCCTCCTCCTTAAGATCATCATTACCACCACCATCACCATCCTCCTCCTCCTCCTTAAGATCATCATCACCACCACCATCACCATCCTCCTTCTCCTCATCCTTATTAGATCATCATCACCGCCATCATCACCATCATCCCCATCATCACCAAACAAGTCTTTTTCAATAAACTCCTTACCGCAAGCAGCCTCATCCTCTCCTCCAGAGCAATCGTTCTCATAATTACAGTAGAGCTCCAGGTCAATACAGGTCAGATCAGAGCACGTCCACTTTCCGGGTCCACATGGACCGTACGTAACGATAGGGGGCGACGTTGCACCGGGTTGTAATTCATCTTTTCGAGATAAAAAAATCCAGCAATTAATGAATTAAGTTTTCAGCGTAATGAGCTCAAAAATGAAGAGTAATATACGTGTCATTGGAACAAAAATGAATGGATCTGACAATAGACAAACATTGATTGTAAACTGTTTTTCACAGTAGCTCATACACAATGTATGTTTTGAAAACAGAGAATGAGACTTTGAACAGTGTGTAGATTTAATCTTTTGATCTTTAATTTGTGACCCACCATCGTGAGATGGACATAAAACTGTGATGTTTACAAGTTATATGTCAAAGTTTTTTTGTAGAAACTTTGGACACAATTTTTTTTTTCAAATACAAAAACATATATCAAATAAAGGGAGTTATATTATATTGGAGGTTTGTATGAATTAGAATTGACAATTTTCGTAATGTTATCATAATTAATTCATAAATATTTGTTAATATCCTCGTTGAAAACTATTTAATTCACCCGGTACCAATAATTGTATTTCAATATTCAGAATGCGAATAGGGTACATTAATTGTTGCTAGGTAGGACAAACATCTTGGCTTATCCTACTTACCTGTAATGTATGTAATTTGCATTCTAACTATTCACATACAATTATATGTAACGGGTAAATGAAATCATTTGTAACCAGAGACATAACAACGATTTGTGCATTAAATTTGATTACATTACGAAAATGGTATATTCACTTACTTGGAGATCTGATGCAATCAGGTGTTATAGAGGTGTCATCAATGGCTATATCACCAGCAGGGCCATCGCCTCGAAGAGCTTCGATTACGATCTAATAACAAAAAAAGAAACAACCAACATATTTGTGATCTTATTACATGTACATGTTACATTGTACCTGTAGTCCAGGCATAATTTGATATGACCTCCCACTAATTGCAACAGAAAATGTCTCGACTGTTTTGTGCTCTTGGAGGTGTCCATTATAACATATCAAAAGTCTTAAGGAATCCAGGTGGGGGAAAGTGCCATGGCGGCCATTTTTTCAAAATGGCCGCCATGTATAACTAATATTGTACAATTCTGGGGATTTCTTTTTAACAGCACCTCATTTTACCATGAATAAGGTGTCATATGAAAGACAATTACATTTCCTACAAGATGATACCTCATTCATTGGGTTTCGGGATGATTTGCTTACCAATTTTGAGCCAAAAGTGTGATTTTTTACCATTTTTTTCAAAAATGTGAATTGCGCCAAAATACATATTTCTCCATATTTATTTGATTATTATGCTAACCAACTTGAAACTTGCTGAAAGACTTTTCAGCATCTTGGTTGATATCATATCCAAATTTCAAGTCTATTACTTTTCAAATTAAAAAGTTATAGCGCTCTAAAGTTGAAACTTTGTTATGAGCCAAAATGGCAAATTTGGTTGCTAAGGGCTATCTTCTCCTTAGCAACGGTAACATATTGGGGTGAGAAATAGAATATATCACGAGAAATTGCTATCACCAAGCAGGTGACTACTTTTATAGGAAGTATGATGTCAAATGATGCATTTTCATCCAATTTTAATAATAAATATCACTTAGTTCCCGTTGCTATGGTAATAATATGCCTAGCAACCGATATAAAACACATATTTTTGTTGTAAATCTAATATTTCCCATATCTCTGCTTCTAAATAACATAGAGAGTTTTGATTTTAAGTGCTAAACATACAATTCCAGAGACAAGGAATCAAATTAATTAAATTTTTTATGAGCTAAACCTAGCCAAAAAGCCAAAACGGCAGCCATTTTCCAAAATGGCCGCCATAAACCTGATATTTCGCAATATCTCTACTTGTAAATGACTTAGGGCTTTGATTTTCAGTGCTAAATATACATTTTCTGGGCCCAGGAATCCTTTGAAACACATTTTAATGAGCTAAACCTGACCAAAAAGCCGAAATGGCAGCCATTTTCCCAAATGGCTGCCATACACCTGGTAATTCCCAATATTTCTACTTCTAAAGGCTTAGAATTTTAGTGCAAAACATACATTTTCTGGGGCTAGGAATCCAATGACACACATTTCAATAAGCTAAACCTGACCAAAAAGCATTATTCTGAGGATGTGTCAACTATATACCATGGCATGCCGTATGCCTGATGGACAACGTACATGTATAGGTCATAATTATTCAAGGACATTATCTTGTAATCCTGTGACGAAAGGAAGGATGCCAGAAACAGTCAAAGCCCGTGTCCTCCATGTGCATGACCTTCATGCTGCAGATGCAGTGTACCACCAGGTCTGCAGTGTTAACTAATGCTGTGATGTCTCATGGAACAGACATACCTGATTTCAGTTCGGAGTTTGTCTAGTATGCTGCAGACAAATGTAGACCACAACATCTGTACCCTTTATGGTAACAATACATTCCATGGCATGGGGATGATTGCTGCCATAACCCCAGCCACCAAGATATCGATGGAGGTGACCTACCCTCAGGGCGCAGGTCACCTCCATCGATATCTCCACGGTGGGACGTATTCCTATCCATCACCACAAAGAAGAGAGCCGTGGTATGACAACACTGACATACCAGAAGGTGATCAACATGAAGGCAAAGGACCTAACAGCAGACCTTGATCTCATGTGGAAGACATCCGTTATGTTCACCTCACCAAGACCGGCATGGTCTGGACTGATGCAGCTAGTGCATCATGTTGACCACCCCGGGAAATCATCGGTGATGTTTCTCCCAATGATCGACATGAATCCCAGCGATGTCACTTGCATCTATTCCACACTGAAGTCTGTGTGTGAGCATGCTTGTCGGCATGGTGTTACGCCCATCATCACCTTTGACCAACCACTATGTTGGCTAGCCCTCATGATCATTGACCAACGATTCAAAGAAGGGTTCCATGTTGTCAGAAGAAGTGATCGCCTATGGGCTGGTCTGTCCGTAGATCTCACCATCGAACAGGTCCTAATGAGGAGTATGAAGACCAGCGGTGGCCTGACGAGAGGGCGAGGCATGGCAGAGCAACAGCGTCTCATATGGCTGCTCTCCATGCCTGCCTGTGCTGAAGTCAACAATGCTATTCAACAGCTTACAGGTGTAAACTATAACACTGGTGAACAAAACAAGGGCATGAAAAATGCTAGACAAGCACGTGACATGAAAGACACACATGCAGTTATCAGCTGTCTGAAAGAGAGAAAACCCTTCAGCTCAGATCCGAGCTTACGCAGCATTTCGACATGGGTACATGCAACCAGAAAAGTCAATGTGGATTCAGCAAAAACTGTTGGAACAGCAATCCTGACCAATATGGATGGACAAATTGCTGCTGACTACATTCAAGAGGAAGGATCAGGCCATCACCTTGGCTTTGAAATCGGCAGTAAAGATTGATGGTGAGTCAGTACAAGTGGATCCCCAGCTGCTTTTCCAGCGACTGACAATTGCTGCGAAAGCTACAGAGGCTCTAGAGTCTGTGTTCAAATATGAGCTGTGCAGTTACCCACCAACTCTGTTTGATTCCTCACTGCTGCTCCGACAGCCCCATAAGCCAGTGCTAGCAGATGCTATCAGGACACTCCTGACAAAGGATGCACCAGGAATCACAGGCCAAGTCCACTACTTGTTGGATGTTGGGACACTAGTTCAGCGCATTCCATAGGCACGTGGCTCAACATACAAATGTATCTGCACGCAATACACAGAGTATGTCCCAAAGAAGTATGGACAGGCAACAGTCGTGTTTGATGGATATGATAGTACATCAACAAAGGGTACAGCACACCAAAGACGTGCAAGAGGGAATGCTGGAGCAACGGTGACGTTTGATGAAGATTTGCAGGCTACAATGCAGAAGGAACAATTCCTGGCAAACAAGACAAATAAGCAGCACTTCATCAACATGTTCAGCACCAAACTAGGGGCAAAGAACTGCCAGACACATCATGCTGCAGGTGACGTTGGTCTCCTCATAGTGCAGAAAGCAGTGGAGTCTGCAGCCACCACTGATACTGTGCTGATCGGAGATGACACAGATCTACTCATCTTGCTCATCTACCACACCAACCTCGAGTCATGTGACCTGTTTTTTCAACCCGAGCCAAAGAAGAATGTGAAGATACCGCGTGTCTGGAACATGAAGTCTGTCAAACAGCAGTTAGGCCCTGATGTTTCACAGCACATTTTCTTCATGCACGCTCTCCTGGGATGTGATACTACTTCCCGCGTGCATGGCTTTGACAAGGGAGCTTCCCTTCACAAATTTAAAACCAGTGCGCAGTGCGCACTTCCGTTAACAATCAAATTGTGTTTGGCAGACCGACAGCGTCCACCGATGATGTTGTAGATCGAAGCAGGAGAGAAAGCCTTGGCTTGCCTGTACAATGGGAAGCCTGCAGAGTCGCTCAATGTGGTGCGACATAAGCGGTTCTGCTAGAAGGTCGCCTCCAGCATTTCTCATGTTCAACCCCAAAGTCTACCGTCCACATCAGCAGCAGCGAAACACCACAGCCTTCGCGCCTACTACCAGGTCCGGCAGTGGAAGGGCATTGCAGCTGATGAGCTACGATCAGATGACTGGCGGGAAAGCAGTGAAGGAGTCATGCTCGTACAGACGGACTTGCCACCAGCTCTAGAAGAGCTCCTCAAGATGATCCGCTGCAACTGCCAGATAGAATGCAGCAGTCTGAAGTGCACCTGCAAGAAGCAGAGCATAGAGTGCTCAGCTGCATGTGGCAACTGTAGAGGGTCAGCATGCACGAACTCAACCCAAGTTGCATGTGACAGTGATGACGATGAATAGACTTTTTGAGGAAGATTGATGGATCGAAGATGTGGTAACTACATGCAGTATTATAATAATTATGACCTATACATGAACGTTGTCCATCAGGCATACGGCATGCCATGGTATTTAGTTGACACATCCTCAGAATAATGCTTTTTGATCAGGTTTAGCTTATTGAAATGTGTGTCATTGGATTCCTAGCCCCAGAAAATGTACATTTTGCACTATAATTCTAAGCCTTTAGAAGTAGAAATATTGAGAATTATCAGGTTTATGGCAGCCATTTGGGAAAATGGCTGCCATTTCGGCTTTTTGGTCAGGTTTAGCTCATTGAAATGTGTTTCAAAGGATTCCTGGGCCCAGAAAAGGTATATTTAGCACTGAAAATCAAAGCCCTAAGTCATTAAGAAGCAGAGATATTGCGAAATATCAGGTTTATGGCGGCCATCTTGGAAAATGGCTGCCGTTTCGGCTTTTTGGCTAGGTTTAGCTCATTAAAATTTAATTAATTTGATTCCTTGTCTCTGGAAATGTATGTTTAGCACTTAAAATCAAAACTCTCTATGTTATTTAGAAGCAGAGATATGGGAAATATTAGATTTACAACAAAAATATGTGTTTTATATCGGTTGCTAGGCATATTATTACCATAGCAACGGGAACTAAGCGATATTTATCATTAAAATTGGATGAAAATGCTTCATTTGACATCATACTTCCTATAAAAGTAGTCACCTGCTTGTTGATAGCAATTTCTCGTGATATATTCTATTTCTCACGCCAATATGTTACCGTTGCTAAGGAGAAGATAGCCCTTAGCAACCAAATTTGCCATTTTGGCTCATAACAAAGTTTCAACTTTAGAGCGCTATAACTTTTTAATTTGAAAAGTAATAGACTTGAAATTTGGATATGATATCAACCAGGATGCTGAACAGTTTTTCAGCAAGTTTCAAGTCCGTTAGCATAATAATCAAATAAATATGGAGAAATATGTATTTTGGCGCAATTCATATTTTTGAAAAAAATGGTAAAAAATCACACTTTTGGCTAATAATTGGTAAGCAAATCATCACAAAACCTATTGAATGAGGTATCATCTTGTAGGAAATGTAATTGTCTTTCATATGACACCTTATTCATGGTAAAATGAGGTGCTGTTAAAAAGTGATCCCAAGAATTGTACAACAGTAGTTATACATGGCGGCCATTTTGAAAAATGGCCGCCACGGAACTTTCCCCCACCTGGATTCCTTAAGACTTTTGATATGTTATAGAGGACATATTTCTGGGTATAAAACAGTTGACAGACTTTCTGTTGCAATTAGTGGGAGGTTGACCCCTTTTTTTTCACGAAATGCCTGGACTACTGGTCCATACACACAACATAATTATAATAATAGTCACAATTCTAAAGCGCGTAAACTACGTTTCTAAGCGCTTTACATTGTAATTATGTAATTCATGATCACGATAAAATGAAAACATGCTGTGCTGGATTCAAAACTAAGTTCATGTGTTATCTTCACTAAGTAACACAGTAAAACAACACCACGTTATTTATTGTTTACATCTTGTAATTAGTTATAGTATGTAATCAGCTGGAAAGTGATAAATGGAAATGTTATCTATGTCATATGTAATGTACATGGTCTAGAAATCTTTCATGTCCAATGTCACACATTGCATATTTAAATTAATATTACAAAAATAAATTGTTCTCAAATGATTTTGAATGCTTATCGGGTCTCTTCAAATAAACTGTTGATCTATGAAGAGTTACGGAGAGTAAATATTTCACACAAAAGGGTATACGAGAGATTTTTGTATCTTTGTAACATCTGCAACGTCCTAGTAATCATTGGACGCAGTAAGATGTAATAGAAAAAAGTGAGCGTGATTAAAAAAAGCCTTTAAGTTAGCTGTGACTCAAAAGAGAAAACATTTAATGTCATCTGGACGTCAAGATCTGATGTGACTTGAACATCCTCAAGTTCCGAATAAACTTTGAAAACAACAAGTAATCAAATATTTACGACTTTGGGATCGACACTTTTTGTCATCGACGCCTTTCTATCATCTGGGACGCAAACGAAATGTCATCTTATCTGGAAGTTAAGATCTAATATGCCTTCAAGTTCACCAACTTCTGAGTAATCATTGAACACTACGAAATATCATCAACACTTCAGGACGAGGATATAATCAATGACTCTTTTTCTTAATTTTGGGACGCATAAGAGTACAAAACAAATGTTACCTGGAAGTTGAGATCTGATGTGATTTCAACGTCCGCAAGCTCCCAGTAGTCATTGGAGCGCCCAGTCTTGGTAAACAGAGATGTGAGGTAGGCTCCGACTTATTAATTATGAATGTTTGAACTCTGCAAAATATCATCGAAAATTCAGGAGGGGGATATAATCAATGATTCTTTTCTGTCATCTGGGGCACAGAGGAGAACTATTCTTACCTGGAAGTTGAGATCTGATGTAACTTCAACATCGGCAAGCTCCCAGTAGTCATTGGAGTGCCCAGTCTTGCTGAACAGGGATGTGAGATAGGCTCCGACGCCGACCCGGAAGTAGATGTTGAAGGTTCCGATGTCATCACCGAACATGTGGTACCACACACGGAACTGATGAGATAGAAATTTGATAACAATAAATTGTTAGCTTGTACAGCATCCTCAGTTTAATGACTTTAAAATGGTAAGCATGTTGTTTTCATATGTCCTGATAGATACGAAAGAGTTATTTCAATCTCTGTATCCATCGCTCTTTCTGTATCACTTACTATCTATATTCTCATGTATTTATATGTCAAGGTATGTATTTCTGTGTCTTGCCTTAAAAATGAACAGTTTCTTCATAATCAGTATACAAATTCCCTGTTCGGTAATAATCCCCTTGCTCTGCTGCAAGCTTTTTCTTCTCTCTGTCAATTTGTTCTACATCCCTATCTTCATTTATCCATTATCTCTCTATCTATTCATCTCTTTATCTATTCATCTATCTGTTTATCTGTATCTCTACAGGTCCCCTCACATATCAATATATTTATCTATCTATCTTCATATCCATTGTCTACCTTGAATAACTGTTGTATATTAGACATGGCAACTGTGAAAACATTTTCACCCTTTTTGTAAAAAAATAGCTGAGATCAGAATTGAACAGCAGATGTATTTTCTTTTTTTCAAATGATTAACCAAATAAGATAGAGGGAATGTGGATCTTGTTGTAAAATAACTCAAAATTACAAATAAACAAAACAAACAGGAGTTTTATGTAGCGTAGCTGCTTATTATAGAAAATACATTTCCAGTGGCAGCGGTGGGATATGAACCATTAAAATGTGTATTCCATAAGGCTTGTTAACACACATGCCACAATTAACAACCTAAGAGAGAGAGAGAGAGAGAGGGGAAGACACAGAGAAAGAGAGATAAAAACGAAGAAAGTGAGATAGAAACAGAGAAAGAGAATGAATGAAAGAGATAGAAATATAGATAGAGAGAGACAGAGAGAGACAGAGAGAGACTGAAAGTGGAGAAAAGGGAGGTGCGGACGCTAAACAGCAAACATTAAATTTCTGTTTCTAATGAGTATTAAAGTGCATATGGGACGCAAGAATCTTTATTTCTGTTAGCTTGTGTGTGAACGAGTTCTAAAATCACGTTATGATGTGGACCTTACCCTGCAGTATGTGTTCTGATTGACCTGTTGATATGCAGGACTGAACAGTCTTGCTTTATCTCCTTCTGATAATCCCTGCTGGCTGGAGTCCATCACAAGATAGAATCCTGGAAAATCAACATGAATACACAAATTAATAAATTCGCACAAAATTTATTGTTTTTCACGGACAGGCTTTAATAGCTCTTGTTAGATTTATCCCTCTTTTAAACTGATAAGAAAATACGCTTCTCGATGTTTCACTCACATGTGAACTCAGCTGAAACCACATATGTCAAAAACTAGATTCCTACATGGCTCTTTAAAATGACGTTAGTGTCGATTCACAGTTCGAACATTAGGTCTATTTATTTGGGTGTTACCCATTATGTAAATGGTCTATCAGACATATTGCATTTGACCAGCATGAATATTCTACGCCCACTATAATAATAATACGAATAAGAATACATGTATTGATGGTATTCTTTTGAAATCCAAATCAAAGTTACCTGTATATTGTGTGGTATGGTCTCTGTATGGCCCGGTAGCATAGTTCTCTGTATCCGATGGTCCGGTCTTTCTGATGAAGTCAGTATCATCATATATATCTTGAGTCCAATCACAGAAGTCGTCCTCAAAACTGCATTGATCATATCCTCCTACATAAATAATAAGTATGTATAGGTAATATTAATAACATGCAATAAGTAATAGTAAGTTCATTGACCATGAATCGCCTTTGTTTAAAAGTTTAAAATCAAAAGGTTTTTAAAAATTATTATGTTTAGAGCCGATGAGAATCCAGATCCTTTCAATCAAGGTACTTGACATGTTGTGTAGTTCAATATATGATATTTAATGTTAATGAACATAAAACCAGTGGTGTTAAATACTAGGCGAAACACAAAATTCCATCTTTTGTTGCCCAAGCCAAATAACATTAGCCTATACAAAAGTTATTCACTTGTCAATGATTGCTTCATGGAATAGCATACCTGTAAATGATTTTATATGTATTTAGGATGCCTGCATATCATATATTACAAGTCAGTACATGAATAGTAGTTTTCACAAAGAGAGAGCTAATTAGAAAGAGAGAGAGAGAGAGATAAAGGGGGTGATGTGGATATCATAAAGAATCCATCGTTTAAATTTGAAATATGCAATCTTGATCTGTCGTCAAGTATAGAGAAAAGCATTGTTTAGTTTTATTACCGCAGAGGGCAGGCTCCTCATCCGACCCATCCCCGCAATCATCAGTAAAGTCACAAAGACGACTGGAGTCGATGCATGCATTGCGGGTACAACGGAACTCATCACTAGCACACGGCGACGACTGCTCATCTATAGTAATTAAGAAGAGAGAAAAACAAGAAAAAGATGAAGGAAATCAATAAGAATATAAATAAAAACTGTTTCAAGCAAAATTAAATAATTGCATGGAAAACCATGCGGAAAAATGTAATCCACTAAAAATTTGCAGGAGCAAAATCTTTTTCCTAAACGATCTTTTCACTCAAATTATTGCACATCAAATCTCAAATGTCAACTAACAAGTGACATTATATGAATACAACTAATTTCGAAACATTGTAACAGAAGATGATCCAGCAAAGCCCTCCCCCCCCCCCCACCAAAAAAAAAGGAAAGAAAAGTCCCCCCCCCCCCCCCCTGGCGCTCAAGGGGGGGGGGGGGGGTAGTGAGCACATTTTTTTTTTTTTTTATCCTAAAAAAAAATTCAATTTGCACCCCCCCCCAAAAAAGGTAAAAATCACGTGATTTTACATGATTTTTTCCTCAAGGGGGGGGGGGGGGGGTTCCCCCCTGTATCCGCCACTGCTGTCATCAGTCTGAACCCCCAAATAAAAACAAATACAATTCCAATCATTAAATATCTACTTTCAACCTATACAACACTATCAGAACTTATTTAGAAACATAGTCACTAAAGGTAACGCACCACTAGAATCAAGCAATATCCTAACCATGTATTGTAAAATATATTAACACAATATGCATTAATTTTCCTTGAAGCAGTGTGACTAAAGAGAGTAGAAAATTATCTTTGATTGTTTATAGGCTACCTGGCAGAGCACATCCTTCCATCCTGACGTCATCAATGGCGACATCACCGAGAACATCGAAGTTACGGACCGACTGGAACTTCACCTGTGAAAGCAAACGGAACGAAATTAAACATGCGCATATAAAATAGATTTCATGCAACTTTCTTATAACCAAAAATGGTTTAGCGCCTCACCATTTTGGCCGGAGAGGGCGTAAATCAGGGCCAGCCATCGCGGGATATTCGTGTGAGGGCTTGATTCTAAAATGCTCAAGAAATCCGATTGATAATCCAGCTTAATCGGTAACTAGACTTTGATTCATGATTCGTGTTTTTCAAGTATGATGAATGTATTGACGATTCATACAAATATGTATAATGGACACTCTTGGAGTGAAATGCAACAATTAATCGTCTTTTTTATCACCGAGAGTGTTGAATGCTGTGCCTAGGTGGAGAGTGCATGAGCTGGTATATATAGTACGGGCGCCGGATCCAGTGTTGGAGTGCTTCAATATTTTTGAGTCGTGAAATTGATACAAAGTGAATATGAATGGAAAAGACGATTATTATTTGAAATTTTCGACATGGAAATTTAAACTTCAGTGGTGGATCTCGTGGAGCAGAAGATTTGTTCCAACAGTTCATATTAACCAGGTGCATGCTTTTTTCTGATTGGTTGTTCACTTACAAGCATATACATTCTTTCTTATACTAGTAGTCACGTAAAACAATCATCATCAAAGAAACAAATATGTAATGTCTTACGTTAAAACCACCGGGGATGCGGCCCAGTCCAGCGATGCCCTCCTGCCATCGGTCCCCTTGGTTTCCGGACTTGAACCAGGGCAGCATCAGGAAGTACTGTTCCTGGATCCAGACTTGCAGGTTCCCGATCTCATCCCCTAGCATATGGTACCAAAAACGGACCTCGCAGGTCGCCGCAGCGTTCCGGTGCATGCGCGATGAGAGTACGGCATAGGCCGCCCCGCTGTCGGGCGTGGTCCCAACATACATGTACCAACCTAGGGATAATGAAGGGAGATAGATGGCGTTAATTGGAGTTGACACTTTGGATATCTATGGTGTTTTACAAAACCTATTTCTATATCAGTAGGAAAGACAATATAGGATGGAATAAACGAGATACAAACTGAGGGAGAATATAATGATTAAAATATATAGGCCTATTTATTTTGTAAAGGAGTGTACCAAAAATAAAAGATGCATTGTGTTTTTTGACCCAGTTAAAGGCAAATATATGGAGCAAAGTGATTATCTATGTATTTCCATTTATATCGTCATAACGGTGCTACCTAGTTTTAATATATAGATTTCAACACATAGTACCTGTCTTCATTTATATTAATCTTGGCTGTATGTTGTTTTTTTTTCAAATCTAACTTCAGCATTTTTGAAACATTGAGAATTATAAAAATATTTAAAAAAACTACGGCAATGAAAGATGGAAGAGCAAAACCAGACAACTTGTTTACACCAAGAAAAGACCAATTAAAGTGTCCCAACATCCCCAAAATCATTTCAACATTCCCAAAATTATATATGCAATGAGTAGCCAAATTTACCGGCTGCTGTGAGTGTCGTGTGATCATAAGCAGGGCCTGTGTTGCTATCCGGTGTAGATCCTTGGTTACGTATGAACTTGTGTGTTCCATGGCCTGCGTTCCACCATCGACACGTATCTACCTCAAACGTACAAGTTGTACCTAATAAGAAAAACGCGAACAAATTGTAATTAAAATTGAAACAGGTGACGCTCAAAGTGCGGTTTATTTTGATGGTTCTGGTTTTTACATATCCATATTTTATGTTACGCATTGTCAGTTTTGTTTACAAGAAATAACATTGATGACAGGAGGTAGGTACAGACATGATCGTCTTTGTCTCGGACACTGTAAACATAATTATAACCATTTTTCTTCTTTATTCATGTTGTATCAAAGCATAAAACATTACATGTATATGAGCAAATGTACAAATGATGAATACAGAAGCTTATCCAAGAAAGATACAATGAAAAACAAGATTCTAGTATTTAGATAAGGTTGGACGTGCCTCCATCTTTACAAAAATAAAAAATATAGATTGTTTGTTTATCTTCATAATAATATTTTAATTTCTTTTGAAAAGATGGAAATGATAAAGCAAGTTATGGTAAGGTAAGGTGGAAGAAAAAGTGTCAGAGATGGAAAGTGTGGTATGTGCTCCAGCCCTTACCGCAATCGAGTTCATCGGCACCATTCCCGCATTGAGACACAAAGTCACATATCTGATTAGTCGGCAAACACTTGTCCGTTCCATCATTACACACAAAATCACAATCGTTTGGCGGATCTAAGAGGACAAATATGAACAAAAATCTTCAATTACTGTAAATTAGTACTTGATATATTTTTCTAGCCTCAATCTGACATTAAGACACAAAGTCACACATTTGCTTTTTCGGTGGCGCCGGGATAGACACTTGTCTGTCCGAATGTAGAATGAATAATGTTAGAGAGGTCCACAAATATCAAACATCAATATTCGAGTTACATAAGCACCTTCCAAAAAAAAAATCTCACAGTGGATGTAAGACATGATTGATAGTGATGCCAAGGAAAATTTACAGAAAAAACCTTTTTTTCAAGGGATGTCAATACTTGTTTATATATTCAAAATACAATTTATTCAGCTTGTTATAAATATATCTCTGAGAATGGTGGTCATTTAAGTAATTACGAATCAGAAAAACAGAATTATATAAATATTTAAGACGATAATGCCTGAAAAGAGTAATTTTCAGGAACTATCTTACTTTCAGAAAGTGAAGCTTGATCGTTAAGATTTTGTTTTACCTTATGGATGTATTTGAGCTGTAACAGAAGTACGGGCGTGAATATTGTCGGGTACTTTTTAGTATTAAATTACTAGTAAAATAGTTTCAGTTGTAAAATTGAGTATGAAGTCATTACAAAATCTTGTTCACTCACCTGAACATACACCATCGTAGAACATGACGTCATCTAATGAGATATCACTTAAATAGGAAGCTCCGACTGTGCCCTTGAATAGAACTTCATAAGAATAGGCCGAAAGGATAGGATCCAGTGTTATCTATGAAAATAATAGAAACTGTGTATTATGATGCTAATAAAAATGAAGTAGATAGACTAAGAGCAACATGTATGTTTAAACATAATATCATAGGTAGTGACGTCATAAAATGAGATATCAGTAAGGCCGAAGGAATAGGGTCCTGTGTGATCTATGGAAATAATAGAAACTTTGTATTTTGATGTTATTGAAAATGAAGTAGATAGAATAAAAGCAAACTATATATTTAAACATAGTATCATAGATAGCGACGTCATGAAATGAGATATCAGTAAGGCCGAATGGATAGGGTCCTGTGTGATCTATGGAAATAATAAAAACTTTGTATTATGAAGTTATTGAAAATGAAGTAGATAGAATAAGAGCAAACTATATATTTAAACACAATATCATATATAGTGACGTCATGAAATGAGGTATCAGTAAGGCCGAATGGAGAGGGTACTGTCTGACCTATGGGAAATAGTAGAAACAACTTACTTTGACAAAAACACTAGAACTAAATCATGATAATAATAACAATGATAGTATTGATAATAATGTAAATAATATCAATCACAACATTAGATTAGATTTCAGATTTTATTTCCGTTTCAAAACAAACAAAATATAAACAGACATAATATAATACAGTCAAATATAATATAAACAAAGTAAATTCAGTATTATGTAGAACAAAATTTAGTTGATAAGAAATATTGGGAAAAAACAGTACTGAACAATAGAAAAAAAAATGACCTTCATGAAGTAATTCAAAACGGAGGGGCTTGCTAAAAAGGCAGAGCTTGTATGAGGCAAGCCCCTGACTCAGTTACATGGATACGCTTAAATAATTATGGTCGAAAGCTAATACCAGTAAAACACACTAAAAGGGAATACAAAAAAAAAGAAAAAGTAAAAGTAAAAATAAAAGTAAGATAAATATAGTAACAGAGAGAGAGAGAGAGAGAAAGGGGAGAGAGCAAGAGAGAAATAGAGAGCGAGAGAAAGGCAGGAAGAAGGAGATGGGGACAGGAGGCAGGTACACCACCAGGTCGTTAGGCTTGTTTAGATTATTCTTAAAAAAGAAACAAAAAAGGAGGAAAGGAGGAATAACAAAAGGAAAGATTTGTTTTATCTTTCCGTAGGTTTAGATTTTTGAGCTTGGCTTGTTGGTGGGGAGTATTGGCTGATTAATGTTTTCCTAAGTTTACGTTTAAAATTGCTAAGACTAGGGGCTTCTTTTATATCGTTGGGAAGAGAATTCCAATAGGCACATCCAGCGAAGACAAATGAATTCTGTGCAAATAATGTTCGTGTTAAGGGTAAGTGATAACAGTTCCGTTGTCTAGTCGGGTAATTGTGTACAGAGGCATTTTTGCAGAACATATCGGAAAAAATTGCGGTAAGAAGCACTCAAAGACAAAAAATGATACTACGTTTTTAAAATCACAGAAGAAAATAAAGACCAACATGAAATACACTGACTCATTAAATAAGTACATCCAATTAAATTACTGAAGGCAGAACTATCTATCAAGAGGTCTTTTGAAAGAGGCAAGACAAATTATTTCTCTTACGTAAAGCTTGGAGTTGTTCAAGGTTTTGATGCAGTCATGCAATTTTGCTCGAACGTTTACATTCTTGTTCAGGGTGGACTTCCCCATTAACCTTTCTTTATAATTAAAGCCCCACTGTACTACTTGTAGCTACTTGCTCCCTCTATATAGAAAACAATGTCTTATCGGTGACCATTGGTCCCCGTGATCCTCTTTTTCTTGTGCAAATTGGGAGCTGAGTTGATGAGATAACCACCTGTCAGTGACAGTGGTGAAGTGTGACGTTATCAAAAAATCTATTTTTTTATAATTTCTCAATTTTGTCTTTTCTTTTTCTAACCATTAGGAGCCAGAGCATATAACACTGAGTTCCCATAGGACACATATTTATTCAGATGGTCATATCTCAGCCAATACTTACAAATTCAATTGGTTTTCGACATTTGGACATTATTTTTGATGCTCTTTCGGAAAATGAAGAAAAAATGAGAAATTCTAAAAAGTAGATTTTTATGACGTCACAGCTTCGGTACTCTATAGACGGTATTTAAGGGGGACCATACCTGGACCTGTCGCCAAAAGTCACCGGTATCCTGATTCTGAGACCACTTGATACTCGGAGAGGACGAGCTGTCTGGCCATACCTGGACCTCTAGAGTACCCACATCAGCCCCGCCCATGTGATAGTAAAACTCCATACAACGTGTAGATACCGCGAGGAAGTCACTTGACTTGAGCATTGTGACGTCACCTTCTGCGCGCCCGGTGGCCTCGACGTACACGTATGTCCCTAATGATGAGAGAATGGTAAATGATATACAAATGTTTATCAAATTGCCTGATATGGGAAACAGAATAAGTCAGATGTTTTGTTTGAATAACTCCATTTTACCTTCATATATGACAAAAGGTCAATTAAATGATGCACTGCATTTTTGACTGTATGAGAAATAGTTCGAACTATCCCATCAGCCCCGTCTATATGAAAGTGAACTCCATACAACGTGTGGATACTGCCAGGAAATCGCTTGTATGGAGTATTGTAATGTCACCCTCGAGCTGATAATAACAAATTAAACCAAAATTATTTTTTGTCAATTTCGCTTAATAAATCACAAACATTTTAATCTAGTACACCTAGGCCCCGTCTTGCTTAAAGTTGATATTAATCGCAACTATGTACATATTATAGAGATAACAGACTGCAAACTTGCGATTGCTATAAAGAGGACTTGCGATTGATTTGGATTAATCGAAACTCTTCGTAAAACGGGACCCAGGTCTTTATTGAAGCATGATAGCATTACAAGAGCACAACAAATAAGTTTTATTTGTATTCCCCCTTTTTCAGAGGAAGGGAGGGAGGGTCATGGCCTTGAATGAAATAAATGAAAATGTTAATACTCTAGACATTCAAGAGCGGAAGTAATGAACTGAAAAAACAAATATTCAAGAAATGTATCATTGAAATCATTGAGACAATTCTGACCGTATAGTGTTCCAAGTGTGTGATCGACGCCTGGACCAGTGTCGTCAGAGGGCGTCCGTCCCTGAATGAGCAGCCAATCAAAGTCGTCATCGTTCTGTTCGTTCTTCCACGTGCACAGCCCGTTCTCGAAGGAACACGCACCAAACGGCGTGCAGGGCTCGGTCGAGATTATGACGTCATCAATGGCAACGCCGGCGCTGACTTGGTAGAGATTGCTAGAAGCTTGGAATTGGAACTGAGAATGGAAATTTAAAAAAAAGAAAACAAAAATGAGGGATAATGTAACTTTAATTCTACAGTTCCTCCAGGAAAAAATGCCTTATTTTATTTCATCGTCATCGACATATAATCAGCACCATCATAATCACTACCATCAACACCATCGTCGTTATCACCATCGTAAATCATCATCATTATCCTCCGTCTCCTCCTCATTATCATCATCATTACCAAACCACACCGTCATTACCATTAGCACACTAATTGTTTACCCTATATGATTCTGAGCTGGTGTAATTGATCTCTGCTTAATGCCTTTCGTCTGATATTGTGACTGTATTCATAAAATAACCACCATCTTCTTCCTCACCACCACCTTCACTATATTAATCATTACCATCTTCATCAACGCCACCATCTTTTCCATTATAATCACCACCACCACAACATGCCACCATCATCATCATCGTTATCACCATCATAAGTCCTCCTCCTCCTCATCATCATCATTACCACAATAACACCGTCATTAGCAAAAATAATGAAGTGCTTTTGAATAAAAATTGCTTTTTGTTTGGTTTCCCAGATGGTACGCAATATATCTTTAATTTAGTCATTTTATATGCAAAACACTCTATATTCTCTGCGAAATACAAAAGGGAACGGCTATCTTTGGATTATTTTAAGAAGATGCTTAAACGTTGTTATGAAGTTGAGCGGGTTCTTTCTATCAAACGCAATATATTTGTTGTATTACCTGATAAATGGAGACATGTATTGTTTGTTTTACCGATATGTCCCAACATGTACTTTGTTCAAATGTATTGTTTTGTTGTTCCTCAAGAATGATTGAATACATTTTTCTTTTGAAAAAAAAAATGTAAAAAATGGCTTACCTTGTATGACTCTGAGCTGGTGTAATTAATTTCTGCCACATGCCACTCGTCTGGTCCTGTGACTGTATTCATCGCCCATAGCCTGGTAGATCCTCCGCTCCTTGCATGCATGGAAACCTTTAATGGGATTACAAATAGAAATCAAAATCTAAACGCTCCATAACCTCGGACAGAACGTAAAAGGAGCAGGCTGCTTTGCTAGAAAAACAAAGATGACCCCCCACACACAAAAATGAGTTATTAGTTATATTGGCATGCTAATCCAAAAATATCGGAAACCGAAGGAAAAGAAGAGGAAGAAGAAGAAGAGAAAGAAGAAAAAGAAGATGAAGAAGAAAAAAAAGATGACAAAAGAAGAAGAAGCAGGTTGAGAAGAATGAAGGAAAGAAGGAGAAGGGGGGTCCGGACCCCCGTTACCCATCTGAATCCACCTTTTAACAGACACTCACCTGTAGAACAGACGCTTGTGATGTTCCCATGTAGTAAGAGAACTTCATGCATTGTGGGGTAGGTGTAGGATCATAGTAACCCGTCTGAATGGTAGCATAGTCATTGCTAGAGGAGAGACTGGTCATATCGGCAAACATGACGTGTCCTTAAAAAAGAAGAAAAATTGTACAATGCACTATCTTCTAAAAGAGGTGTTGTTGTCTAGCGGACATATTAATGGAACATAGACTAATTGTCTCAGTTGTGTTCACTCAAGGCGAGGTCAAATACATTGAATTTTGGATAGTAGCATTGCCAAAAGTGAGAGAGAGACACATTGGCAAGCATGTGTGTCCTTAATAAAGAAGAAAAGTGCAGAAACACGATTCCCACCATTTTGAGAAAAAAAAAATCAACTCAGGGGTCATTTCAATACTCTATTGTATGTTCCAGAGAAATCTTTTTCGGATTACATAATATTTCAAAGTCAAATGTGCACATGTATCAATGAGCTACGCACAAGATTGATTTTTTAAAAACAGTAATCATGTTTGGAACCCTTTTTTTCTTCAAAAAGATGTTGAGATTCATTGAATATATCACAATACCACCAAGTTCGGTGTGAGCGAGTTGTGGTGCAATATTATGTAGATTGCCTAGAGTATGTCTTTATAAACAACGTCTTGGGTATGGAAGTTAATATGTACAGGTTCCAAACCGATTCCAAGAGATATTCACAAAGATGTACTACACTGCAAGCTTCACCTCATATTTTTCACTGGTTGCTTACCGTAACTGGTCTTGTAGGTGTGGTCTATAGTTGGTCCTGTTCCTCTTGTGTTGGCCTGGATCAGTTCCCAGTTGAACGTGTCAGAGGTCATCTGAGTGAAACCACAGGCGCCATTCTCAAAGTCACATATGTCTAAAACAAGAAACAACGAATAAGGTTGTATATTTGGAATCAGTTTATCAACGAAAGAAGAAAATATATTTATAAAAAAGGGAGAATTGAAAGAGATAATGAATGAGAAGCAATCTTTAAAAAAAACAGGAGACAAATGGAGAGCAAAACGTGGGAGATGGCACAGAAAGATAAGAACTGATGAAGCGAGCGAGAGAGAAAGAGATAGATAGAGAAAGAGAGGGGAGGGATAGAGGAAGATATATAAAGAAAGAGAGACAAAGAAAGAGAGACAAAGAGAGAGAGCCAGAGAAGAACGGAGAGATATTTAAAGAAAGACGTAATGGTATGACAGATGATGGCAGAGGGAGGGGAGGGTAAAGTATTTATTTAAAGAGAATTTCCAAAGAAAAACAATTTACCTAATGGGAATAACAACACAATGAAGTGAAAAGGACCCCAGTCGGAAGAAAATTTGAAGAGAAAAACAGGATAATAAAAAGACGATCAAATGGAAAACAAGTGGTTACCATCTAAAAGATAGAAATGCAAAATAAGTGCAAATTGGCAACTGAAAATTGACAATTATTATCAAAATAATAAAATAAATATAAAAAAACTGAAATATTTAGTTTTACCTGGTGTTGGGCATGCCCCTGGGTGGAAGACGATATCATCTAGGGCTATATCCCCCATGAAATCAGCTCCTCGTACTCCTTCAAATATCACCTACAATAAAACAATCACAAGTATTCAACATGTCGTCTGTCAAGCTTCCTAAAGTGCACAGGTGCCGAGTTAAAATCGTGACTTCCTAGTAAGCGAGGTATCGTCTGCACTAGTGTGAACAGGAGGGATTAGACCTCTCTGGATGGTCACTGACAGGTGGTTACCTCATAAAATCAGCTCTCAATTAACATTGTTAAAAGGGGATCACGGGGGACCAACGGGTACCGCTTAGGCATTGTTTGGTATAGAGAGGGCGCAAGTTGCTACAAGTAGTGCAGTCCCGCATTAAAGAATATTTCCTATTCCTTTCATTTTTTCCTCTCGTCCTCATTAGGATGCCTTTTTTCTCCTCTGCCTTTGTAGGGATGTCTGATCGTATTCTTGCCTTCTCTACTTATCTTATTTCTCTCAATTGCTTCTTATGTTTAACATCTGATCCTACCAACAAAAACAGACTTAAAGAGTGCAGTGTATGAACAGATTGAATGAATGCTAGCTACTTGCGCCCTAGTATCAAACAATGCCTAATCGGTGCCTGTTTGTCCCTCATGATCCTCTTTTTCTTATATTAATGAAGAGCTGATTTGATGAGATAACCACCTGTCAGTGACCTTGCAGGGAGGTCTATCGCCCTGGTCAAACTAGTATAGACGGGCTTAATGTATATTTGAAATTAAAAACTACAAAGGCAAGGTAGTGCGCATATTCAGTTAAATGCATTTATTTCAAGATGATTGTATAGTCCTTTCGAAATAAAACATTCTAAAACTATTGTTACAGTCACATGTAAAGTAAACTATATATGTAATTTCTGTTATAACCACTTTTCTATCATACGATGTATACTGTCTTTCATCTACGAACTTACTGTATATGAGTCTGTGCCCGTGAAATGGATCTGTCCCTGTTGCCAGAACGGACCCCTTGGTTCCGACTCGGTCCAGACCAGTGTCTCGGCCCCTCCACTGGACGTGTATATGGACAGACTCCCGAGATGTATTCCATACATCTGGAACCAGAACGCCATACAGTAGCCACTGTCATCGGAGCTCCGCAGGGCGTTGGAATTCACCCTGGCAGTATCCCCGGGGTTTCCATCACTTGTCTCGATATAAATATAGTAACCTGCATTTAGGAAAGAATAACTGTTCAGGGCGCGATAGCTCAGTTGGTAGAGCAGTGGTCTCGTAATCCGGCGACCCGGGTTCCAAACCAAGGCGATGCGGTGGTGCCCTTTGGTAAGGCATTAATCCTCATTACCAGGTCTCTCGGAGAGGACCTAAAGCCATAGTCTTCTGGTTGCTTACTAACAAGCATTTATGCTTTCTTAGCAGTCACGTAAAATAACCATCACTAATAATAAATAATAAGTCGATTCATTCATTCATTCTACCTGAACTAAATTTGAAAAACAATATATACGCACCAAGATTCACCTCTGCTGAAATGGGAACCCCTACTGATAACACGGCTGGAACAGCTTTAGGTAAATAACTGTATTTGATTGCTAAATAGATGGAGGCATGTCCGACCTATTTCCATGCTAGAATCTTGTTTTTTCACTGAGCCTTTGTTTTGTCAAACGTATGTATCCATCATATTGTACATTTGCTTATTTTATTGTGTGCTTCGAGAAAAATTAAGTAAAGACTTTATTTGAAAAATTCAATGATATTTCTTTTAAAGTATGCAAATGTTCTTGCTGTTATTCCCTTTTCGCTGGATTATGTACTACAGGTTCAGTGGAAATTAACAAAGACCGCGGTATAATTATGATGATCCTACATGTTTAGATATGGATCATGATTACAATACAAGTTTACAACACAACAATGATTTCAGAGAAAAATAAATAGAAACAGCTCCCTTATGCTTTCTACTGGCCATCTAAGCGGAACCTTTAGAAGTTGTTGAACAGTGTTCCATACTATACCTGTAAATGTGTTACTATACAGTAAGGGGTGTTGCAATGATTATTTGCAATTTTCCAGCATGTGAACATTAAAAACAATCTAACAAAAACAGCAGTTGTACATATATTCATATTTAAGGTCTACTTGTAATTAAAAATATAATAAAGGTCAGAGCTTGAAACAAATTATCCAAAAAAAAAAATTTGTGAGGGAGGGGGTGGGGGTGTAGATTCCCTTCACTTCGACGAGTGACATCCCTGGGCTTGAACCATACCTGTTGCATCTCCTGTTGTGTGGTCTCCAGCAGGTCCTGTTCCTGCGCTCCCAGTGGTCCCGGAGACCCTGGTCCAGTCAAAGTCATTGCCTGGGTCCTGCGTCCAGGAACAGAGACCGGTCTCAAAGTCACAGTTATGTGAATCTGGAGCTGATCATGGAATGAACGAAAATTGGATTTATAATAAATGGAAGGGAGTGGATAAAATAAGGCGGGATGAAACTAATTTGTATAAAAACTAAGTACTATCAGCTAGTATTTATTATACTGTTAATATACTGTATATACATATACCATTAGTGGCGTACGCAAGATTTTTCCAAGGGGGGGGGGGTTAAAATCGGGCCAAAATGTTTGCAACGACTCAGATTTTTTTTTTTTATAAAAAAAATAAAAAATAAAAAAAAATAAAAGGGGGGGGGGTCCCAAAATACATACACAAAACGTACACATAACAACAAATCAAGGTGGGATTAACCCCCCACCCCCTTGCGTACGCGCCTGTATACCATCCACACTAGCGGAAGCTTAAGTGCATTATATTTAATTCAAATTGTATTAAATCATGTCACAACATGTACTTGCTCAACAATGATTGAATAACAATTTTCTTTTCTTCGAATAAAAGAAAGAAAATAAAGATATATTGGATGCAATATTTAAAAAGTACTTAGGCCTATCACCTTTCTTCGAAAAAGTCGTCGCCTGTAAACCTATTTGGGAAATAAATTTGGTGATCGTTTTGCTTAATCATTTACAATAGTTTCTCATGCTCAATATAATATTTCTAGCATTAAATAGAATGGAATTTAGATTGTGACAAGGTTTACTTTCTTACCGAATGTAGGTATTGTGGTGGGTGGGGCCGGAGTGGAACCACACGGAGCATCATACAGCATAACGTCATCTATAGCCGTGTCGCTGGTGAAGTTATAGCCAATGATGCCCTCTACGATAATCTGGAAAAGTAGACGAAGCATAGGCAAGAGTTGAAGGATGTTGCTCATACAATTCCTAACAGCACTGAGATCAGAACATTTTCAACATTGGAATAATTTTCTACTACACATTGCACTAATTTTCATGATGTCTACGGTTTTAATGTTTTTAACATGGTTGGTGTTTCCTAAACATAGTAGTTCATTCTTCTTATGTTTCATGTAGGATTTAACAATTTAGCATTAGCATTTCAGAGGTTGTTGGTAATTTTAATTTTTCCTATCGCTTTTCGTAGTTACATCGACATTACGAGTAGATATTCTTATTGCCATCATCATCGTCGTCATAATCAGCTTCATCATCTACAAAACCATCATCATCATCATTATTGTCATCGCTACCGCCACCACCATCAACACCATCATCATCACCACTGCTATCACCACCGTTACCATCATCATCGTCATCATTATCACCACCATTACTATCATCATCTTCACCACCATTACCATGACTATGACCATCACCCTCCTCCTCCTCCTCCTCCTCATCAGCATCAAAATAGCAACTCACCCAGAACTGATCGGAGGATGCTACTGTCAGCATAGTGTTTTTCCACACGTTTCCTTGGTTACCCGTCTCTGTCCACTGGAGCTGAGGTTGTGTGTCCGCAGTTTGGGTGTGTATCCTCAGAGATCCGGTCCCCTCACCGTACATGTGGTACCACATCTCAAAGCAACGCCCTAACCAAGAAGAAGAAGAAGAAGACTTTGACTTTTGAAAGTAAAACTTTATTTACAATACATATAATAATTAAAACAAATAAAAAAGATAACAGTGATGCACTTAATATAATAAGTGTTTGTGAATCATATACCAATAATCAACAACAAGTAGTACGTAATACATGAGAAGAAGAAGAAGAAAAGGTAGAATAAGAAGAGGAGGAGGAAGAAGAAGAGGAACAAGAAGAAGAAGAAGAGGAACAAGAAGAAGAAGAAGAAGAAGAAGAAGAAGAAGAAGAAGAAGAAGAAGAAGAGGCAGAATATGAACAGAAGAGGAGGAAGAAGAAGAAGAATACGATGAAAAAAAGACAAGAATAGGCATAAAATAATAAGAAGAACAAGAAAAAGAAAAGGAATAACAAGAAAAAGAAGAAGAAAAAGAAATAGAAACAATTATGAAAATAAGAAGAATAGAATGAGAAGGAGGGGGAGAAGAAGAAGAAGAACAAGAAGAACAAGAAAAAGAAAAGGAAGAAAAAGTAAAAGAAAAAGAAGAAGAACAAGAAGAAAAAGAAAAAGAAAACGAAAAATAAAAATAAAAAGAAAAAGAAAAAGAAAAAGAACAAGAAAAAGAAAAAGAAAAAGAACAAGAAAAAGAAAAAGAAAAAAAAATGAAAATAAGAAAAATAGAGCAAGAAGGAGGAGAAGAAGAAGAATTATTAAGAAGAAACAATTTTAATTAAAAAAATGCATATCCAAAATGCTTAAAAGCGAAGAATCGCAACATCAGTGTATATTTCGAAAACTACATTAAACGCCCAGCCAATGCAAATGGCTACATTGTATTACTATATTCTCAACATCATTCAAGTTCTGTATACAAGATAAAGCAAAAAAGAACACAGTTCTCTTATTTCCTCCTACATATGACATTGTTTTAAACAAAATCAACATGTCACTTATTTGTTTAAACCACATAACTGATATTCATTTTAATATATTTTTCTCATATTCTAACAGCTGTTCTATAATTATACTGACGTAATTATGACGGTGAACCAAGAAAATATTTACCACTAGTGCTTTCGAAATGTTCACTGACAAGCCAAGCTTTGTTACCATAGACACGAGGGGAGGAGCTTTCAATGAAAGCAAAGTGACCTGTGGTAACAAACAGAATGTAAAATACTAATTAAAAAAGAGAAAACATAGGAAAACAGAAAGTGATATGAGGAATATAAAGATCATACAACTTTCGTTATAACAAAAATGTTAATTCAGAAATGGTTAAAGGTCCAAGAGAGAAAAAAAAAATATTTTACTTTGAAATTCCTCAATAAAAAAAAAATATCAAGAGAGATGTAAATGAAGGAGATTTTCAAGGGCGACGCATGGAGATAGGAGAATTAAATCGAATACCATCCATATTATTGAATTCCATTTAATAGTGAACAATTGGGCACTTTGGCATGTCTTGTTTAAACTTGATTCATGCTCTCTTAATATAATGGGCCAGCATGTATGATACCTATAAAGTGTATATTATTTCTCAAATTTAAAAAGGGCACATTTAAAAAGTATACGTATTTCAAATATCAGCCCTTCCCGTTAACAGGATCTCAACTTTTTATTGTACATCTCATATGAATCGTTTTCTGTTTACGTAATATTATTTTATTAGGTGATGCACACAGCTAGTAAAATTGACCTACATTAATTTTTATAAATTAGTTGAGATGTCTTTCCTATTAACTCTTATTCTGCCACAGGGCTAATCCCCATTGTGCCAAGCCACAAATCCCCCAGTGCCAATTTTTTTTGGGGATAGTCGGATTAACGCAATGGTACAATCAATAGCACGTGTGAAGCACTAGGCACAGTACAATGGGCAGGAACAATAACTGCCATTACGAATGCTTGCAAACATGCAATAAACACCGATGCGGTAGCTTGCTCGCGTGTACAAAGCACTATAACAATTAGCGTGCATGCAGCCTTATGGCAGGATATGAGTTAAGTACAAAGAATTACCAATTTATCATTCATTTGCCGTACAGTAAACTACTTTCTTGCATGAACTGTACTCACCAAACGCATTCTGCAGTGTGTGGTCGAAATTAGGACCAGTATAACCAGACAGCGTCTCCGAGTTCCCTCTCAACCAATCAAAATCGTCACCGATGTAGTCGTTTGTCCAGCCGCAATACCCTCGCTCAAAATCACAAGCGCCCTCTGCAGGGCAAGGTTGGCCATGGAAACGGATATCGTCAATGGCGATATCCGCGTTGGAAGTTGCTCCGCCAGAAATGGCTTCAAAGTAGATCTTCAGGAAAGGGTAAACAAATATGAACAGCATATTAGTTATTGGTAAGTTCCGTTTACATATTACGATAATAAATCAACACTAACCATGTATTATGTACTTTCTAATTGCAAACTATTGTTTATTTTTGGATAGAAAATAAAGCAGCCATTGTTATCTTGACATTCATTCAAGTCATCAGAATTAAAGTTACGTCTCAGATAATTCGAGAGGTCTATTTTGTAGATAAATTTTCAATTTCTTAGAATGTTCCACTGTGTTGCAGGGTACCGGTGTATTCAATTGGGTGTGATGTGTTCGCGCGCAATGGCGCGAATTATACATTCTTTTTCTTCTTCTTCGCTATAAGTTTGTTTTTGTTAGGTTTTTGTTCCCTATCTTTTTAGGCTTTTTAAATTTGTTTAATCACCTTCTCAAACAACAATATATTACTGTATTATACTTTATTACTGTTTTGGTAGCAGCACCAATATTAAAAGCCTTTGGCTTTCCTAGCTGTCTCCACATTCATATATATTTTTGTTGTTGTATTGTATTGTAAATGTTTCTCTTTAACTTGTACGCTATGTTTTGTATTTTGTATGTTTGTTAGGATGTTTTTGTGATGAATGAAATAAAGTTAAATTCAATTATATAAAAAAAAGTACAGGCCACCGTCGGGTGTATTCTCGTGTTTGTTCGTGGAGATGCCAGACTGAGGTTGCTTCATATACATCTAACTACCCATGGAGGAATTGAATTTGTTCATGATATGTTTTTGTACAACTACAAGCTTTACATGAACCTGATATTAAGATTTGTGTAATAGTTATAAGCTATCTTCTTTGCTTGTATGAGGTATACGTGTACTTTATGGATTTATGCATGGATCATTCTCAAGCTCTTGTTGATGCTCTGAAAGAACTGAAAGAAGATCAAGTGCCAGTGAAAGATATTGCAAGGGTTGCGTTTCATAGGCTCTGTGAAAGTGCATCTGTAAAAATCCAATTTACTAAACGGATTGAGAAGTGCATGATTACTAAGGTAAACAGAGTGAAAGCTCAACTAAAACGGTCCTGGAAAGGGGGACATCAACAACGAGCATTTGGTGAATGGTTAACTAAAAACGAACTGTTAGACTTCAAAGTTTTGAATGAAGAGTTTTCAAACATTAATTTAAAACAAAAGCTCGATGAGGTCACAGAACATAATACCAAGCTTAATAGCTCTCTATCTACAAAATCAAACACAATCATGAATCTTCAGAGGTCTGTTAACAAGCTTGCTCAAAGGATTGTTGGCAAGTACCGAGGTACATCACCAAAGCAAAGATTCCAACCATACGTTAGGGCCCAATCTCTTCGTAGGAAGAAAACTTTAAAAGAAGACTGCAAAGCTGCATTAAGTTTCCTCACATGTCAAGGTATCCAGGTATCATCCCTGACCGTACAAAATGTCCATACAAGAACACAAGAACAAATGAATCTTACTAACAGAAGAAAAACAAAATCTAAAGAAGACAACGCTAAAACATCATTAGATAAAGTAAATATTTTACTTTATGTTAAAGATAAGTTTGGCATATCTGATCCGTTACGTTCTGCGAGCAATTTGCCGAGCATATATCAAATCAGAAAAGCTAAAGCTACGATCACAAAGGTTCGTACGAACGATTATTATGTACGAATCTCCCTGTTTTTTCATTGTCTTCCCGAATTTCCATTGTCTGAAAATCGTTCGTACGGCGTTCGTAGCAGTGCGTAATGGCATTTCTGACCGAGGCTTAAAGCCCACCTCGATCAATCTAGTACAGTGACACCAACTCCTTCAAAATATGCGACTGGTTTTCAAAGGGATTTTGCGCAATTACTACGAAGTCGAGTTTAGATTTTACATGGCAAACACATCGTTCAAGAAGGAGATGACATAAGAGTGAAATCATCTGGGGATGGTACGTGGATTGTCAAAAACCTGCATGTTGTGAACGTTACATTTACCATTCTAAATGAGGAAGATGCAGTAGCTAGCAGAGGTAATTATCTCATCGCAATTTTTTAAGATAAAGAAGGATATGATGCTCTCAAAGAGCATCTCGCCGACTTAAGACAGGCTGTTGCCAGCACCTCATCCAGAGAGGTTGGTGGTAATTCCTTCAAAGTGGCATATTTCCTTGGAGGAGACTATAAATTCATATTTTGTGTTCTTGGAATAGACTATGCCTCGTGTACTTACTCCTGCATATATTCTAAATCCTTCCACCTATCAAACATGCCTTCTGAGATGTCTAACAGAGGTATTCCCTTTAGAACCATCAAATAAATTGAAGATGGTGCGAAGATGGCCAAGAGATCCAAGTCCAAATACAATTGTTGAAGAACCCCCCTGTTTCCACAAATACCCATCTCACATGTTGTTGTTGACAATTCGCATATGTTTCTCCGCATTGCCGATGTTCTTATCAATCTACTCATTTTAGATGCACGTAGGCTTGATGCGGTAGAACAAATGAAGAAGTTTACTGAGTTTGATCGAGAGAAGCTGACTCATTTGTCCCGTTTGGAAAAAGTTTCTCTCAGATGCAGGAATATCTGGCGTTTCGTTCTTTATCCAAAGCTTTGAAGTGGCCAACACTGAGTGGACCTCAAAAACACAAGCTTTTTGTAAAAAATCAACATTGCAAAAATAGTACCAGAGCTGGGTGATGCAAAGGTTAATAAGATTCAGTTCATTTGGGATAAGTTTTATTCACTGACTTGTAAACTAAAGGCTAAGGAGGCAAGATTAATTTCGTGGCAGGGTGAACCATTGGTTTTCAACATTTAATGAAATATATGAAGAAGCACTGCACCCGATATCTTCACTTATTAGTTTGCCATGTCCCTTACCTACCCGAGCACTACGGCTCAACTGCACAGTTTACTCAACAAGGGTTAGAGAAGCTGAATGACCTTACAACCAAACGTTACTTTAGTACCAATCACCATAAAAATGTGGCTCTTTCACAGATACTGAATAAGCAAAGCCACGCGGAGTATCTTGAGAATAAGAATGCGCCTGGGGGGTGTTTCACAAAGATCCTAGGTTGAACTTATCTCTAAGTTGGACTTAACAGCTATGGAAAGCCATTAGCATCATTGAAAATATTTTGCAAAAGTTATTTTCAAAGGCACAAAATGTTGATTCAAATCTGTCATAATTTATATTATCAAAGAGATTTCATGTTCTTGATGTGGAATTTATAAAAAGTCTAAAAAACTTGATTTTTCGCTTTTGAATATCTTGTATTTTAAGACTACAAATGGCTTTTCATAATATTTAAGTCCAATTTAGAGTTAAGTTCGACTAAGGATGTTTGTGAAACACCCCCATGGTCTCCTAAAAGAAAGGGTGTATAATGTCTCCATGAACTGTTGAACAAGACAATGATTTGTTGTTATCTTACTATTTGTTTACTTTTCCATGATTATGTGCCACGTTCAATCATTGTTTTGAGACAGACGTTCCGTCTTTGTTGATGAATTATATTCCTTTGCTCGTTAATTAACTTTAATAGCGTCAAATTAATCAAGCCATGTATAGGTAATTCAGTGTTTAGGATACATTGTGTTCTGATGGATCTATGCATTCTTAGTGAGATGAAAATATATATAATGATATGAAATACTTGGTGGAAATGAGGGGAGTTCGACGTGATGACCGATTGCACCCCTCTGTAAATAATCAAAAAGCCTATTGGGTGGCATGTATATTCATACGTTTTGCCTTCTCCGGCAAAATGTTTGCCTATCTTCAATGGAAAAATTACGGTAGGGGGTTCGCTGAAATGGACATAATGAACCGATCAGAACTGATCTATGTTAATTCATGCTTGTTATCCTTCGTGTGCTTGACCTATAACCTTACAATCCCGTGGCAAATTGCGTCCAAAGTTCGACTTGTTTCACATGTGTTATATAGGCAATGGCGAGCTAGCGACCTATTTTGACCAAATTACGGTGGGTGAACTTTCAAAAGTCAATGGGGACATGAGGGTTCCAATGAAAGAGCTAGTGTCAACGTACGTCGGGGTGGATGTGCTTTTCGTTTAAACAAAAAATGAATGTTTAACGATTTCTTTTGATAAAAGTCCATAGGCTAACATGTTAGGCTGCTGGACTCTGACGATAGAGGGCGTTGTCAAATGAGACTAAACGGAGCTATATGTGTTATCCGCGAGATATCGACTGTAGCTGATCTCGACACATCCTCTTCAAGGGGCGGGGGGGGGGGGGGGATATACATATCTACTACATAATTATAATGTAGGTCTTAAATGTAATTTTGTTTGCGCACCTTGTAGTTGTTATCCGCAGTCGGGGAGATATCGACTGTAGCCGACCTCCAGACGTCGCCTTGTTCACCTGAAATCGTCCAGCTCGGTGTAACAAACATATCACCATCATCCTGCTTATACACGGTCAAGCTTCCCGCGTTCTGACCGCTCACGTGATAGAAGAACCCTAGGCATTGGGACCCGGATAGACTGTACTCCTTGCTAGCGAGGAGGGCGGTAGATCCGGACGGTTGACCCAAGATGGTTGCGTATGCATAGTGGCCTGTACCCGAAATATAGGAATTTAATCCAATTGGAATTGTGTTAAAAAAGTTAACATAGTTCAAGCTTGTCTGCAATATACTGTTATAATATATTTTCGAGAAAAAAAATTACAAGCTAAGCAAAAAATAGCTGTCTTCCTCATTTGAAACTAAAATGTACATGAACAATGCTCTTTGTGACTTTAAAAAAATATCAAGTGCATCAAATACACCTGAATCCCTCAAATTTCACATTGGATCAGAAAATGAGAAGCACGAAGAGACAGGATAAATGAAAGAAGAAAGGAAAGTTATCAGTACTGGAATACAAAACAGTATTTGATAGAAGAGAGAGTGGGGAATGTAGAGAAAATGAAGGAAGATAGAGAGTTTAAGGGAGAGAAACAGAGTGATATAGAGAGATATTAATTCATTACAAAACATAACAGAGAGAGAGAGAGAGAAAGGGAGAGACGTTGAGAAGAGAGAGAGAGAGAGAGAGAGAGAGGGATAGTGAAAGTGAAAGAGAAAGGTAGAGAGAGAGAGAGAAAGGGACTGACATACCTGTAGCAGTATTAGTAGAATGATCCACTGCTGGGCCCATACCACCGGACCCAGACCCCCATGACCAATCAAAATCATTGTTGTACACATTTGTCCAGTCACAGAGGTCGATCTCAAAGTCACACTCGGCTGCAGAAGGAAAAAAAATGTAAATCAGACAAGAAAAAGATATTCAAAAGAAAATAAAGGGGGGGGGGGAGACCTTAACATTAGGCCTGCAAAGAAATAATAAGTTGTGTATCAGTCAACAACATAGTTAACAAAAAAATAGGAGGGGAGGGGAGGAACCTGAAAATTAGACCTAAAATTAATTGGCTTTAAATGTATTGTTGTTCCCGAATCATCTTAATGATAGTATCAACATCAAATGTTCTCTTACCAAACCTGCAATGTAATTACGGTTCAAATAATATGCTATGGGGACTTACGTTACCCAATACCATCGAGATAGAAATTCGCGAAAAAACTGTCATTTTCCCATCATAAGGTTACCTGTTGGTGGACACTCTCCTCCACTGAGACTGACGTCATCAATTGATATATCTCCATACCAGCTCTGTCCTACAACGCCCTCTATCACCAGCTCGTAGTTAGCGGTTGTAGAAAACGTGTAGTGTCCGTTCCGCCACTCGTTTGCTTGGGTTCGTGACTTTGTCCAAATCTAAAGATGATGAGAGATATATTTTACACACAGAAAGTTTTTCACATGCATTTTCTTTAAAATCAAATATAGTTAATGAACTTAATTAATGGGATTAGCTATTGGCAAGGGGGCATGACACGTTAAGTTAAAAGAATATACTCACAAGAATAGGAAAAGAAAGTCAGGCTGAAAAAAGTAGAGATAGAATGAAAACGAAAATGAAGGTCAAGAAGGTCAAGGTCAAAACAAAGAGAAATGATAAATACATCATTTTATATAAGTCCAATGACAGTCTCTCATTTATTTTATTAGTCGACCACAGCAATTATTGAATGACTATTACGCTATCTACTCGTGATGAACATTAAATGAAATAAAATAAAAATGACTATGTCACTTACAAGGTTCTCATTCGATCCATCCGTGTCTCTGATATAGATAGCTAAGCTTCCTATATCACTACCAAACATGTGAAACCATAGAGACAGACAATATGGTTGACCTCGGGTTGACCTCAGTGACCCTGACAACAGCCGGGCATTTTCACCGATCAATCGAGGTGATGACGATTCTATGTAAGCATAATATCCTGCAAAATAGAAGGAAGAAGAAAACATAAAATGAGTGTCTCGTGTACCTCTTTTAAATGGTCTCGTGAAATCAAATCAAATAATCCTATTTGACCTATTGTTGGCCTCTTGTTGACCTCAATGACCCTTGCAACAGATAATGATCATTACAATTCTATGTTGGCAATCTTAAATTTTTGTATCTTGGGTAAAAAAAAAAAAAAATTACCAGCAAAACATATAACAATTTTAAATCTTATTATGAGACCTATCACTAAGACAACTAAAACATGGTTCTGACCCTTCCAAAATCCGGGCATTGTGGCCGACTATAGAGGTTATGAGTTTTACAAATCAGAAAATTTGGAATTGAAGCCTAATAAAGAAAAGATCATCACAGACCACACAAATCGAAGCAGAAATCGGCAACAAAATGAAGAGAAAAACTAATACAAATATTGAAAACATTATTTGAAATTTCAAAGTATTTGGTTTTACCATCGCCAGTAGTATGGTCGGTGGCAGGACCGGTGTACGCTGAGGGCGTGCTTCCCTTTCTCACAACCCAATCAAATATATCGCTAGGGTCCTGCGTCCATCCACATATCGTGCCTGACGTGTCACCAGCTCCAAAGTCACATGACACATCTGCAAACATAATTCATACGACACAGATGTAAATGTAGGATCATGTTATTAAATTAATTTGACTGTCTTCCAAATGCATAATTAAGTTTGCCTTAAAAGTGAGTAGTAAAGTTTTCATTAGACACAGAGAACTAGAGTAAGCCTTTAAAAGGCTAATAAACACACAAATCAGAGTCATATTCGAATAAACTTTGGTCATGAACCGATGATCAACTTCTACTACTTTGAATTTGTGATTATACTCTCCCTATTCTTCAATGGATTTATCCGGATATCGTAAATAATTGTATTGCAATTCTTGGGCAAATAATAACATTTCTAATAAGTACTTTGTATTAAGAAAAACATATTAAATGCTTTTTTTCGAAAAAATATTAATGGGCATATTTAATTAAGGCAACTTATTTGTTGCTTTTAACGGTGTGTCAATGTTAAATGTATCATGTAAAATAAAAAGGATGTATCAATTATTGATCAATAGCATACCGTCTGTATAAGCACAATTGACGAATGATATATCATCAATAGCTATGTCGGTCGTCTGTGAGGCATCGTTAAAACCAATACCAGGAGAGGCTTCAAATCGGATCTGGTAAGAGCAATGGGAGTAGAAGAAGGTGCATGAAAAGGATTATTTGGAGAATGCAAAAATTGAAAGAAAAAAATGAATCAACATTGGAAAATTGGTCCGCTTCATTTTCAGACGTTTTGCAATCATGCGATGTGCTTAATATGTCATTAATTTTATTTTATGTTTGCATGTACAATGCTGTATTTTAACCACCATACCTTGTAAATGACCTGCTATTCAGCTTCGGCTGCCAGAACGTCATGTGAATAAAACCCTTATTAAATTAAAGGGAAAAAAAAGTGCTACCAAACCGTTCATGGACTCGAGCGATTTCTGACAATTACTTTGAAAAACAATTATTATATTCTTAGATGAAGAGAAAAAAGAGGAAATATTGTTTTAGAAGAATATGAAAATATTTACATTGTAGCTATTTCTTATCAATCATTTTAAAAATTAACAGGTTTCTAAAGATGGAAGGAAATAGCTATCCTTTGAAAAAAACAATAAGAAAGAAACATACGTAGAGAGAGAGAGAGAGAAGGGGGGGGGGGTTATACTTGTAAAAATGGAGATAAAGCATGATAGGAGAGGGGTGAGAGATAAGGAGAGCGAGCGAGAGAGAGAGAGAGAGAGAGAGTGAGAGATAGAGAGAGAGAGAGATAGAATCAGGAAGTGGGAGAGATTGAGAGAAAGATATTGGGACAGAACAGCGATCAGAAAACATTGGATAATTGAAAGCTTACATAATACTGTCCTGCATCCCGTGGTCCTACAGACAGACTTCCCATATTCCATTGGTTGCCATGGTTACCCACGATGGAGACGTAAAATGGGTCGAGGATGTTGTTATCATAGAGAGCAACCAAGAGAGTCCCTGCATCACCACCAAGCATGTGGTAGTAAAACTGCATCTCACATCTTTGAAAGGGATACGGAATTAGAAATAATTATTCTGATTCACATTTGGAATCTACTACGTTAAAGCTGCCGAAACCCCGAAAACTCACACTGGTAGTACATCTATGGATTCACTTATTATAGTGTTCTGAGTGTGTTTTATGCACGAATGATTATATTGTAATATGATCAATTCTTTTTTTGTCAGCATAATATCACGTGAAAAACAGTTTGGGAGAGGAATCCGGTAAATTTAGTAGCAAACTTGCAAACTATGTGGCAGGCCTTGTTAAACAAATATCACTAACGATTACGAGATGTATTTGTTGGGAGAATAAAAGCAGTCAGTTAGTCCGAGAGATTCTTTTAATACAAGATTTGAAATCGTTTAAACATCATTATATTTATTAATTCATTAAACATGTATTAATCCTTTTTTTTTACTAAATAAGAATCCCTTCAGAATGTATCATTATTACCACATCTTTGGTAGATATGAACACCTTATCTCACTAAAACGAGGTTTCATGTTAGAGGGTTTTGATATCTTTGTCTCAAATGCTAAACAAACCCCATGACGTTTTCAAGCCGATCGCCGCTCCGATTATCAACATATTTATGAATTGGATTCGAAATTTCCAAAACCGTTTTTTCCCCATTGGTGTTTATAAAACAACAGTCTATTTTCGATAATGAGTATGTTAAAACCGGTCAATCAAAGATTTTAACTCTTTTGAGGCACTTCATGATCACTTTGGAGTGCAATTTTGTTTAGGGCTTCAATATTACATCATACCACAGACACTGATAACACGTCGGGCCATGCCTCTCATATTTTGCATTAATTAATTATTTTCTTGTTTTCTTCTTAGATCAGAAGAAAATATTACTGAAACCATTATTCTAAAAAAGGCTATGTTTTTTGGTTTGTTTAATAGATGGTGAGGAGTGTCAGTTTTGGCCTGTGCACATCTAATGAAGATGTAAACATACTGACATAGGGTATTCTTGGAATATGGGCATCTTTGTGCTTTTTGCAGACAAAATGGAGGGACGAACCTTAGAATATCTGTCTCTATAATATCGTTTTAATAGTACAAGTTCTGCATTGCGAGCATGTAGGCAACTAGTGTTTGTTTTAACGCACTGTAGAATGCACAGATGAACAAACGCAAAGCTTAGACGCTTAAACTCAGTGAAATTTTCTAAAAAAACGGAACATTTTGGCCTCTCGTATGAAGGATTAAACTAAAGGGATGACGTTAACTTTAACGGGGCGTTGTGGCGCGCGCCTGATATCCAGCCAACAATGGAAGTTACAAACTGATTCAGCCGAGGACACAGGATCGAAACTGAGTCACGTACGTCTTTCGGATGGTGACGTTAAAGGTCGGTCCCAGACGTATATAATCATATCTGATTGATACACCTCTGTAAAAAACAAAATAGGCGTTGTGGCGTGCGCCTGTAATCCAGCTAACAATGGAAGTTACAAACTGATTCAGCCGAGGACGCAGGCTCGAAACAGAGTCACGTATTTCGGATGGTGACGTTAAAAGTCGGTCCCCAGACGTAAATAATCATATCTAATTGATATACGTCTTTAAAACCCCAAACACACACACACTCACTTAGATCTACCGACATTTTGATATTGTCGGAGTCATAAGATTGTTTGACGATCTCCATAAGCCTTGAAGTAAAATACAACCGTCAAGCTTATCTAAAGCAGATATGAACTCATTCTAAACAATGGGATTACATAAAATTCACCTTTGACCTGTTCTGCCAAGCTGCGGCGGGCTGACCAAGAGCGCCGTGACGCCGAATGTCCCTGAGGAACTGTCCACAAAGACAAACGAACCAGCCGCAGTACCGAGTGTGTGATCAACAGAGGGCGCTCTACCAGATGGCGCGTCTTGAGCAGCGGTGCGATGCCAGACGTAGAGTCCGTTATCGAAACTACTCCAATCACACGTGCCACTTTCAAAGTCACAGTCTCCTGTTAAGATAACATATTAGAGATAATATAGATATTAATGTCCTGAAGCAATAATGGCTAATAACTAATATTGAAGCAAAAGTATTGTTGTTTTCGATTTGTTCAAAGTGAATGCTCCTTTCTTGAACAAATGCCACCGTTAACTTGCACAAATACATTTGCGAGGTATCTCGTACAGACTAATTGTTCGAAATGGAAGGAGTTATGACAGTACAATATGCAATATGATATAAACATATGAGGAGGGGGGGTTCCAATACTGACGCATCTGTACGAAAACATGCTAATTTATCTGTTTCAGTTGGATGTTGAGGGCATAGAGGTTGTTACTCATTAAAGATTTCACGTGTTTCTGTAGCAATTGCTCTCCCATCTAAGATATATGATTCATAACAACAGACACGAACCCTAAACTATATATCTCATTATTTATTTCATTAAACCCAACCTAAAACCAAACACAACCCAATCCTCAACCCTACAGAACAAACTTTGACGAAATAATTGTGGAGGAAATGGCGCCAGAGAAAATATCAGAACATTACATTTACTTTAAAAAAAAAAAGAGAATATTCTCACCGCAATTCATTTCATCCTCATTCTCTGCGCAGTCTGGTGTCCCATCACATCTCAGGTTTATATCGATACAGCTACCATTCTTACACTGGTATGAGTTGGGATCACATGCAGGCAGGGTTGTCAGTGGGACTGTAGGGGCGGGGGTAGTCACGTCGGGGAGGGGGTTAGAGCTGAATTGACAGGCGGAGCTGAAGCTTGTGTCGTCAATGGCGATGTCGCCACGGACATCGTCACCTCGTGTAGCCTCGATGATTACCTGCGAGAATAACAAAAACGCGAAGGAACAACGACAAGTGAGTGACATATTGGTTGGAACTAACATGACCAGGAAATATTGGCAATACCCTATTGTATGTCACAATAGAAATCAAGTTTACGTTATGGGATTAGTGATTGTTATGTTTGAGCATTTGAAAAGGTGACATGAGAAAACAGTTGAAATATCTTGATTTCTTCTAAGAAATTGTAAGGAGAAAAATGTGGTGAGGAAGAGACATGTGCACTATCACAAGAGACACAAAACAAATTATGTTGAAAATGTAAGCATTGATAAATAGTGGCCTGAAAAAGTATGCTTTCTAGAAATGTTAATGTCTTTAGAGTCCATGTTGAGCATATGTCACTTATCTATTCCGATATCAAATGTAAATTTTTCATTTAGTCTTTATTTTAATGTGCCATTTTCTTGGTAAATATATGCCATATAATAAACTAATTGATAAATATTTCAGCAAAAATATGGTACGTATTATATATTTATATTTATTATTAAATAAATATCCCCCCTCCCGAAAAACCTGTGTTTTTTTTGCACAACCTCTATTTTACCTGGAAGGGGTTTCGATTTGCCAGCACAATATCTGCTCTCTCGTAGTAGTCCCCGATCTCCCCGGTCCTCTGCCAGAGCACCGTCAGTGGCCCGTTTACAATCTCCCTCGTGTACACAGTCAACGTGTTAATGTTTTCACCGAACATGTGGTAATATAACCGTAACTCGCATCGGGTGGCAGACCCTTGCGGGATAGGGAGAAGCACGGGGCTGCCCAGGCGGGCTCTGTCACCCAGCTTGCCGTTGGAGGTCTCGATATACAGGTAGGTTCCTAAAGTGAGGGTTTTGGGATGGTAATTGTCATTATTGTTCTTCGTTGGTCACTTTCTTGTAAAGGATATCATTGTATTTTCGTATAAATATCTACAGAGATCTAACTGCATAATTTTTACAATAATTATCACCATCATCATCAACAAAATCATCACCCGACCATCATCATTATTATCATCACCATCATCATTATTAAAAATCATCACCATCATAAAATACCACCTTTATCACCACCATCATGATCATCATTCTCGATCAAAACTATCATCGCCAATATCATCACTATCATCATCAGCAGCACCATCCTCATCATCACCCCCGTCATGGGGTCTTCATTACCACCACGATCGTATTTATCATCCCGTAATCATCCAATTAACATCATGGTTATCATAGTCATCACGATCATATTAATCACCATCACCCCCGCCATCATGATCTGCACGATCATATTCATAATCATCGTCATCATCATTAACACAACCGTCAAAATCATCAGAAGCATCATTATCATCACCAACATCACCTCAACCACCACCATCATTGTCATCACTATCATCATCACCATCACTACCAATATAATTACCATTACCAGAATCACTACCATTTTGTCCACCTTAATCTAGTGTGTGTAGTGATGGTTATTTTGTCTGACTGCTAAGAATGCATAAATGCTTGTTAACAAGCAATCAGAGGAACAACGGCTTTAGGTCCTCTCCGAGAGACCTGGTAATGAGGACTTATGCCTTACCAAAGAGCACTAGCGCCTCGCCTTGGTTTCGCCCCGGGTCGCCGGATTACGAGACCACTGCTCTATCAACTGAGCTATCGCACCTACTAACCTGTTTCTAGTCCTGTAGTGTGGTCTCTAGTTGGTCCAGTCCAGGAACTGGGTGTGATTCCAGCAAACCGGAACCAATCAAGTTCATCATTACGTAACTGCTTCCAGCTGCAGATACCGGTCTCAAAATCACACTGATCGTACGACTCTAAGGGGAGAATCAAAGGAAAGTTTGATTAATAATGAAAACAAACTGTTGTCATGCAGTTGGTCATTCTTTGTCAATAAAAATGTAATTTACCTACTCAGATTTTGAATAACAATGTAAAAATACAGCCTACTTTACTCATCTAAGCAAATGGATTATAATATTCTGTTTAGATAGCTCCTAAAAATGTATCCGTTTGTAGTTCATGCTATATAATTCTTGAAAAAAGGAACAGCATTATAATACAGCTAACGATTGATCTTTTTATATAGCATTTAACAAATGAAATTTTATATTAATACAAATAAATTCGGCTCATTTTAGTAAATCAAAAGAATAAGTTATCACTAGAGTTGTTCATATTTGATCTGGAATTGAACCAAAAAATTGAATGCTAAATAAAATGTGCACCAGGTAATAACATATAATGCAGTTTATGTATTAATTAAGTTGTAGATAAAGCCATTGTCTTCCATTTAATACTTTTATATTTGTGTTTTCATGTTAAATAATTTGGATATTCTGATATCTTACCACATTGAGCTTCATCGGAAAGGTCTCCACAGTCATCCGTGAGGTCACATACCCTTGAAGAATCGATGCAAACCTTATTGGCACACTCGAAGTCTGAGCTGCTACAGGGTGCCGATGGATCTGTGTAATACGAATAAAAGGGGCAAAGTATGATGAAAACGGGAGAATATTACAAAGCAATGATTTACATTTAACTTACAGACGAAAGAAAAGGGCTAAGTAATATTATCTGCAAGCACCATTAAATGACTGCGATTACAAAATAATTTTTGACAAGAAAGTTATTAAAAAAATATGTAGCTGTATTACCTCTAGGAATGGGATGACGCCAGAAAAAAAAAGGAGGAGATTGTAAAAAATAGGAATACGATAAAAACAAATTGAGGATAAGGAGAAGGAGATACAAAAGGAAACATAAGCGATGTAAGGAGACATTTGGATAGAGGAAAACAAAAGAACAAGGATGAGAGGAGTTAAGGAGGAGGAGGAAGAGGAGAAATAACAAGGACGAAAAAGCAGGACAAAGAAGAAGGAACATATATAAATATATATATTTCTGTATTACTAACCTGGGAATCCACATCCTATGAATGTGATATCATCGAGTGCAATGTCCCCATAGACATCAAATGAACGGGTTGCATCATATTGAATCTTAGAATAAAAATAAGAAGAAACATTTAATATTAAGTAGACACTAATAATATTAACCAATTGTTAGAAAATGAAATCTCATTCATGAACACATTCTTATAGGTTTCAGAAAGTGAGAGTTATTCAAAGAATTCCCTTGCATCTAATCACATGGTTGTGAAAACACTCGTTTTATGATGTAATATTTCGTGCAATCATACATTAAGGCCTAATCAATCTGTAGCCTTTACTTAAAAAAATAAATATATAATGTATTCCATAAATGACGACGTAAAATAAAGTCATAACGTAAAGCTTTATTTCGATGATTACAAGAAACGAGGAGAGTGTCTTAAGATTCCAGGACCAGAAGGTAACTATTCGTTGACTCCTTGGTGGAAATTCCTTTCATGGGTGTACAAGTCTGCACGCAGCAAACCCGTAGTTTATCAAATAATACCTCCTAGTCTCTCGGAAAGTCTCCGGGTGAGGGAAACGTAATATAAGGACTTTACTTTATGGAGGGATGGGTGGAGAACGCAAAGCATTATATGAGGGCTGTTGGTCATAAAGATGAAGGCTAATGCTGATTATTGACAACACCTGCTATTTAGTAAACACCCGAATCGTTTCGAATTTCCCAAAAGAACCAAATTCTAGACGACTTCTAAATAACGTATCCCGTACGACTGCCATTTTCTAGCTGTTTAGTACCAACCTGGAACGTGCCGCGTACTCTTCCTATTCCGAGTTCGATTTTGGTCCATTGGTTACCAAGATCCTCCGATAGATAGATGAGAAGAGTCTTCGAGAGACCCGACTTCAGGAACACGCCGAGGCTTCCGACATCTGCAATGACCAAAGAGAAAAATCATGTTCTTGACAACATCATGGTGAAGTTTAATTAAAAGTACGACACTGTGCAACTTTTTCAAGTCGCTTTGAAATAATTTTACACCTTCTTTATCGTAAATGAAACATATTGTTTTGACATTGTTTTCTCAATAATGTAATTCATGCTCGTATCTTCCACCGGTAGACTATGAGGTTTATCTCTTTAATTATCACCATCATGTTTAAAGCGTCTTTATCTTCTCTATTACAGAATGCCATACAATATATTTAAACTTGAATTAATGGACCTCCTGCGTTCTAAAGCACAATACTTTAATTGAAGCACTATCATCACAATCACTATCATTCTACGAGCACCTCCATCCTCGTCGCTATCACATTATCATCATTCTCAAATGCATTAATCATTGTTATTGTTATGACTATCATCGTCTTCATCATCACCATTATCATCTTGGACGTCATACTAGTCATTATTACGATCATCATTACCAACACCTCCCTCCTCCTCCTCATTTCTCCATCTTACCCGTTCCATAGAGATGGACCCATATTTCCATCAGGCAAGAAGGGCTCGCATCATGTAGCTCAGGGGACAACAGGGTTGCTCTACTGTATCCGGATCCATCGCTTGAGTCCACGTACAAATAGTGACCTTCACAAAATAATAAGAAATAAACAATAGCTCACTCTTGTAAAAAATATGTTGGGTTTTATGAATACGCACGCAGAACTATTATTTGAAAAACATCAATACTTTATTAAAATCTTTGTTGTAAATTATTCATTAACATTGTGATGTGTTTTGTAACTTGCTCTTTTAATGTGCAGCGGTCCGAGTAAAACCTTCTACGCATGTCTGCTAATTGCATATTATTCCTCTTTACCTTTTTTGGCAAGCATGCAAATCTTGTTTAGACCCTCAAAATGTATCCAAAGGTTAAAATGGATGAAATAAACGTTCAAGGATAAGCCTAATATTTTTCATTCTAATTGGCACGACTTTTTGGGGGTTGCGAATTATTAAAAAGAAATGTTTTTTTAGTATCAAATTTATCCTTGTAAATGATAATTAATGTAACAAGTGAATAAGCATTCACATTAAAACTTTGCCATCAGTGACGTACCGAGTGACGTTCCAAGTGTGTGATCATAAGACGGGCCAGTGTTATCGGTGGGTGTGGCATCAGAGCCGATCACCCATTTGAAGCTGCCATCACTAACGTCTGTGTAGTTACACAATCCAGACTCAAAGTCACATGGTCCTGAACGACAGGGGAGAGTAAAGGATTCATCAATTTGAATGCAGTAAGAGAGAGAGAGAGAGTGCGAGAGAGAGTGCGAGAGAGAGTGCGAGAGAGAGAGAGAGAGAAAGAAAGAGAGACAGAAATAGAGTAAGAGAGAGAGGAGGAGAGAAAGAGAGAGGTATAGACAAAGACAGAGACTGAGAGAGAGATATAGAGATTTTTTTTTTTTTGGGGGGGGGGGGGGGGGGGGAGGGCAATCACATATATTAACAAGTGATGAGATAATTCGTAGAACACCAATATCTTATTGCCTATTAACATACACTGGTTATAAACAGTTACAAGTACAACGTACTCTTATGCTTCATTAGGAAAAGTTAATTTAGACATTTTTACCAGTAACCATCAAGATCACCAGTACCACTATCACCACCATCACCAACATCACCACTCCAACCTACCACAAATCATTTCATCACTACCATCCACGCTATCGTCCTGGACGTTGCAGATTTGCGCCACATGTGCCAGACAGCCCCCTTTGGGACTGCATGTGTACCAGTAACTATCAAGACCACTAGTACCACATTCACTACCATCACCATCACCCAACACCACAACCGCCACCACTCCAACCTACCGCAATTCATTTCATCACTGCCATCCCCGCAGTTGTCCTGGAAGTTGCAGACCTGTGATGCATCGGTCAGACAGGCCCCATTAGAGCAGTAGAACTGACAGGGCGGGGTCGGTGTGGGGGCTGAACAAGCCCCCTGGAACAGGCTAATATCATCCAGTCCAATGTCACTGGTAGAGGGTGCTCCAACCTTTCCTTCAAAGATGATCTAGTCAGAAGGAAAAAAAAGACAAGTTGATTTGAATGAAAATTGACATTATTGATAATCATAATTATACTGTTCTGGATGGGCACATAGCACATTATGATATAATGTCTCTATGTGCTTCAAAATGACTTTTGGTATTATTATCGCGTATTAATCTTCGGCATTCATGCCGTCCAAGGACTACTTCCTACCATGCAGGCACCTACTCACTACACCTGGGTCGAGTGTGGCAAATGTAGATAAATATCTTGCCGATAGACTTTAGTGCTGCGGCAAGAATTTGAACCGCGTACCTTGTGGTTCAGAGTCCAGACACTCATAATGCTTTAACCCCTCTACACCTAAAACAACATCTATTTTGGATAATAAGGTTTTAGAAACACCCAAACAATTTGAAGCCTCTAATAAGGAAAGGGATAAAGCGTTGGATTGATATTTACCTCATAACTACTGCCTTGGTCTACCAAGGTCACAAGGGCGTGGTTCCACGTGTCCCCCTGGTCTAAGGAGAGTGTCCAGACACTGCTCCAATCACTCAGGTCGTAGCCCGCCCTCACCCAGGCCGTCAGGGTCCCGGTCCCGTAGAGATGATACCAGAACGACAGGCACATGTCACCTTGGGTAAAGATGGTCTCGGACATGAAGAGGGCGCTGTCGTCTGCCAGGCGGGGTTGGGAGGAGTCGATATACATGTAGTAACCTGTGGTGAGGAAATAAAATTGGAAGATACATACAAAGGAGGCTTCTTAGTTCAGCAGTATAGAGCAGCAAATTCGTAATCGATGTTCTGGGTTCGAGATGTTGTTGTTCGTTTATTGTAAGACTACAGCAGGCTTACGGTTGCACCGTGTGAGAGTGGAGGATTACGGGAGGATTACCCAAAGTCCTTTTCAGGACTCCCCAATCCTCCCCCTCTCTCACAGGGTGCAGTCGTAAGCCTACTGTATATCTACATCACCATGCAAGTCGATACTTAAATATAAGACTTTGCTGATTTAATCAAACACGAAGAAAAAAAAATCAATTATCAAAACAGATATGAGATAATGGTAAAAGCAAACATGGTTACAGCAGTTATACATGTATCAAGATCTACTGATAAAACAAACTTGTTGTTGTTTCGCTAGTGCCCTTCAGCATCGACTTTCATTACTAAAGATCTCGGATAACACTGAAGATAGTCTTTGACATGAGGTCTATGTAAGGCATTTTGGGGATGATCGAATATATAATATAATCATTATGTTATATCTTTGAAGTATATACTAGTAGCAGCGACATTGAAATAACAAGACCGTAAATAAACTAAACCAAAGGCAATTCCAATAGCCTCGCATGATTTTATGCTAATTCAAAAGACAAACGGTCAAGTTGATTTCTTAGCAGGTATTTGCTATCGTGTTAGGGTTACCTAGGGGAGTCCCCAATGTATGATCCTTGGAAGGACCCGTCCCTGACGAAAGCGTTGATCCACTATGACGTAACCAATCAAACTGGTCTATGTTTGTCCCTTGGAGGCCAAGCCAGTTGGAGGGTATATTGACGTATGTGCATGTGTCCGATTCGAAATCGCATGACCCGGAAGGAGAGCATGTGTCCTTGGTGAGGTCAAGGTCATCGAGGGCTAGGATACCATCTTGGCTCACAGTGGCTTCAAAGACGATCTTGAGAGAGAGAGAGAGAGAGAGAGAGAGAGAGAAAAAGAGAGTTTGGATTGTAAAACAAATATATATATTTAAGGTGGTCATATGTAAGAAATTTACCAGGGTCCAGTTTTATACACAGTTGCGATTAATCGCATCTTATTTAAGACGAGGCCCAGATCTTCAAGCAAATGAAGAAAAAGAAAATGATGTATATAGTAACATATTCATATTTTCTTTAAACGTGATGTAGCAATGTGTGATAGACCTACAGGCATTTCTACTCATTTTGCATATGCAAATAATCACGGGAGCAATTTTAACATTGAGTAATATTTCGATTTTTCTATAGTAAATAGCGCATTCTGGTTCTGATATTCATAATATGATTCTGAACTTTGTTTTCTATTTTGAGAAAGAGTAAATCTCTTACCATTAATGACATCAATATTGGTGATACCGAGTAATATTTTTCTCTTTATTACATGTTGTTATTACTTTATTTCATTAAAAACAGTTATGATAACAGCGAACTGCAAAATAGCATTGCTTTTTCATCGAGTAGGTGATGTTAATGCTGATATTGATATTGCAATACTTTGATAGGGTAATACATTTGTTACCGTATAGTCAAGCGCGCTTGAGAACGATGCCTCAACGACTGTCCACAGGTTGCCCATCAAAGGCACACCACCGTCCACCAGATACTGTACTGGGACGCCACCAACGTTGAGAGAGACCCGTAAATCTGATGTGACAGTGCCAGCATGGTAGAACCAAAATCGGACGCAGCGTTGATACGTTGAAGGGAATACGGAAGAAATTAGACGGACCTTATCGCTTGGAGTATTCTGGATATTGTCGACGTACAGGAAATGTCCTGTCGGGAAAAAAGTAAAAAGAAAACGTTTTTTTATTTAGTCCTCAGTATGTCGATCAGTATCAATGTCATTATCCTCATCATCGTAAGCACCCCTGACACCATCATCTGTGTTACAATAATTATTGTAAACATTATCTTCATTGTAATAACCAGTTGCTCCGATATTTGCTTTGGCAAATTTTGGTCTGAGGTTAAATTACAGGGTGAAGAATAGGAGTACAAGGATGTTTTATGTTAGGTTTAGGTTGATGGTTCGGGCTATGTTAAAAAGACATACTCAAGGATTGAAATTAGGAATTTCAGTTTGAGTAGGAAACTACTGGGGAACAATAATCACAGTACCAAGTATCATACAACCTTTGAAAGCGCCTGTGGATGATTTTGAACAGAAATATAAATGATGTGAATCATCATCCCATCATCATTCTCATAACCCTCATCATCATCATCATCATCATCATCAGTTTATCCATTGGACTCCATGGAGGAACAGAGCCATTAGGTTAATGGCTCTGAAATGGACTATCCAACCGCTTTATCATTCTATTATTGTCATAGAAGTCTTTGATTTTGTTATATTGTGTTATTATTTTTGTATGATGATTTTCGGAAATAAAACAAACAAACAATCCCTAAGACCATCCTCATCATATGTCCTGGGGGTGTTTCACAAAGATCCTAAGTTGAACTTATCTCTAAGTTGGACTTAAAATTTATGGGAAGCCATTAGCATCCTTGAAAACATTTTGTAATTTTTTTTTTAGAAGGTATAAAATGTTGATTCAAATCATTCATATTTTCTATTATCAAGGGAGATTTCATGTTCTTGATGTGGAATTGATGAAAAGTCTAAAATACTCCAATTTTTGCTTTTGAATATATTTCATTTTAAGGCTCCAATGGCTGTCCATACTTTTTAAGTCCAACTTAGTGTTAAGTTCTACTTAGGATCTTTGTGAAACACCCCCCAGGTATAGTGGTTTATTCACTTGACCCTCAATCCAATGGTTGAGGGTTCTAATCCCAGCCCGGCACAAACGTCTATAGGCAAGAGTACATTAATCCACAATTGTCACTCTCTACCCAGGTGTAAACGGGTATCTGGTAATTGTTGGGGTGACTATAATTGCAGGGTATACAGGAATTGCAGGCTACACTGGGTAAACAACCCAATTATTTAGCATTACAACCACCATTATCATTAGTAATAATAGTAATATCGAATATTTATGAGCGCTAAAAACAATCAGTACCATAGCGCTTACAAATACCAATATATGAAAATAGGACACAAAATGTGCAGTTTTACAGGGAGTAGATCACATAGTTCATTATCATTACCATCACCGTTCTCCTCATCATGATCATCCTCATCATCATCAACATCAACATCATTAACTCTCACCTTGTGCACTTTGGTATGTATTGTCCACGTCGGGGCCGTAGACCAGGGTGGTCGATGCACCGGTGGCCAGCGTCCAGTCTCCGTCATCTGTCACATCCTGCTGGAATCCACATAGCTCTCCATGCTCGAAATCACACGATCCTACACATCAAAATTACATTGATTAAAAAATACATTAAAAACTTTTAAGCTAATAGGAATATGCAATATCAAACATCAAGCATTTGACAGAGTAGTAAGATTTTTAGTAATCAAATTCATTTTTATGATAACCATTTGAACATAGTTCAATATCTTTAAAACCATACAACTCCTCTAAACTGTTAACGAATGTTAAATACTACATATAGGAAAACAGAAACCCACGGAGTTTACAAAAAATACAACTAATTAGGGTGGCAGAAAGAAGACCAAGCATATCTTCGAATGATTAATGCTAACATATACTGAGTATATTATGCTACCCATTCAAAAAACACAGTTAGTATGTGAAACAGCTACGGTACTGACATACGAAATATCAATACAGTATATCATGGTCTCGAAAAGAATATTCTGAATAACAAATTATTTGGGAAAGAATATGAAATGATATTTCACTGAATAAATATATGTTTCAATAAATACATATTTTAGATTGCAAATAAAGATAATAAGGTATTCAAAATCAGCTAACAGAAGGAAGGGGGAGGTAATGAAATTAAATTTGTGGAGCAAAATAATGGACTTACTTGACGGTGGACATTGGCCACTGCTGAATGTGACGTCATCGAGAGCGATGTCTCCTCTTACTCCGTTCCCAACCACTCCTGTAAACTTTGCCTGTAAGGATATATAAACACAAATTGACCTAATGAGTCGGGGATAACTTGATAATCTGAATTCAAGTTATAATACACTGAATGTTTAACACTAGTAAATTACTAGTTTTAACATGTTGAGAACAATTGAGAATATTTGATATATTTCATAAATTGTTTTGATGAGTCAGGGATAACTCGATAATATAAATTCAAGTTATAATAGACTGAGTGTTTAATAAGTGAGTAATTATTACGTGATTGAGAACATTTGAGAATATTTGATATAGTTTACGAGTCCGCACGAGTCGTGGGATATACCCTTGTATCCCTTAGGCAGTTTGGAATACCATTGTGTGTTAATACCTTTTGAAAAGTGCGAACATTACAATAATGTCTTACGTAATTCGGACACGATGTTTTTATGGGATATAAATATGTGTATATTAATCAAAAGTCTTTTTAAGCGTGTTAAAGTATTCGTCCGAAAACTCAAAAATGTTTTTAATTGATGCAAAATTCATATTATTGCAATGGGACCCCTTCCTAATCAAATATAACAACTTCCCTCTTCAAAATACGATTGAGGTCCGCAGTAATCAACTCTCAAAAATGTTAATTTTGAGATCCAGATTGTTTGCCTTCAGTGGTCCTCTGTAGAGCGTCAAGAGTTGTGACGTCACATGTAAGACACAGCTAGCCACAACATTGCATTTGATGCCTTTCCATGATATGTATATGATTTTTCAGCAAAATATTCGTGTTTTTCAAGAAAAAATCTTTACATCCATATACATTTGTCCATAATTATCAGTTGTTGTGAATTCTGTTCGGGTGACTAATTCAAACAATACCAACAACAATAAAGAATAACATAACAACATTGATAGCAAGCAATCACTTACTGTAAAGTCACCAGTCACGTGGATCTGTGCCATCATCCACTCACTGCCTTGGTCTCCATCCCGCCTCCACACCATCTCATCACCGCTGCCGCTCCTCTGGGCGTAGACCTCCAACCGATTCACATCCGGGCCATACATGTGATACCACCACGTGACACACAGTCCGCTGGAGCCAGTTGCCATTGGAACGGACAACAGTGACCCGTGCTCACCTAGGAGCTGGCCATCAGCCTTCACGTAGACGTAATATCCTTATTTTAAATACAAATTTTAAAAGGAAATTAATTTTTGTTGATGACACTTTTAATTTCGTTTTTTTATTGCAAAATATAATATTTTTTTCAACTAGATGATTGAAGAGAAGTTTATAGTTGTTATGTTTTCAAAAGAAATTAAAACATCCTTTCGAAGTAAAAAAAACAATTTATACACAACAAAATAGGTATGTTCAATTTCTTGATAAATGGAGGCATGCATGTCCGATTTATCTAAATATCATAATTTTTTTTTTAATTTTACCCACATTTGTCAAACGTATGTATCCAACATTTTTTTTTCTTCATTTGCTAATTATCCCGTGTTTATTCTTTGATAAAAATCGGATAAAGACTTTATTTGAAGAAAAAAAATAACACTTTTTCTTTCACACGAATAACAGAGAAACAGATATGATCGTCTTCACATGCAGACTGTGAATCAGCCAGATTTTGTTGTGCAGTTACTGTGAACACAATTATATGCAAAATTTGATATGCTCTATCTACATTAACAGGTGACTGGAAATTTATGTTTTCCACTTATCTAGTTTCAATATTTCCCTATGTTCTTTGTTTTTAAGGACAACGATACATTTAAGTGTAAAGCGTTACATGCATAATTATGAATAGCCATTATCATATCGATATTGCCTTGCATTTCAATGTTGTAGGTCAAAACAGAGAAATGATTAATTGAACTTAAAATTAATATGGATTATTTTGCGAGAGGGAATTCAACTTACCGTTTGTGTTAGTTAGGGTGTGGTCTACTTGCGGTCCAGTCCCTGCAGTGGGCGTGGACCCAGAGGCCCGTATCCAATCGAAATCATCATCTGTATCATCCTGGCTGAAATCACACAAGTCCGTCTCAAACGTGCACACAGATATGACAGGAGCTTAGTGGAAAGAAAAGAGAAAGTAATGAAATAAAGGTTTCATTAATTGAATTAAACTAAACAGGTCAAAGTAACTCAATATACTGAATAGTTAAAAGAAGTAACATAAATAATGCACATAATCAAATACTTCTACTTTAAAACAGTACATTGAAATCACAATCTATTTGATGTGAATGGGACGGCTTGTAAAAATTAAATGTTACAGTAGTAGATATTCAATCAACAAAATGCCTTGGATAATTGTTATGAAAATGAAGAAAACAAAAATCAGGTAGACGAGTAAGGGAGGGGTATAGTTATTAAAGTAAAATGATTAGTTGCGAAATTAATGAAACGAAAAAAGAGGAAAGAACAGAAAAAAACGATCCAAAAGGGAAGAAATCACACAACTAAGCAGGATTTTCGATAGGGATACTGGACAGACATATATAACGAGAATAAATCTGTGACGGGAATAAGTCTTTTCTTAATTGTATACTTGCAAGTATTACTACTACTTCGACATACTAAACTTGATAACCCAAGTAGATGTAAGATTGCACCCTTTGTTCCAAGGGAAAATGTTCAATTCATAGTTTTTTTTATTCTCTGTGGATGATTTCTAAATCACAATAGACTAGTGCATAAACACAATACCTGGTGTTGGTTTGGTGGTAGGAATCGGTGCTGCAGTTGTGAGTTGTGAGCAAGGAACCATTTCAATATCGAGATCATCGATGGCGATGTCACCATTGAAGTCGATCAAAAAAACTGCTTCAATTTGGATCTGTAATTAATGCACATATAAAGACAATATCAATATCAATATCAGACGGTGTATCTACATGCAAAAGTCTTGTACCGGACTCTCACAATTCCACTTTCACAACCACAGGTATCATCATTATACAATTACCACCATTATCACTTTAAATCATTAATGTGAATAAATTAATCATAATCAGCGATATCTCCATCGACATCATCATGATCAGCATGATCATCATCAGCATAATCACTATCATCATCGTCATCATCATCATCAACATCACCATCATCTTCATCATTACCACTGGTAATTTCCCAATGATGATTGTGATAACCACTATCATCATCATCATCATCGTCATCATCGCCCTGATCATTAACATCACCGTCATCATCATCATCATCACTGTCATCATCATCACCATCATCATTACCACTGGTAACTTCCTGATCATTATTAATTTCGTCACCACCTATTAAAGGTATATTACATCATCAAATCAACTAAGGCAAACACAACACCCACCATCACCATAATCATAATCGATACAAGAATGTTATCTTTACCCTGAATTCATCATCGCTCGTGAGAGGAACCAGCCCCCTTAGCCAGATATTTCCTTGATCACCGCTCTTGGACCAAAGCTGGGCCTGTGACCCTGAGTTGTTCACTGAATACACGTTCAGCTCCCCAACACCTGTAAGAAATACAAAAAGAGTTTAAAGAACCAAACTGCGACATAACCTAGAGTGCGTCAAAATAAGGATGCAATATTCTTAATTACGTGAAGAGACTTGAATTATTAACATCATGACCTTAGTGTTCTTATTACTCAACTTAAATTATTACCCTCGTGTCAGCTTCTAGACTTGTAACGGCAGAGGAGGGTTTATTCCTCTATTTAAAGTGGTCCATATTGCTTGTTTTACAGTGGAGAGAGAAAGAGAAAGAGAAAGAGAAAGAAAAAGAGAGAGAAAGAAAGAGAGAGAAAAGAGAGAGAGAGAGAGAGAAAAAAAAGAGAGAGAGAGAGAGAGAGATAGAGCGAGAGGGGGAGATGGTATTTATCTTACCTGCGCCAAACATGTGATACCACAGAGTGAGACAGCCCTCATCAGTAGGATCGAAATGCTCGCTGTTTAGGATGGCATTTTCACCAGGCTGGATGGATGGATGAGATGTCTCAAAGTATACGTAATAGCCTGTTGAAGAAAAAAGAAATCTCAATTAAGGTCGCTTGTCAGAATCTAGGCCATGTTTCATACAACTTGTTATCAATAAAATTTAAAAAAATTCCTTTTACAAATTTGCTCTCAGCCAAACAAATACCATGGTTTCAGTAGCTTATAACGGTATTTTTTTTTGGTATTGATAACAAGCTTTTTAAAACAGGGCTGCGATTTCCCAGATGATAAACAATGCAGATTTATCCTTTTCATTTTAAATGCAAAGGAGAAAAGTGAGGTTTAAGTTCTTTCAAGATTATACTGAAAATTATATATTGAAAACAAAAAGTATGTTTCATCAAAAGGTAATTTGTAACAGGTCCAAACTCTAATTGACATGAGTTGTACAATGAAGGACAACAAAGAGATCAACAACTGCAACAAAAACAACATGGCGTGATGGCTCATTGATAGGGCAGTATTCCCTTAACCGGGAGGTCCCCGGTTCGAAACAAAGTCGATGCGCTTAATTGTGCCTTTTGGTTAGGCATTTTTTCTTAGCTGTCAGGTAAAACAAACAAACCAACAGGGAAAAAAATAGCGCTTTACAACCTTCGGCACAAAAATAATACAAGCTGTTGATATATATACCTGCAGCTGAGCCAGTCGTATGGTCCTGGTTAGGTCCTGTTCCTCCACTCGGTGTAGACCCGCTGGTCCTAAGCCAGTCCCAGTCATCATCCTGGATCTCTTGTGACCAGCCACACAGCCCGGTCTCAAAGTCACAGGAACCTGTTTGATAATGAACAAAAGCAAAATAATAACAATCATAATAATAATAATAATGATATTGTTTACCCAGGGAAGCATCATAAGCGTCAATGCTGTTCTTCCTGAGGGCCCTGCCATTAGTATTACCCAAATATTGCCAGGTATCCATTTACACCCGGGTAAAGAGTGGAGAACGTGGATTAACGTCTTGCCAAGGAAGTGATGGGATGGGATTCGATGCTGAACCCCTGGATTGAGAGTCAATTAAATACCACGACACCTCCATAACAAGCTTGTTTCGCCGTTTGCCATTCGAGCACATTTAACATTATAGATAATAAAGCAGGTATTTTGTTTTCTCATCTTCAGCGGTCGGGATTTACTTTTTTCCGTGAAACAGTTTGTTATTATTCTTTACAGATTACACCCAAATATGCCTAAAGGGTGGTGTATTTTAGTTTTAAGCAATTTTAACAAACTATCATTCAATATTTTCCATTCCCATAAATTTGTCAGAAAGATATGCATAACATTATAAATTATCGAAAAATTATGACAGGATCCAATTTGGTATAGTCGCCATAAATATATAAGCTCATAGTAGGCGTTTGCAACATTTTCATCTTTGGTACATTCCATTGCAACGATTTACCATTGTCGTTGAAAGATTGATGACTTTGCCAATTAAACTATTCAAAGAATGACTCATAGGAATATTTGTAATACCTTGCTTTGGACAGGCACCAGGGATGACCTCAGTATCGTCAATAGCTATATCACCCTGAACACCGCTCCCTCTGACGCCCTCTATGATGATCCGGTAGCGATGAGCAGATGAGATGTCAACTTGAGCAAAGCGCCAAGCATCTGACGGAGGACCTGTTTGGCACCAACAAAAAAGATTAATATATTTTTGAGGCGTACTAACTTCCTAATACTTAAGAAGAAAATATATAAAAAGAGATCGAATCTAGACAACTTTCAGATGAGACAACGACCAGATTAATATCATACAATGGGCAATAAACTGAATATCTTTGATCACTTGAGCCCTACTATTTCAAGGAAAATGTATTTGAAAAAAAATATTTCAAGGTTAAGCTTGGGCGAAAATAACGCAGTTTTTCATTTAGTGGTTGTTTGAATAAAGGACATCTACTTTTCATTTTCTTATTGAAGAGTAAAAAGGCAGACCAGTTGTGCAGACAATTTCAAAGCTTCTTCGAGGTAATCAATGTAAAAATACTGATCTACACCTGTGGCATTCAGTATTGTGTACGCGAAATATTAAAAGGGCTTATTCCGATTCATCGGATCATCGGGTAGGGTCGGGTGGTCGTGTTACCCGACATTTTGTGAAACATGCCCCTTAATTCACAAAAGGTCGGGGTAATTTTTGGTTTAATAAACCCCTCTCATGTACAAGTGGTCTAGTACAATATTCCCTACACTTTATGAGAATCCTATGGCAATTCTACGAAAGGTCGTGACCACCTGACCGGACGCGAAGACCCGATGGTTTGAAGTAAGCCAATAATAGACAGTATAAAAAAGAATCAAATTAGTATTTTAGAAATGTTTATTCCTCGATGAGAGCACTATTTCCAAGAACTGACCTGACTTATCAAAGAGTGGAGCACTCGTTGACCCCGTGATCTCATCTTTAATGTAGACGGTCAATTGACCTATGGCCTTGCCCAGGAGATGATACCAGAACCGGAAGCATTCACTACGCGTATCAAGGTACGTGGGACTGATGAGGATTGCTCGGTCACCCTGTACTCTGGGTGAGGATACCTCAGTGAAGGCATAGAAACCTGAAATGGAGGATATGAGACATGTTAATTGGCATAATAATTGCTGTTGGAAATTGGTGATGACAGTTTTGTGTAGGCAAACAAACACGAAATGAAATATTTGAAAATGTTTATTTATTTGATTTGATTTGATTTGATTTGATTTTTATTTATTCCATTAAAATCAACATTTATTCATGTATAACATTCATTTAACCTGTCTACCATTTCAGCAATTCAAATGAAAAAAAATACTCATCAAAAAGTTGATCAAGAAAATTGAAAGGCCTTTTAAGAATTACAGCCTTAAAGGCAGGCTTTACTACTTCAGATAAAAGGGATTAGACCACGCAGCGAGCCAGCGAGGTCACTGTGACAGGTGGCTATCTCATTAACTCAGCTCTCATTTAACATACGAAAAAGAGGATCATGGGGGACCAACAGGCACCGATTGGGGAAGTTGTCTATATTGAGGGAGCAAGTAGCTACAAGTAGGACAGTGTGCCTTTTAATGGATGGCAACTGTTTTAATTAGTATGCCTAGACGTTGAGGAACGCACATTTAATTAATATAAAGATTGTAAATAAAACTCTGCATACCCAAGCGAAGCTCATTCATTATGACTGTATACTTACATCGAGATAATGGTTCAACATAACAAGTATATACATAACAGTAAAATTGAACAATAATCCTCTTTGAGAATCATTGTGTATACCCTATATCCGGGATAATTCACCCATATTTTAAATAAACTAACCTTCTGTTGTGCCAGTTGAATGGTCGTAACTTGGTCCTGTGTTACTAGATCCTGTTCCTCCAGCATCCCTGGTCCAATCAAATTCATCCGTCTGGTCCTGGGCCCAACCACAGAAGTCCAGCTCAAAATCACAGGTTACTGAAATATAATGGATGATATAGATTAAAGCTTCTTTTAATCTATTGTAAATGTCCTACAATTGAACAATAGATATGGAGTAGTATACTGTATAGTAGGGAGCGGTAGGTAGGTAGGTAGCTACATACTTACATAGGTAGTTAGATAGATAGAAAGAGGGAGAGAGGGAGAGAGGGAGAGAGAGATTGAGAGAGAAGGGGTGAGGCTTGAGAGAGGCAAGTGTTTTGTAAAGATAAAAACAGAGACGAATAGTTTAAATAAGAAGAAAACAAAGTCGAAGACACGGTTATTATACATGTCATAGTGGGGAAGAACAGGAGAGGGGAAATAAAGTAATATGATGAGTGTTATAGAGAGAGAGAGAGAGAGAGAGAGAGAGAGAAATACAGAACTGGCGGGAAAATTAACAGACAAAGAGAACTGGAAGATACGTGAAAGAAACTTAAAAGTAAATACAAGCAGAACAAATAAATCATTAAAAGTGTTATAGAGGGAGATATATACATATATAGACAGTGTTAGACTGGTGTCCGTTACCTTCTTGTGGGCATGCTCCGTCATACAACGTAATGTCGTCAAGAGCTATGTCTCCTAAGAAATTATCACCAACAACACCTTCAAACATGATCTATGGCAAAATATAAGAACACAATACAAAATAGACAATCAAAATCAACAACGAAACAAAAAATGTACACTCGCGTTAATGTTGCCATATAACATCCAAATCATATTTTCATGACACGAACATTAATGTCAAAGAATAAAGGACATACATCTGCTTTGATGTTTGTCAATAAAAATGTATCTATATATGGGTAGCCTGACAACCTTCCCGCAGATGCAGCGATCTGTTTATTAAAAAAGTATCAAGGGAAGATTGATTTAATTGGGCTACCATAAATGTCACGTTAAATGTTACTTTTCAGCATGGGTGGCTGGCAGCATTAATAAGTAAGTCTTACTTACATTCCAGTTTTCTGATGACGCAATCTCCTTCTGTGCCTTAAACCAGACACTCCCCTGCGAGCCATATTTGGTAAAGATCCTCACATCCTGTTGCCCCTCCCTCTTTAGGTAGGCGTTAAACCGGTTGATGTGCGGTCCGTACATATGCAGCCAAAACACTAAACATCTGGGCGTGTCTCCCGTCGGGTTCTGGGCGGGGCCTAGAAGGTGGGCGCGGTCACCAGGAATGACGTAGCCGGAAGCTTCGATGTACATGTACCAGCCGGATCCGGTGGTGTGGTCGTAGGTGGGGCCTGTTTCTAAACTAGGCGTGGCTTGCTGGTTTCTCACCCAATCAAAATCGTCGTCAGTGCAGAACTGCGTGTAGGAGCACGTGTCCAGCTCAAAAGTACAGTCCATTGCTAAAAGAAGAACGCCGTTAGATAAACGTGGATACTTAGCACGAACTATATCTAAATAAATGTTCTCTTATGCCCAAGAGAAATGTAATGTTTTTATATCTGATGAAGATTGAGAGGTATTAAGGTTTAATCTGCATCGTCATTGCTTGGATATTTTGAATACAATAGTTTGTTTATAAGCGTGACACAGTTGAATAACAAAGATTTATATCCCGAGTCACAGTAACAACCCAAAACTTGAGAAAAGAGAGATAAATACAAAAATAATCAAGGCGAAATAAAGAGAAATACAATAAAATGTTCGCGTAGGAAGACTTTCGAGTGCCGAAATAAAGAAAATGACAATGAATGAAGAGAATAGATTAAAATTATTTTTCATTCATGGAAAAACAAAAGCAGAAATAAAATTCAATTCTTAGCATTTTAAAGAAAGCCTTCATTCTCCTATCAATGTAGGAAATGAAACAGCTTTTTAAAACGATATAGGACGCCTGACTACATCCTAGCCATATTATTAGCGTCTCAGGACATTCTAAAGCAATGATTATTACTCATACTTACACACTACAGGGATGGTAGAAGGACTAGCCCCACATGAGTATGGATCTATATCTACGTCATCTATAGCTATATCGCCCTTCACAGCTCCAGTCGATACCGCTTCAAACGCAATCTGAACATAAATCAAATGAAAATATGTAGCAATTTAGATGAACATAAATTTTCTAAATATATATATATATATATATATATATATACATAATTACATTTTTTCCTAGATTCATCTTTATAATCGATTCCATGATATGATACTTCCTCATCGACAGAACTAGGACTTTATTGATCCATCTTGTACAATTTCATGGGAACAAACTTAATATTCAAATGTAATTGTTTATTGGTAAATCACCAAACGGATGTTCAGTGGACTTCATGCAGGGAATATAAAGGCTATCTTACAAACATATCAATGCTAATTCCTATGTGCAAGGGTGTGTCTGTGTTTGCGTGCGTTTGCGGGTGTGCGTGCATGCGCGTGTGTGTGAGTAGTTCATGTATCTCATAATTCTGTAGTGTTCCGCAAGGTTATTGAATAATAATGATGATGATAATAATAACATAGCAATAATTATAATGATACTAATACTACCATTGTTAATATTAATAATAACGAAGCTAATATTTATATAGCGCTTAGTACTAAATGTTTATAATGTTTCAAAGTGCTATTTATAGGTTACCCCATTATGAGTTTAAGAAATGGCTACACGAATGGTGATATGGTACCTGGTATTCGTCATTTCTGGTGACCTGTGCTTCTCCTTTGAGCCACACATCTCCTTTGTCCCCTGTCATCTGCCAAACCAGAGTTGCAGTGCCAGCAGAATCTAATACATAAACGTTCAGATCACCTATACCTGTTGACATGAAAGAGTTGCCTTGATTAATGCAGTTTCTCAACCTATGGGGCTGTTAATATTGTGCGCAACGTCGATTGACATCGAATACAAAGCATAACAGAAACGCCTTTTCAAAGGCTTTGTACACAGTAGTTTTTAATTATTATTTGGTCATTTCGTTTTTTTAAATTTCACATTATTTAGGAACACAATTTGTGTTTGAATACATTTTCAAAAGCTTTGTACACAGTAGTTTTTAATTATTATTTGGTCATTTCGTTTTTAAAAAATCACATTATTTAGGAACAAAATTTGTGTTTGAATACATAAACCACTTGAATCTCAATATCGACACAGTGATATTATTCTATGTGGAATGTGCATTTATTTCTATCATTGCAACATTGATCCAAAGAAAGCTTCGTAATTATTGTCATTTAGTATTTGTGGATTCAACTTTATTACACTTATCTCATATGGAACTTTAATGAATTCTAGAAAGTGGTGTCGATTGATTTTGAAAACAATTAAATAAAATTAAAAATTAAAAAATAAATGAGTTAAATTAAATAGTTTCAGAATATTTATACTCTTGCTGGGGAATAGCCCTTGATAAGCATTCCAACTTGCTCGTCCCTCCACATTATACTCTTCACGGTCTTTACTGCCTATTCCTATTTGTAATGTAATATTTAGATTTTTTCTCGCATTTTTGTATACATTTTACTGTTTTTATGATTTTTGAGGCAAAAAATGAATTGAATTGAATTGAATATACGTACCTGTTCCGAACATATGATACCAAAAGTATACACAAGAACCCGACGAAGCATGGAAATGCTCACTGACTAACCAAGCAAAGTCACCGTCTCCTGAACCTGATCCCAGATCAGACGTCTCAAAGTACATATACATGCCTGTATAAATGTGAATGAGAGAGAGAGAGAGAGAGAGAGAGAGAGAGGAAAACTGAGTTTATTATTGCATTTTAAATAATACTTCGGTGATTAATACGACTAAATGAAATAACCTGTACACATTTATTTGTAAGTATAATTTGTTTGCTAGATATTATGGTACTCGAACTGTTCTTTTGTCTTCCATAACTACCATCTTAAGTCGCAAAAATGAGCAAGAGCATAGACAAATCTGATTTTGGAACAGAGCGAATACCCAGGGCTTTAAGGTAAGAATAGCAGACTTTAAATAGGCTATTAATCCCCTAAACAAATACAATAGAGTTAGGGTGTGTTTTCAAAAAAAGCAAACCTCTTACCAAAAGATGTTCCATAGGTATGGTCAATACTTGGTCCAGTAAAGTTAGAGGGTGTAGCTCCGTTGTTTCTAAGCCAGTCTCTTGTATCTAGGCTAGCTTCGTTAGACCAGGAACACTTGTCGGTCTCGAAATCACAGAAACCTTAAAAACAAAACCATAAAACGAATACAAATGATAGCATAACCTACCGTAGACCTACCTACTTTCATTTCAAGTTTATAGTATTTCAACACGGATCACTTGCTTTAGCCAACACCCATACATTAAAAAAAATCACTTACAAGATATATACGGATTTGTGTTTGTACTTTGCTTATTTTACTTAATTTATTGTTGTGTGCTTATAATATGTTATATTTCTTTTTGTATTGTTTTTCATTCTTTAATGGGCGATCCAACTTCACAGGTTTTTCGCAACCTTCATGGAAAGCCCCGCATATAACCTTTGTAAACATGGTTAAAATTTACTTTACTTTGTATATTTTGATTTTTATATTGCGAAATAAAATTGAATTGAATTGAATTGATATACAATTCAAAATAAGACGCAATACAAATTAAACAATTACAACAGTAAAAAAACAACGGATTTTAAATCAATTGAATAAAATACAATGCAAAGAAATATAACGAGCGTGGTAAATAATTGTGATGTTGACTTAAAAATAACTTGATTCTTAGATGTGATATTATTATATCACATGTTAAAACCATGTTTGAAACACAAGCAGGGATTTCCTTCCATTCTTTTAAAGATTTACTTTAGTCGTTGTAGTTCAGGTATCAAGGTAAAGTTAAACTACTTTATGTGGGCGTGTGTGTGTACAAACCAAAAGCAATATATCACTATAAACAAATCCTAAACCAGGCAACTATTAGTAAGTAAGCAAACAGGTACATGTCATGAATGATTATGAAATAATCGTTTTGGATATAACAAATAATTACCAGCTCTGGGACATGGTCCACCTGAGATCTTGACGTCATCGATGGCTAGGTCACCAACTGGGTTCGATCCTAGGACGCCCTCTATGATGACCTCATAAGGATGAGAGGCTGATAAGGTGCCACGCCCGAAATGCCATATACCATGGCCATGGCCTACAAAAGAGGAACACAAATAACAGAGGCGTTTTGAATTAGAGTAGAATAAACATAAATATTAAAAGAGGAGCAAGTTTCAGATGAATAAAAAACAATGAATGGTTTAGCTCTCCTTAGCATTGAGGATATAAGTTCAGATATAAATTGCGTATTTTAGTTGAAACACTTAAAGTAAACTTGATAAAGTATTCCTGTTTCTTGAGGTAAATCTGTTCTTTATAATTATTTTTAATGAATCTGTGTTAAAAAAAGATTAAAGTTCTAACTATTTCATCGTGAAAATATGCTAAGGTCACCGATCTACAAATAGGAATTAGTGTTTAAGTATGAGATCACTCTAAATGATTCCCGCTGTTAGCGATAAATGATGGTTATTACAGATCAAATAAACCTACGAATAGTTAATGGTGATCAGGGATACAAAGAACGCTACGGAAAAATATCTTTCTCAGCCCTTTGGCATCAACAACTGTAAATAATATATAAAAATGTTTTTCAGCGGCTTTGAATGTTAACACAGTTCCGTACCGTGTTGTGTCCATATATTCGTGTACACATCATTGATGAGATCATGCACCCAGACGTTCAGCGTCCCCCCGTCATCGTCGCCTTCGAGATAAAACCAGAAGTTCAGGCACTGCGTGGATGTGGGCTGGTAAACGGGGCTGACAATGCGAGCGAACTCGCCTTGAGTGCGTGGAGGTGCCGTGCTCACATACGCGAACATACCTATGAGAAACGATTGATCAAAGTTTTTAACTCCCAGTACTTTAATATACGAATTCCACGCAGGAATTTAGTTTTTAGACCTTCATTTACGAATGAAAATAAGAAAGTAGTATAGCTGCATGTGCGTATAAATGAATTTAATACTTATAGTTTTAAAACGTTTTAACATTATGAACAATACAAATCCCATTATAAACATGAACATTTAGAAGAGGCCCGCTGCGTGATCTATCAATTCGGATGTTTTTGTTTTTACCTCTGACATGAACATCACAACATTATACATGAAGTAGATAAACAAAAAACCTCTAATGCTTTCTATTTGATATCAAAGTTCTTCTCCAATTAAAATGCTTCTGTGCAACGTTGGCAACTTTTTATTCAAGCCTCTGGGTTAGAAGCTTTAAAAGGTCCCCGCCTATTCCTAACATTTTTACCTATGGCGAGGTCATCTGTCAATAAATGAATAAACATGAAGCATCTGCACATATTTTTGATTACTTTTCCGAATAATTAAACACTTCTGTAATCACAATACTGCCGTGAAATGTAATCACTTAAGACTTTTACGTGCATTTGCGGAGGAACCTTAAAACGGATCTAAACTATCTATATATAATGCAGTCAAACCTGGCTTAGTGGCCACCTCTCTATAGTGGTCACCCGATTCGTCACCCTTTAGACGGAAAGGTATGTTAAAGTGCCTGTCTAGAAATGTCACCTATCTACAGTGGCTACTTTTGTGTTTCCCTTGGGTGGCCTTAATATACAGGTTTGACTGTACCGTACAAATAAACTGCTATACCTGAAGCTGTTCCAGTCGTGTGATCAGTAGGGGGAGAACCATTGCTACCTATTGACCAATCAAAGTCGTCGTTTCTTCCCTGGGTCCATGAGCAAAGTCCAACCTCAAAATCACACTCATCTTAAAAGACAAAATATATAGAAGTTGACATTTGAAAGGCACAGTTCTACGATTTATGATAAATGAAACTCCAGAACAGCAAACACATTTTAAAAGTAAACATTCACTTTAATATTGAAAATGAAAGTAGTGGTCTGACGTGTATCTTAGGGGAATCAATAATGAATCTTCTCTTTTTAAAACAGAGTCATTACATTTGAATGATATAATGAGGCCTACATCCTCATAACGAATAGTCGCCTTTTTCAGTAATTCCGATCGAATCGAGGGGATTTTCTTGTGAGGTTGAATAGTGAAATTTCTGGATTATATTTCAAGTGTTTTTACGTCTCCCAAACATAAGATTGAGTAATTACTGAATTATATAATTAAATTATGCAAAGGAATTATGCAAAGATATATATATAATTATGTATATATATATATATATATATATATATATATATATGATTGCAATCATTTTATTAAAGAGAGAAAGAGAGAGAGAGTGAGATAAAGAGAGAGGGAGGGAAAGACAGAAATAGAGAAAGAGAGAGAGAGAGAAAGAGCATATTTTTTTTATTTTTTTTAAATTTTTTTAAATGATATTTTATTTCCTTCCTCACAATTTCACATAACAAGAAATTCACATAACAAGAAATTATCAAGATAAGCAATATAAAACAAGATCTTTGATACAAGACATTTCATAAGTTACATCAATCAATGAACATAGAGAAAAAAAAAGGAAAAAAAAAGTCTTGCATGTAACAGTGAATAATCAAAATAACAGTAGAGGAAGGTTTAAAATTACATATTACCATCCTATCACAACACTCTCACACTCCCCCCCCCCCCCTCCCCTCTAGCCCACCCACACCACCTTTCACATATGGCTCCGTTTAGTCTCATTTCACAACGCCCCCTATCGTCAGAACATGGTCAGATTCAGCAGCCTAACATGTTAGCCTATGGACCTTTTTTTTTTTAAATCGTTAAAAATTCATTTTTTGTTTAAACGAAAAGCACATCCACCCGACGTACGTTATCACTAGCTCATTCATTGGAGCCCTCATGTCTCATTTACTTTTGAAAGTTCACCCACCGTAATTTTTCAAAATAGGTTGCAAGCTCGTCATTGCCTATAATACACATGTGAAACAAGTCTAACTTTGGACTCAGTTTACCAAGCGATTTGAAGATCATAGGTCGAGCACACGAAACATAAAAAGCATGAATTATCATAGATCACTTCTGCCTATTTCGTTTTGTCCATTTCATCCAACCCCCCACCGTAATTTTTCCATTTAGTAAAAGCAAATATTTTGCCGAGTTTAGCAAAAACATGAATATTCATGAACGGTCAGACAATACAGCCTTTTAGTACGTAACGTATAGTGAATGGGAATGTGCGATGATCCGTGTAGGAGGTAGAGGTCAGTGGTTTGTGCTGGCAATGTTCACGCGAGCGAAAATGAGACAATCGGAGCAATATGAGAGAGAGAAAGAGAGAATGAGAGAGAGAGAGAGAGAGAAGGATAAAGAGAGAGAGAGAGAGAGAAGGATAAAGAGAGAGAGAGAGAGAGTATATTCGATTGATATTGTATCTTACTTGAGAGAGGGCAGGGTCCTGGGTAGAATATGACGTCATCTATTGCAATATCCCCGTATTTATTTGCCCCACGGAATGCCTCGAAGACAACCTGAGATGTATCAAGAAAATGTAAAGGGAGGTAACTCAGAGGTTACAAAGACAACGTGCGATTGCGTTTATGTTTAAAACACAATCTAGACTGAATGAAAATAGATGTTTTAATTTAGAACAAGTGCTATCTCCTTCCAAACATAACACAATTACGAAAGTATTACCTATAAAAGTATACCTCTAAATTGGACGCCAAATTCACAAAGCATTCTGTCACTCATTTCATGTCTTGCAAAACACTATATACATATAAATATATATAGAGAGTGATAGAGTGATAGATTTAAATATCAATGTAATGCATGTACATATATTACGTATATTTCATTTAAAGTATTGACATTTTTTAGTTGAATTGAATCGAATTAATTTCCACATCTACATTAAAAATACATTTTTTTTTTTTTTAATAAAACAAAAACGCACATCTATTTGTTTTTTCAAGTATTAACATCATTCAACACACACCTTAATTTGAGCAGATGCTTGTGGCATAACAAATATTAAAAAAATCATAACTTAGTAGTCAATAGGTTACCCGTATACTCACCGCCCAACTCGAAATTGTTTTGATAGTTCTCTGGGCCAACAACCATTGATTTCCCTGCGTCTGCTTTCGCGTCCAGATCAGCGTCTCTAAACTCCCCTCTTTGAGCAGCACATTGAACGTGTCCACGTGAGGCCCATACATATGGTAATAGAAACTCAGGCAGATTCCATTATCGCCCGGGGGTGATTGCGGATGTGACTCGAGGCGGGCCTTCTCGCCGTTAGAGTTTCCGTTCATCTCAGTGTACATGTAATATCCTATATTATATGACATATTGGAAAAGATGTTAATGGATTGATATACAGTGCGTCTCAGAAAAAACGAAACCGAGAATTATCGATGTTTTATCCAAACTTAATCACACTTTAATATAATAAAGAAATGGCACATATCTGTACAGCTTAGATCCTCTTCTTTCATTTGATGCTACTCATATGATGCATATTTCACGCATGAGTGATAAAAAACAATTTGAAGAAAGGGTACCAATTGGTCATTTGGCGAACGGTATCTAAATTTCAAAGAGAAAATCACATTTGCAAAAAAAGATCACATTCTGTCCTTTCATGTGACACCTCAATCAGGAAAAATGAGCCAGGAATAACAAAGTTCTGTTTGTTAAAAGTAATACTTGTATTTCCGAAATTTTATTAAACGAATTCGTTTTCACCTGATGCCTGATATAATAAATAACATTTTATGCAAAATTACGATTTTTTTTCATCAACCTTCATCAATGTTACCAAGTCACTAATAACATTTTGAAAATGCAAGTATTATGATTTCAAATTTCTTAGCAGTCAGGCAAAACCTAAAAGCAAACAAAAAAAACAATTAGTTATTGTCCTACCTGATCCTGTAGTGTGATCAAAAGATGGTCCCGTAGTGCTCGTTCCTGTAGATCCACTATTCCTAATCCAATCAAATTCATCTTCTGGATTCGGAGTTTGGAAGTACCCACATAAATCTTGTTCGAAGGTACAGTTCAAATCTAGAACACGAAAATATAAAAAAGTAATATAATCTTCATAACGTGGATAGTAGCAAAGGTCTAGTATCACAGCTTCAGTCAAAATTGTCATCTGAACTCGGAGTTTGAAAGTAACCATAGAGATGTTTCACCTTCTGCAAAGTCTTGTTTTGTTTTAAATGCAAAATGCGTTTAGGATTTAAGAATATAGCTGTGTTATAAAACAGGACTGTGGGGTTTATGAATAGCATTAACAGGCTTACTTCGTACGATCGGGTCTTTGCGTCGGATCGGGTGGTCGCGTTACCTGACCTTTACGAAATGTTTGGGTTATATTGTGAAATAAGCCCTTCTAATCTATAAAATGGTCTGGTCCACTTTGACCCCCCCCCCCCCCCTAAGATCTCGGCCGTTTCCCTGCCGATCGCCGCGAAAAATTGCATACATGTCAAGTGAAATGTATAGAATACTATGGTAATTTCAATTTTTTGAAAAATTCACTCATTTGCATATTTATGGTAATTTATGCAAATAAGGTCATACAAAATTCATATTTTGGCCCATAAATCATACATAATACATATTTAAGCATTCTTTTTCACTACATATAATTGTTAGACCATTTGGAATAAAAATACAACACAACAAATTGGAAGAGCCAGGTTATTCCTTATGTTATCTCTTGTTTTGATAATTTCTTATGTATTTCATTGTTTTTTAACTTATGTATTTTATTGTTTTTGTTGTTTTTGATGTTTTATTTCATTTATAATTACAATTCAACTACTTTGACCCCAAAACAAACACCTAAACTTTAAAAAGACTAAATAACCAATGTTTTATCTCTTATTAAGGAAAAATGACATTTCCATATGTTTTGTACACAAATCACAAACATTAGTGATTGTCGGGCTGACATACGAAGACAAAAGGTCACGTGACTTTGTAACTATACGTCCGATTTTCGAAAAAATCGTTTAAAAAGATGTGTAAGACTCAAAAGAAAAAAAGTCATGAAAAGAATTTGTTTTATTTGCCGCGGTTTCGGAGAAATCGCGAAATTTCTACAGGGGGGGGGGGTCAAATTGACCCCCCAGTTAACGTAGGGTTAAGTGCATTGTCACATGATGTACCGTTCACAAAAAATGCACGTAACGCGACCACCCGACCGGACGCGATGACCCGATGATTCGAAGTAAGCCCATATATATTTTACCTGATGATATAGTTTGATTTGCTGCGCAGTTCAAGAAAGAGATTCCATCCAGTGCTACGGTATACGTGGTGGGCTGAACAGGATTCAGGTATATATGGTCGAAGCTCACCTATCAGAATAAACACAAAAACACGAATTGTTTATTAAAAAAACTGATTATCAAGGGGAATTAAAGCAATATACAACATACCATATTTATCCCTACACAGGCAGCAAGACAGATGGTCAACTGAAAATGTGAGCTCAAAAAAAAAAAAAATCTTTGTCAGGGTCAAAATAATTATAACTCTCATATTGTGTAGGTTTGATCGTCTGAAATGTGATCATATTGTAGGTAGGTAGGTAGATATTTAGCTTTAAACAAATTTAACAAATTGAACTTGAAACCTTCAGATAGATTCCTGAATATTTCTTAAAGGTAATACAAAGTTTTGGCAAGGGGTCATGAATTTAGTTAAAATGAACATATAGAAAGCATATGCGATCCTACAATATTCAGTGATCGTTGTCGCGGTTGAAATCGAGTCTAAAGTTATGAAATTGTAAATAATACACGCTTTATGTTTGTAGCTCCCTCTCAAGGTCAAAATAGTAATTAAGCCATAAAACAATCCTTCTTGACTAAAATCGACCGATTAGCTATTCCCGTTAGGAAATTATATATATCACAACTACATATTCTGAGATTGTCATGGTCGCAGCTACTATTGTACGGCCGTAGGCGCTATTTGAAATTTATCAAAATTTACCAGGAGCACCGGAAAATTTTTGTAGTCCATTTTTCTCGAAAGCTGAATTTTCTAGTGCTTATAATACATCCACAGGGGCATCCAAATATATCAAAATTGTAAAGAATCAGTATCCACCTAATTTCCCAAATTTCCCAAAACTTTGTATTTCCTTTAATTTTATTGTCTTCTTTTTCTTCTTCTTTCTCTTTCCTCTTCTACTTCTTATTCTGTCTTACTTTTCATCTTCCCGCGATTCTACTACAATTCTTCTTTTTTCCCCTATGTGTTCATATTCTCCTTTTTAATACAATTGATTGTGATATGGATTGATCGACTGTAATTTAAACCAAGTTAAATGGCAAACTAGCAACCAATTGATAAATTTAATATCTCTGCTGGCGGGGCCCTGCAATGAAATCGAATGACCCTAACCTGTATCCTGCCGTTATGTTGTCCAATAAATCCAGTCCCTTGCTGCCATGTATTGGGGTTCTCAGATCCCCTCTCCAAGAATATCTGATCCCCGTCTAGGAGATAGGCCCTCAATTCCAGTAGCTCCAGGTCACTACTCATGTAGTAATAGAAGGTGACCTGACATCGTGACCCGGTCGGCCCTATGTCAGGGGTCACGAAGGAGTTGTAACCGAAGATGTTTTGTAGGTACCAGCCTGTCTCTGCAGATAACGAAAATGAGTGAAAATTAACAAATATAAGCGTGCAAAAGTAAAAACAAAGAAATAACTCTTAACCATTAGTGATTAGCTACTTAGTTCAAATGATCTTTAGAGGTTTGAGTGTCGAGGTAAATGAGTCAGGCACCTTCCAGAAGCCTCACCTGAGAACGCATCACCTTCAAAAGGCAAAAACTCCTCAAGGTGCAAAATGTAAATTAATTGATCTTTAAAGGTTTTCACGGTGTCGTAGATGAGTGAGGACAACTTTAACGGTTATGTGTAGTCCTTAAAACGACTGGGGTATTCTTTCCTGGAGAGACGTGTTAGTTCTTAAACGAACTGTGGTATATTTATTTCGCTGTTGTAGTTCTGACAGGAAATCTAAGATCTTTGGAAGAAAGAGATTGCATTTCTACTATGATATTTTTCCAGACTAACGTTTACAAAATGAGACAGCTCACAAATTCTGTTGCATTTTTACCAGAACTAAAAATGTAATAGTTCTTACCGAGAGGATCATTGAAGTGATCACGGTCCAACGAGTCTCCTCCCGATCCTGCTTGAGTCCGCTGCCATCCAAAGTTATCTCCCCGACAGAAATCATTATCAAACTCACAATTCCCTGCAAATCACAATAAGTTCATAAGTAGTATTAACGTGGTAATCATGGGTGTCAATCCTTACGTAATACCTATTGATCAGGGGGGTATGAATAAATAGATCATCCCCACTGAACAATAGGTATCAATTACAGATCGACACCCATGGTGGTAATACATATTAGCGAAGACGCAAGACATGTTGTATATTTTTGGATAAAACTGCATTTTGTGCAATCGTATTAGTCGTTAGATATTAATTAAGAAACACATTAAAAATTACGAAATCAATGTGTATATATCTAATGTCATTACCTGTAGAAAAAGATTATTTACTAATATTCAGCTTTGCCTACCAATAATTTGTTGTCTTTCAAAACAATACATCATTACAGGTACCTACAATGTGTTTGTTGTATTTTTCATAGCTGATAAGTGAAAGAAGATTGATATTTTTGTCTTCATAAATTCAAAGTCTTCCTTTGTGTTATCCATTGTCAAAATGAAAATGAGAATAATGTTAAATGTTTGGAGTGCAATCCATGAATTTGATAATTAGTTAATATCTAATATCAAAATTAAAATGTTGGCAAGAAAGACTTTGAATTGCGTTAACACATGGAAAGAGTTGAAACAAAAAGAACAACAACTTACCACAAATTGTTTCATCAGCGCCGTTCGGGCACTGCTTGAAAAAATCGCACACTTGACTTTGTTGTACACAGGTCCCTTCACCGCAGCTGAAGTCTCCAGGGGCGGGGCAGGCGGGCGGTGTCGTGGGGATCGGGGGTGTCGTACCCCCTGGGAGGGAGGTCTGAGTCGAAAGAGCGCAGTTCAAGAAGCTGATATCGTCGATGGCGATGGTCGCACTCTGTCCGTCGCCGACCACGGCTTCGATGACAACCTACATGATAATATTTTGTTATTTTGTTGTATCCGTCAATCTACCGATGTTCAGTGCTCTTATTTGTACCCCTAATATTTCGTTTTCTTATTGTTATCTTGTAACTGTTATCTTTCCTTTTCCTTTTGGTTTTCAGGTAATTATCTCCAATCATTAAGAAAGAAAAAGGTTTCACAGTAGATAAGGATCTCATTAATACCAGAGATTTGTGTTTCTCCTTGACTTACCTCTTGTAGTTTCCCACTGTTTTTAACAGTTGACAGCTATGATGTACTAAAAACATTCGTCGTCATGTTCACAAATACTGTGACACAATCGAATATTTTACCAAAATACTTAGTTTGAAATATTTGCAACTTATATTTAAAAGTTGGGGCAACTCTATGGACAGGGTCAGAGGCCAATACACTTCTTTTACGTATTTAGCCCCATTCTCTTGAAGCTGTCTTAACGCCATCTACGACGGCTTCAGCATGACGAAGAATGCTGTACTCACTATTTAAAAGGTATTACAAGGAAGTTTTCAACTAACAACAAAGACCATGAGCCCACACACCTGGTAATCAGACGTTGTAACGATGGACTCCGTGAAGAATGTGAAGCTATCAATGGCGTAGTTAATAATGCTTCTGATCAGGGTCAGTGGTCCCCCTACGGTGTATCGGGTATAGATGTTGAATACCCCCACGTCAGGCCCGAATGCTGAGAAGAAGAACCGCATCTGGTGGACAAAATTAATGAGGTGGATTACAAGATTTTGTTTTGAATTGTCTGGGAATTGTTCGTTCTCAGTTGAAATGGATTAGTCCAGTGAAGTTTGCAATTTTTCTTTCGAAAGTATATCAAAACAATTGAGGCCAAGGAATCACTTAAGTAAAATGGTTAAAGTGCAATAAAATAACAGTTATCGTATAATATGTGCTATTTGATCATTTCGGCAAGGTAGACACAAAATAAGTTGCGGAAAAGGAGAAAGAAGGGAAAATTAGCAGAAGGAGAGGAAGAGGTAGAGAAGAAGAAGGAGCAGAAGGAAAAGAGGAAGAGAATAATAAGAAGAGGAATGAGGAAAATAACAACAAGAAGAAGGAAAAGAAGAAGAATTTGATTCGATTTATTTATTTTCCGAATTCACACACACAAACAAATATATTATATTCAGAACATTTACAACATCATTTAAATAGACTTTTAAAACAAACATAATATACAATGTAAACGAGAAAAGAAGAAGACAATAATGAAGTCAGAAGGACACCCAGTTCAGTCAAGCCACGAAGACAAAACTGTTCTTCCATGGGGTCCAAGATGAATGAAAAGAACAAGAGAAAACGGATGACGACAAACAAGATAAACTCACAGAGCAAGTAGTGATCAACCCCGTCGCCTCAAACACCGGGGACACGACCCTCGCTACATCGCCCCTCTGTCTACCAATACTATCAGCCAAGAGGTAAAATCCGCCTTTGTTATTCGTAGTATGATCTCGGGTAGGGGCGTACGACTGGTCAGGGGCTAGCGCGGCTGTTGTACGAGTCCAGCTGAAGTCTCCAGACAGAGTTGAGAAGGAGCAGAGGTCAGTCTCGAAATCACATCGGCTGGTGAAGGACGTGGAGTCTAAAGAGGAAATAAATAACGGACGAATGTTACCCCTACTGTTTCGTTGTATATCAATGTGTAAGACACATGTGCCTTGATTAATCATTAGTATAAACAATTATGCTTTATACAGAATGTTGCCTTAACGCGGTCATGTCAGTGTATCTGCACCTCAGGTGAGGTTTTGATGTTGATGCCACAACATAGTCTAAGTTTGTTGACCTGAAATGATTTTTGACCTTAACTTAGTGACCTGAAATTCTACTCCCATAATTGGGGATATTTGATAACCCCTTTAGTCTAAGTTTCATTGAATAAGTACTTATGCTTTAAAAAACTTAGCCTCAGGTTAAGATTTTGATGATAATGCCACAATACAGTCCAAGATAATTGACCGGAAATGACCTTTGACCTTGACTCTGTGACCTGAAATTCTACTCACATTATGAGAGATACTTGATAACCCCTTTAGTTCAAGTTTCATTGAATAAGAACTTATACTTTCAAAATTATATTAAACATTCAAAAACTTATGTTGATGCCGCCGCGGCCGTCGCCGGAAAAGCAGCGCCTATATATCGCTTTTGCTATATGCAGGCGAGACAAAAGTGTTACTTTTATTACCATTTCAAATGTCATCGATATTATTGATATCATTATTACTCTTGAAAACAACGATATTTGTGTACGAACCGCATTGAAGCTCATCAGAATAATCTCCGCAGTCGTCATCGAAATCGCAAAGAAACTCGAGCTTGATGCAGGCTCTGTTGGAGCATCTGAACTCATCGATCTCGCACGATGTCTCGGGTCGAGGTAGCGAGCAGCTACTGAAGAAGACGTCGTCGATGGCGATGATGCCGGGGTTGCTGAGGTCGGGTAGGGCTAGAAAGTTGATCTACACGAGGTTCAAAGGTAATGAAAGCATACGTATACTATGACGTCACGATCTAAGCATAAATATTAACTTAAAGCAAAGTTTTTTTGTTGAGACAAAATATCTGTTAAATAGCGGAAATGCATGTTTCCCACTAGTTATCATAATAAAATTATTTGAATTATCGGTTTCTGCTAACACATGTCCCTCCATCTACAAAGTGCGATTATTTAATTGTGACATTAAATACTAATGCAATTATTCAATGTTTCACTTGACTTTTATGCAAATTTTAATTTGAACAAATTCATCGGAAAGACTAATAATACATTGGAAATAAATTGGCGTAAAGAGGGGTACCCGATACAACCTCTTTTATAATATTTTTAAAAACTATGCTATATATTACTAATTGCTTGAACCGAGTTTATATTCCAATAACATTTAGAATTTAGAGGACGTTAGGCAAAGTACTAAAACAAAAGTTCCTCAAGTGAAAAAATAAATCTGTACAAATAATCTATACACTGCACTAAATTTGGTCGAAAGTGGACGTGCTTATTGAGGGAAAGGCTTAAAGTTCAATAGAAAAAAGGGCTATATAATTACCGTGTGCTGATTTTGGATGCGACCGGTATATAAAACTGCTTGCTGCCAGGCGGTTCCCCGGGCCTCTGATCGGCGATAGATAATGGTTTCTTCAGTAGGGGATGTCTTGTAAGACACCATTAGGTCACCTAATGCCAATCATGATAGATCACAAGAAAAAAAGTTAATTAGTTCGATGTTGTGTAAGCCGAATCCAACCATTAAATGGTAGACATAACAAAGTACACCAAGTCTGTAATCAGTTGCAATGTTAGCTCCAGTATATGAATTATTTCAATCTAAATATTTCTTGAAAATTTTGACCCATACAAAATACTTTTTGAATGATCTTTGTAGATGATAAGTGTTTAAGGCTAAAATGCGTCTTAAATTAAATAGATTTGTGTGCTCCTTTGCTAATATTTTCACGAACGACTGTAGCCTTGCCAGAGAGAAACACTTCACAAAATCATGTAAAAGATGTTTGTATACAATATGATAATGAAGTGACGGATGTGCAAACAGCTAACATTGCCGTATTTCAATATGTGAGGGGAGATAAAAATTATGAGCCCATGAAACTTACTTTGACCGCTGAGAACATAGTAAAAAGTCATAGAGCATCTTGCACTCATCTCCTGTATGAGCGGCCCTTGCAGCCTGGCATAGTCACTGGACTGCGACTGCGCTGTGTAGTCTACCACCATAAAGTAACCAGACCCCGTTGTGTGGTCGTAGCTCGGGAGAGGAAGGCTTGGAGGGGGCGTGGCTGACCCACCCTGGAGTATCCATGGAAACAGACCGGCCTGGTCGTTCGTGTAACTGCACTGGTCTACTTCAAATGTGCAGGGACCTGTGTTTTGATAACATTGACAAAGATACAAGTAGGTATTTTAATTTTTAGTAATACTAGTAGTTTATTTCCGTTAAAACAAAGACCAGAAAATTGTTATTGTTATGACAGAGCTAGAAATTCAAATTTGAAAACAATTGAAAGTCGATATGAATCTAGTAATACATACATAAATATATGAACGCTATTAACATGAAATACAAATGTTTTGAAACAATCAAAATGAACGGGGAATAGGGGAAGCACCTTCTCTTTCCTTATATGCTGTTTATTTGCTCGTGGCATAAATGTGTCTTGCAAATATTATATAAAAAAGTTAATGTCTTTTTGAAAACTATTCTACACGTTTAGAATAGTTTTCCACAATAAATATTCCAAGGAACACAAATAATGATATGATTTCAAAAGGATCATTTTATATTACCAATGGAGGAACATAAAACGTGTAGAATAGTTTATTAAAAGTGTTCATTTGCTATGTTTTTTTATTTCAAATCTTAAGCACTAGTTCTATAAGAGTGTAAACATAATGATGGACATTGATTATTCTAGCATACCACAGTTTGCTTCATCCGAGTTGTCTTGGCAATCAGGAAACCAATCACAGACCAGGTTCCCAGGGACAGACTGAGCACCATCGCCACAGGTGAAGGGAGGCTCAGAGGTCCTACCGCTACACGCTCCATTAAACAGTATCAGATCATCTATGGCGATGTCACAAGAACCTTGGTCTGATAGGACGCCCTCTATGAGGATCTACAAAGAACCATACAACTTCCGTTTACCAATGTTCCTTTAAGGAGAATATTCTTATGATAATTATCATCTACTGCGAGGTCACAATAACCTTGGTTTCAATCCTGAACCATGATCTAAAGGAAATAGAGGAAGATGTTTCTAGTTTTGTCAGTTACAACATACAACCAAGAATGAATTAAAATCATATCACTCGGAACAGAACGAGCGTCAGCGCTTCATTAATCCTCATTACCAGGTCTCTCGGGAAGGACCTAAAGCCGTCGGTCCTCTCGCTGCTTACTAACAAACATTTATACTTCTTAACCACCACTACTACTACTAATTTCAAAGCAATATTGAGATTGTCTTGGCTTACCCTGTACTGAGTTGAAGTCTGGATGTCTAGTTCAGCATAGTTCCATTGGTCGGGCAGGGAGCCAGTGTAAGCCAGTAAGATTTCTGTTCTATCAGCAGTCTCCCATGCAACCTGTTAAAAAAGAATAGAATACGATCGCAAAGTTTTTCGAGAAATTAATTCAGGGCAATTTTGGTAGCCATGATCGTCATCCTTATCATACGTGCCGGCATTATGTCTTATAACATCACTACTCAACCATAACAGATTACCTATAGGCAATGTAATGCTATTGAAATGAAGTTGATATTTGGAATTATGTATTTGCTATTATGTTATAATATATAATAGAACAAGATTATTGTTGAAAATGGCCCTATGATACAAAGACATTATTGTGACATTTTTTAAATCCCTTTCTCAAACATAGGGTAGACAAATCCATATGCCTAAATGTCTATATACATTCAAACTTATCATTTAAACTTGATCTCTCTTGTATCGTCTTTCACATTTCTTTCTAAGTTGTTGTATTTGTATTTTGTTTTTTTAATTTACAAACAAACTTACATTCATCGTGCCAAAGCTATTGCCACTAGCCACCATGTGATACCACATAGAGAAGCAGGCAACACCATTGGACGAATCAATACTCGAAGACTCGAACCGCGCACGACTTCCCTGACCGCCACGAGCCGAATCGATGTACATGTACCAGCCAGAGGGCGTCCCGGTAGTGTGGTCAAAGGTCGGGCCGGTGTTGGCATTTCCCGTTGACCCGCTGTGACGTAACCAGTCGATTTCGTCGCCGGTTTGGACGTTGGACCAATCGCAGGTGTCGACCTCAAAATTGCAGGTTCCTATGCAAAAGTACATGGTAGCATGTTTAGATTGGATATGGTAGGGCCTACTTTATGTTTACAAATCTTCTTTAGGCCCTTTTAGACTCAGTAGATCCTGATCAATCTGTACAGGGTAATTATTGACAATCTACTTGAGAATTATGACTCACACATAACCATGCATTTTGCAACATGTAACATTTTCATCTGGTGGAAGAAAGGCATTGCAACATTTTTTTTATGATATTCGGTAGTATCTGTATTGCAATAAAATGCTTTCCTGTTAATTGAGTGTAATGAAAAACCCTAAATTGTAATTACATGTACTTACATTTGGTTTCAAACATAATACAGGCTGAATGAAGATTTATGCTTGTCCCCTCTCATTCAAACAAAGCATTCAATAATCATAAGGATATGTATCAGACAATGAAGAAATTATGCAGTCATTGATCAAACCTCGTTGTCCAGTGCATTGCCCATCGTTGACCATTGCATCATCCAGTGCGATGTATTCATCAAGGAGAGCGGACTGGACATCAACAACATCAGTAATACTACTACTACTACTACTACTACTACTACTACTACTATTTATACTACTACCACCGACACTACAACTAGCTACTTTAGTACAAATGTGATATTGGTCTAACCTGGTAGCCCAGTGCACTGTCCATCGTTGACCATTACATCGTCAAGTGCGATGTATTCATCAAGAAGGGCGGACTGGACATCAATCTTGAAGGTGAAGACGTTCTGGTAGGTCGAAGGTATCTCCAGGGATCCCTTCCTCCAGAATCCTGAGGTGGGGTCCTGATCAAGGAATAATTACGATTTTTTTTTTACATTAGGCTTTCTGGGAGAAATTTAATTGTTTTAAAGAAATGTATTACATATAGATCGCGTGGTCGATATTTTAGTTGAAATCAATGAAAAAAAAAGATTTTCTCAGACTTTTGTTATAACGATTTTTTCGGCTTGCACCCAGCAATTAAAGATTGTGTGCTTAATCTTGTAATTGAAAATAAGTAAGAATAAATCTTGGAACCAGCAGGATTTTGAACCTGCCATCTACTGCTTGTCGGGCAGCGACTCAATCGCTGGTCCATGGCACAGTAAAACAAAAGGTCACTACAACAATTGAAATTTCTCTCAGGAAGCTTAATATTAACAAATCGTATCACTTGTTTTTAATTACGAGATCGAGCATGTGATCTTCATCAGCCAACGATTTCTTTACAACGATTATAATTTAGATTTTGAGATTTGCTCTTCGTTCCTTCATGCTCATTACGATGTAAATTAAACTACTTCCTCTCTCTCTGAGCTCCAGTTATTGTTTGATTTCTAGGTATCCATCTGTTTTCAGTCAGCATCGTGTTAACACTTGAGTACACCTTGCTGGAGAGCGACAAATGAAGGAACACACGAAACGAAACCAGATCAATGAAAATAATAACTTACGGTAAAACTCCGCATTGTCGAAGTGGGCAGGAGCTGCCCTGCACTGTCGTAATACAATGCCTGCACGGTGAAAATACCGAAAATATCTGTAAGTAGAAAGAAAGGAAACAGTCAACAATGATAACATTAATTGTTAACTTAATTGATCTTCATGTGAATACATGGGCATACTCTAGTTGACTTTAATGTTTTCTGCAATAACTGTTCGTGTCTTAATTGAGTTTTTAAAAGACTTAACACTTTTGATAAACATCAAAACTCAATACTTAGACCGTTTGGCTAGATAGTGCAAAAGCTCTTCAAGATGTTTATTTTTCAGTGATCCTCCAGACAGGTTTATACGATCCTCCAGAAAAAAACATCACTATCTGAAACCTGTATGATGGGCCGTAAAACTACGTGACTAAAAGAGTGTCGGTTAGTTGAAAGGTACAAACAGTGGATACGTCTTACCACTCAATGAATACCAGAACTCGACACACCTATACCCACTCAACGGTTTAGGGTAAGGAGGTGAGAGAAGTCGACCATTATCTCCTACTTGAGGGCGCTGTCCGGTGTTGACTCGCATGTAGAATCCTGCATGGGTAAGGTTATGTGAGAATATCTTAGCAAGAACCTTTAACAGAGCGCAAGATCCAAAATACGGTTCTACTAGTGCTCGCACACTGATCTTGTGCTTTTAGTTGATTGAGTTTGCTGTTATTTTGCCGTTGGTGTCAACAAAAATATTTTACGAAACGTGTGATCCAATTCAATAACAAACACACAATTTCATAATAAAAGGTTCAATGCTGGATTGGGAAAAAACAACAACATAATAACCTGATCATGAAATACAAATGTACTATCTTTGAGAGTTTTGACCATAGGATAAGAAAGGAAGAGTAACGATATCAATGAATTACTTGAAAGCATATATTTGCTTTCTTAGCAGTCAGGTAAACATAAACCATCCATTCAATCAACAACGGTGACCTTAAGAACGTACCATCGTTAGTTCCAAGTGAATGGTCTATAGGTGGCCCAAACGCAATGGACGCTCTTCCATTCTCTCTAGTCCAGTCCACAGAATCCGTGTTGTCGTTGATGTAGTTGCAAATGTCGAGATCCTCAAAATCACAAAACACTGAAGGGAAAACCAAAAAGGGTAACATTAATAATAATAATAATAATAATAATAATGGGTTCTTGTATAGCGCTCATGTCAGTCAGATTTGACCCCCCTGGCGTTCCCGATTACATTGGCTTTAGCGCATCAATTTTTTTTTTTTAATATTCAGTTATAACATTAAGATATAATGTGCTTTCAATTTAAATTAAAATAACTTCAAGAAGCTTCCTCTCTTTGAAACAAAAATAAACTTTTCAAAGTGGATCACTACAAGAACGTAGGCTTCTTATACTCTAATAACGCAATAACCACTAGACCAACATCTAATGCGACTAACCATCCACGATACCTAGACCGCATGAGACCCATATAGTTTAAACGACCGATAAAATGCATTTCTATGGGTTCACGAGATTGGTGTCGTCGGCGTCTTGGACTCTCGTACTCATGAGTTGTCTGTCCACTAGGTCGCCCCCGTGTGTAAAAGGGAAGGTATGCAGCTGCCAAGAGATCTATTAAAGACATCCATGCTCATGACATCTTATCCCTCAGGTCCAAGTTTAGAAGTACTAAACCAGCTTTATGTGACACAAGGTGAAATATATTATGATAACCAATAGTATTTCATTGTAATACAGATACTACGATCTCATTTCTTCACATCATACTTTCTTTCTGCAATGTTTTACTTACATAGCTCAGGGCAAGGCCCATCTGATATTATGACGTCATCAATGGCTATGTCGCCTTGGTAACCGTCTCCGGCCACACCCTCAATGTAGACCCTCTGGTAGATGGCGTTGGTAGCGAAGGGGACCTGGCCGTGCACCCATTGGTAGCCTTGCTCTCCTGAACGGGTCCATAAGATTCCACCATCTAAGAAAAGATTATGAATTAGCCAGCGGAAACCAGGGTAAGTGAATATGTAACTGTAAAACTCTTTGTACATAATTATCCTTATTCAATTTCACTTTCCTAAATCTCTCATTATCTGTATTATTTGAACCTAATTCATAAAGACACGATTTACACGAGGGCAATATTTCATTTATGTACCAGCATTTAAAACTCTGCGGTTTATTGATAAAATTGACTAAGTTGAAGGCCATGGTATAACTATTTCAATTCCACTGCATATGGGTGATGAAATATATTAATATAAAGAAATACAAATTTGTTACCCTATGGTTCGATTTCTTTTTGAGTTTGAGTAAGTTTTATTTGATTGCTGTGACTTTAATACATCTGTATTTTTTTCTCCTTAAACCTTTATATTTTATATATAAATCTACAGTTAGACATTCACTACATTTGTTTAAACTAGATTCTAGCTCGATGGTATTTAATCCAGAAAGGTTTTACCTGTTTGTTTTACAAACATACTTCATTTTTAATAAGGGAACAATTGAAGCCGCTAGGATAATAACACAAAAGACAACAATCAAAACAAAAAAAGAAAATTACCTGTTACACCGTCATCAATGCCAGTACCAATGTTGAGTGTGTCGACATGGAATCCGTACATGAAATACCAAAACTCTATACAAGATGAGACGGCAGGTGGCGGTATAAGATCACTGTATACCCGAGCCTTTTGGTCCCCGGCTTGGCTGCTAGAGTCAATCATAGCATAATAACCTGTACAATTGAATAGAAATGGAAGGGAAAATTTTATTGATATAATTAATCAATGATTAACTCGCTTTGAAGAGAAAAAAAATCGTGATTCTTAAATTTAAACTATGAAAATGAAATGTAATACATTTTGAAGAGCGGAGATGGGGTTGGGGGATACACCATACAAATGTTCTTCTATGATTATAAAAAAACAACGATATATTTTTTCATATATAATTATATTACATATTTTTACAATGTGTGACCAAAACAAATTTCCACATAATCTTGTGAATTTGGTTGAATAAAAACAATTGAAATGAATATAATTGAATTGAATTGAATCCATTTAAAACCCATCCAAAGCCGTTGGGAACAAACGTTCAAAGGGCTGATCTAGCCACTTTACAAACTTTAATAATGGTCTTTTATTCTGCAAGCTGTGACGGCCCACTATATATGTTGTAGCTCTTTCTTAACTGCCTGCGGTAGCCCGTGATTATACTCAACATAGCTGAGAAATGTAATTTAATGCCTGTTCGGCTAACGGCAAATGCTAGGATAAGTGAACAAATTATTATTGTTTTGCAAGGAATGATCGACCAATGAACCTGTCCAATCAATGGCGTCGGGAGTCATAACGTAACGACTACCCGGTCCACGTTGTATACATTAAGTGACTCTCACACTCTGCCGTGTAGGCCTACCGTGTGCCACCTTGCGCGAAAATGTCTGCGGACGGTGGAGAACGGCGAGGGCACACGGTGGTTCGTTATCAAAGCGGGCAACACGTTAATAGGGCGTTGGCGCTTATTTACACCCGGTGGGACCCGGCGAAAGTTTTGGGCATGTTCAAAACTTTGGCCGGCTGGAACCGGCCGCAAGTAAGCGGCAAGAGGACGGTGTTGAACGGTATGAGGACGGTATGAATACGTTATGAAAACGGTCACAATGTATGAACACGTTCACAACACGCTCATAACCCGTTACAGAACGGTGATGAACGAGGGCAAAAAAAAAATCCACCGTCTGCAACGGGTTGTAAGCGGGTTGTGAACGTTGCCGTTCAAATCGGGGTATTTATGGCAGTCGTGTCATGACGTCAGCAGTCCGGGGACTCGCTCACAGGACGCTCCGAGCGGTGAGGGGACGCTAAGTGACTGGTAGGTGGCTGCTACAAACCCGGTGCACACGTTCGAGACCCGGTATGGGCCCGGTATGGAAACGGCCAAAATTTTCAACAAAAGTCAATCAGGGCGGTGAAGACGGTAGAAGCACGTTCAACACCCGGTATGCGCCCGGTGAGAACGGTCAGAATATGGCAACGAAACGGTAAAAAGATTAATTTTATGATTTTTTTTTTTGCGGCCGGGGACAAGTTCGCTCAAAACCCAACGTTCTGGACTCTGTTGTTTTTTTAATAGCCCGGCAGGTGGACGGTAGGCCTACACGGCAGAGTGTGAGAGCTCCATAAGTTTTTTCTCTTGTACTGCATCCAACGATCGGCACATTAATTGTGTAGCGTCACTCTCCTCGCTACGCTGCTACACCAATCAAAGCCGTTATTGAGGGATAACCCCTCTTACTTTAAACACTTAACATCTTTTTCAAAAAAATCATAACTTTCTTATTAAATATCCGATTTTGCTCAAACTTTTTTGATTGGTTTGTCTGATTTTGCTGCTTCTATTGATAGTGAGTTATTTTTCGAGTGGACTTGGCTTTTAAGGTCCACAGACGTTAATAAACCTATCTGATTAAACCAAGAAATATCTAAACACCCGGTTAGCAAACACGCAAACAGACGTCCATACACGCACACGAATGCTACCTACCGTTCTTGTTTTGCAAGGTGTGATCAGCGGATGGTCCGGTCCCGTCATTGGTTGTGCTACCCTGTTGCAACGACCAATCAAAATCGTCGTTAGTAGCCTGCACCCAGCTGCACAGGGAACCCCCTTCAAAGCTGCAATCCCATAGGCTAGGTTGTCTTGTTACCGGTGTTACCGATGTGGTGGTTGGGGCTGAAGAATAAACAACAAAATGATAGAGGTCACAGTAAATGACTTTCTTCCCTCAAGAATTCCATTCATAAATGAATATCAATAAAACTTATTCCGTCAAACTCTTATGCTTGAGTCCCCCGAGATTTGAACCATCAGTGTACGTTTGTGAATGTTCTATGTTTTTGTGACCTTTGCTTTCCTATCGCAACTTGTCACTGGCGTTGCAAGTTTTGTATTGTTTAAAACTAAAGTTTGTATAAGATAGTGCGGAAAAAAAAAAGAACTTTATATCCACAGAAAATAATAATGATATAAACATTTATAATTTGACGTTCTCGGCGCTGTCCGAATAAACAGTTGATATTAATTGTAACTTATTTGCGATTGATGTTAATCGCAATCATTTTCATAAGAGATAGGGAATTGCAGACTTGCGATTGATTCGGATCATTCGCAATTCTCTATAAGACAGGACTTGGTGTTTATGATGGAACAACGTAACAACCTCATTTGAAAATTAAAATGAATTAGTAAAACTATTATTAAAGAAATAACCTCGCATATGCTAAATATGAAGCGATCGGAGGACAATCAATAATTTTGTACAATATTTGAGATAATTCAGGTTGACGATTTTTCATGCGCTTGATAGAATTACTCACGGCTACTACTGCACGACCGCGGCAGGTAGTTGATGTCATCCAGAGATATATCCCCGGTGAAACTTGACGAATCAATGGCCTCAAAGACGATGGTATGTTCGTAGCCCGTTGTTACGTCGACTTGCCCGAGAAGCCACTGATCACCCTGGTCACCGCTCATAGTCCAGATCAGAGACTCGGGGCCACTGGGCAACTCTTGCAGGAATATGTTTAGTGTGCCCATATCTAATAGGAAAATAGCAATGGAATATTTATATATCATGCGTATCCAAGTTATACATAATGAAAAAAAATGAATTAAAGATATAATAACATCTTTTGAAATGCGGATTAACAGAAGAATGATAAAAAATAATCTGGTAACGAATGCAAACCAACAAAGAGATATTGCAAATGACATGCCGTAAACAAATTGCACTGGTAGGATTAGTTAAGGAGAGAAAAGTCAAATGTTTTGGTCATGTTGAAAGGCACCAAAGCCTCTTAAAAGATGTATTGGAAGGAAAAGTGGAAGGAATTAGACCGAGAAGGAGACCCAGAATCAACTGGGAAGAGAATATCAAGAACTGGAGTGGACTAAAACTGCAAGAGTGCACCAGAATGGCAAAAGATGGAGTGAAATGGAGAGATGTTGCAATCAACCTCCGAACCAGGTGAAGATATTTAGATAGAAAGGTGCTTATGTAAAGTAAAATGCGTGTATAGAGTATGTGAATGAAGAAAGGCATGTTTAAAAACATTTCGATCGGCAACAATACAATGCTCTTTTTTTTTTTCTTTTCTTAAGACGGTTTTGCCTTAAGATGACAAGATCCTGCGTGATTCTGTCAACAGATCTAGCAATAATCACTTATCAAAGTTGATTTAATATACATTTTTTCATAGTGGACATCTTTGTGTATTCATCTTAGACATAATTAGGGGTAAAAGACAACAACAACAATAACAACAACAACACAATCCTTCTTTTACCTGCACCAAACATGTGATACCAAAAAGTGAAACATCCTGTGGGCGTGGCCGAGAATACTTCAGAACCAAGCCTAGCCGTCTCATTGGTTGCTGTGTTTGAGGTCTCGATATAAACATAGTGACCTGTCAATCAAAGAGAGAATATGTCTTTCATCATGCTCCTAAGTATATTATATACATTAGATTTGCACACAATGGCACAATGATATACTTGTATTTTACTTTACAATGAGTAATGGACCTGGGTTTAAATGTTCACTTTTTGTTCATGTTGTTATGACTACCATTTTGACAAAAGACGAGACTTACAAAGTGTTTGAATGTTTGATGAAATATTTACGCTATCTTAACTTACAGAAGAATACATAATTCAGCTCAACGTTTTCTGTGTAAGTGTTAATACGTACTTGCTCACTAGAAGTGTGAATCGATAAAGGGCTTTAATAAAGACGGCTTAGAAAGTAAAGACAACAGCTCAAAACATCGTGAGTTTATCTCATTATGAAATATTGGATCTTTATAACAATGTTCTACAAAGCATATATTCTAATTTGATATGTGGGATACTATGTCATGTAGTTCATGGACACACGTATTTTGAAGCAAACAGGTATCAAACTCTAACCTCAACATAATAATGTTTTGTTGCGTGTGTCATATTTGTTGTTTTTGTGATTGCACGATTTTACCTTGGATGGTTCCGAGGGTGTGGTCAAATGGAGGTCCCGTGCTATCACTGGGCGTGGCTCCAGAGTGAAGCAGCCAATCAAAATCATCATTGACAGCGTTGGTCCACCCACAATGCAGGCTCTCAAATGTACAGTATCCTGAAAATACGTTTGCAATCAAATTTAAGTCGATAATTAACTATTAATATTCTCAAGGCTACCTACTCCATTTGGTTCTATAATGTTCTGCTTTTTTAAAACCAAATGATAAGAACAGTATTTCAGTTAAACTGAGTTATCTCCGGAATATTACTTATAGGATGAATATTACAAAAAACGCTTCAAAGTTCTATAAATATTACGTTCTGTAAAAAAAAAAATCATTCTTAAATTTGATTTTGTTAGTTAGGGCTTTGTTTCATAAAAAATTGCTATAAAAAACAGCTGTCAGAAAACTACACAAAAATTACGATGGTAGGCAATATATTAATTAAACAGAAGAAAAAAGTACAGCCCACGGCATACGTTCATGGAAAAGATGATTTGGACACTTGGTACTTTTTCATGTGGCTGGAACAGAGTTTATCTCATTCACAGCTCTTCAAAGAAGCGAACAGAGATGTATGAAGGAAATGTAACGTCTGAGAATTGGGTATATTTTGTCTAGTACCTGGCGGTGGGCATGCCCCAAACTCAATGTTGATCTCATCTAGAGCCATAGCTGAACCGTAAACAGAGCTTACAGAACCTGCAAAGACAACCTGAAATAGAACATACACAAACATTGAAATTACTATCTAATAAACATTGTACAGCATTCAAGATGAACCTGCAATTACTGTAATATATTAATTTACCGATTACTTTTATAGGCAGGGATATCACACAAAAAGACACTAAATATGATATTGTAAATTCAGACATATTTAGACTATTCTATAAGTTAAATCAAAAGTGGCAGGTTGCAGAACGAAAACGAAAGGAACGGGATACATATATCCGGATGGGAGCAAAATAAACAGAATGGACATTTGTTCTAGGGTAAGAAGTTAATAAGACTTGACCATTTATTTTCATAATTAACATCTTATTTTAACTAATATTAGATAAATTAGATAAAATTGCATTAAAATAAAGATATAAGTCATACAACTGATCTTACGTAATCTTTTGTGTTTTTACCATGTCTTTCAAATTTTACAACTTTTAGTTACACTCATAATAGAGCATCCATTCTTCTGGAAATGCAACCTATCACATAGACTTGAATGTATGCAGGCACACTAAAAACCTGGTTTTACACCCTACTCTTTGCGAGAGATGTGCTCTATTAACGTGCATATTGTATGACTCTCCTACACAAGACCTTTAGTTAACGTTCTAGTTCGAGGAAAGGACTGTTTTCCCCTGAACCCGAGCCTGCATCGAAAACAGAGGGGGAGTGTGTCGCATACACATATTACGCCTACAATCATTTCTGCATTTCTGCATTCAGCGAGGGACTCGAACCCACACTGTCTCCCTAAAACAAAACCACTACTATCCATTACTATACCCCTTACCTCTACATCGTTGCCAGACACTGTACCGCTACCGTATGCCCATCCCCGCATGGTATTGACGGGCGAGGTCCATAGGGGTGCAGAAAAGACCCCATTCTCCCGTGAGTGGAGCCGGATGTAGCCAAACCCATCATGATAATACCAAAACTGCACGCAGTAGTCGGAGGAGGAAAGGTCGTAGACCGGGCTGATAATTCGAGCCACGTCACCATCACTGTGTGGTGTCGTGGTATCCACGTAGATGAAATTGCCTTCGACATTTGAAAATGAAGAAAAATACATATATAAATAGTAGTAGTAGTAAATGTGGTATTATCATTAGTAGTAATGCCGTTCACAAATATAGCGCTTTACCATTAGCTGACCAAAATTATTACAGTAATATTATAACCCCGGTCACGGGATTCAGTTAGCCTACTATTTAGCACATATCAATACGCATTCTCCCCTCTCTGAGGAGCATTCCATAATAATCATTTCACAGGCACCCACAAGCTAATCCGATCACAATGGCGTTTGCATCCTAAACTGGAACAAGCACAAGTTCAAGACATCGAATTTGAAATTGATGTACTTTTTTATTTAAAAATTGGAAGTCATCAAATTTTTACATATGACACAATGCATGCCCTGGGTTTTCAAAGGACACCATCTAGATATTAAGGAAGCGCAGCATCGGTCTTACCGTTCGAAGTGCTAGTACTTTTATCCGTCGGAACGGTCGGGTAGGACGCCCCTGTACCTCTGATCCAGTCGAGACCATCATCGGTGGTATCCTGCCGCCAGCCACATGTATCCTGCTCGAAGGTACACTGTTCTGTATAGGTGGGAACATGCATATTATATTGATATTAGTTAGCAATAGATACTTTAAACAAAAAGAAGAACTTTTTGCATATCGGCATGAATATCTAAGCACATTTATATCCACAGAGGATTATTTCATAAAAGACGTGTTGTCTAAGGAAGTTTAAGATAAGTTGAGAAGACCGATGGGAAAAAGATTGGTTGTATTCCGCTACGAGCCATCTTATTCAAATGTACACTGTTCTGTTTACGTGGGAACATGCATATTTTAAAGATTGTTCATGTAATTTGTTTGTGTGTAGGCTCTCATGCGTGTGAATGTGTTATCTTATCATGTAATCCTTAGGCCACTCATCATTGAAGAAATGTGACATCTTTGATGCAAGATTGATGAAAAGTATTTAAAATTCTTATATTATTATCATTTTGACCAGAAGGAAAAGGAATATTAAATCATGACAAATATGAAATAATGGCAATTAAGTAAAACTATCACTGCTTGGTTTCTTTCAGAAAATATTTAATATGCAAACTGGACCTAATATCATAAATATTATGACTTATGTAGTCTTGCTAATCCCAAAAGAGAGAATTGTTCTTGAGATAAATGGTTTGTGTATCTTAAGAATCAAACTGATGCAGAAATAATATTTAAAAATAACTTACTTTGTGTCGGGCATAATGAAGATGAATCAAATAGGATGTCGTCCAGTGCTATGTCACTCAGGAAATCTGATCCGCGAACAGACTCAAAGATTAGCTACGAAATAGAGAAAGAAAAAAGATTCACAAAATTGACAGATTTGGAGGTGTTCGCTTTGTTTTATGGTACGATGTTATTTGAAAGACGTTCACCATAATGCACGCTTCAACCACTAATAGTAATCTGTGATATCATTCGATGTCATCATTAGCAAAATGTAATTTTGTGAGCAGTAAAATTATTGTTAGTCATGTTCGTTTTATAGATTTTAGGAAAATACCTTTTAATGGGGTATTGCTATCAGTCAGAGTTAATAATAATAATAATAATAATGTTGTTTGTGTGGAAAACTCACTCATTATTTTATACCTTTACCATAGCTCATCTTTTTCTTGACAGAAGATATAACAGAACAAAACATGATAACAACTCACCTCGTAGTTTTGACTTGATACTAGATCCACCTGTTGGTAAATCCACGTATTCCTGAGTGTCCCTGACTGGCTCCAAACCAACGTAGTCGTTCCGTCAAAGGTATTGTAAAGATAGAGGTTTAGCGCCCCCATCGTCGTACCGTACATATGGATCCAGAACTGAAGACAGGCCCCAGCTGGAGTGGCGGGAATCATCAGGGATTTCACCCGGGCGGTGCTGCCTAAAACACCGCTCGATGCCTCAAAGTATATGTAATACCCTGGGTGATGGAAATGAGTATAAAGAAGATATTACTATGTGGTAAAACGTCAGTAGAATGTCGTACTTGTTTATGCCATTTTGTAAGAGAGAACAGACTATTTGCCCGCAAAATAGCTATTCGTTTCGTTTTTTAATTGAAATTTTGAGTGAGTCAATTTGCTATTCACGAACTGTTTCACTGCTTTTGTATGTGAATCGCTAAAAGAGAAAGATAGACACCTCATGAGAAAATACCCTTTTTTAGAAGATTGGGGGGAAATACGTGATAGAGGAGAGGAGAGAAAACAAATGGGAATAAGAAGCATACGAAAGAACATTATCAATATATGTTTTACCAATGTATTTCATTTATTTTTGTATCCACCGTACCACAACACATAAGCACTAGATTCGATAATAATACCCATTCACTTTGTCCTACACTTCACAGGGTAATGCACTGTTGCAATAAAGTGACCCATTAAGTTGCCCATTAAGTTGTACTTTTTTGTTTGGCCGCCTTCTGTTTCAATCTTTAATAAAGGCCTACAAAGAGACATAGGTATTGATCAATATAGTTCTGAAAAGATAATAAACTATGCAGGGCGTATGGTACTGAAGAGAGAGAAATTGAGGGGGGGGGGCGTGATGTGTGTGCAAAGAGAAGAGAGTTGATGTAGTTACACTGCCAGTCATATGGTGAAAGAGAGAGAGAGAGAGGGGGAGGGAGGTTCGGTGCGTGCATAAGCAATAGTCAGGGTGTACGGTTACCTGTGCCAGTTGTATGGTCACTCGTCGGACCGGTCGACGCTGAGGATGTTGTGCCTGCGTATCTCGTCCAGTCGTAGTCGTCATCGGTCATCTGTTTCCATCCGCACAAGGACATCTCAAAGTCACAGCTTACCGTCTCATAGATAGAAGGATCGGCTGTGCTGGGGAATACTGGAACAAATAATGGGGATAAAGAACATTGTATTAACTTCCATGATGTCTTGGAAGTAAACACAATACTGGATGTAAATCTGTTAAGATGTTATCCTGTCGTGAAGAAGAACAGAAAGAGGGAGAAGAACAAATATACGAAGAAAAAAGAAGAAGAAGAGGAAGAAGATAACAAAGATAAAGAAAAAGAAGAAGAAAAAGAAATAGAAGGAGAAGAAGATTAAAAAAAACACAAATAATAAGAAGATGAAGAAAAGAAGAAATGAATGAAAGGATAGCTTGACGCAAAGTATCTCGTGAAATAAATTACTAAAACTTGATCAGATGAAAACAAATACGTTTAAATAAGGAAACTATTTATTTATATATCCAGTTAAAAGTTTTCGAAAGGAAAATTACTCTCTTCTTACCTGGGCAAATTTGGTCCAAAACTGTGATGTCATCAATGGCTATGTCTCCATAGTAACTGATGCCGGTTGATGCCTCGATCATGATCTGAAAATGATGAAAATGGGGACAGACGTCATTAACACAAAACAAACCACAGTTCGTCTCTTGTGAAACAGAATGGTGTTATAGTTAACTCATTGCATACATAGGAACCAAACAGGACAATTAAGGTCCTTCTTTGGCAAAACAGATTTTTTTTTTTGTAAGCCCTTACAGATTCACACGATATTCTGAATAGATTTATACCTTTTCCATTTCATCCATACCTTTGATTCTTTTGATAACAATAAGAAATATTTCATTCACATATAGTAGGTGGTTGTATTTGAATACTCAGAATGCAAAATGCATATAGTACGTGTTGCAGGACAAGTCTTAATATATGTCCCACCTGGCAACAAAAAAGTTATTCAGTTCGCCTTCTGGGTATTGCAATACGATTATTCGTAACAGATGAAGGAAATAATTCGTATCGATGAACTTGAACAAAAAGTGTGCATTAAGTTTGGTAACACTACAAAAATGGTGTGTTGTGTGTATTGATGACACATGGGCCCCGTTGCATACAACTTACCAATGATGGTAACTCGGCCATCAATGGCAACTACCATGGTAACAGGGCTCAACAGCCAATCAAAATCAAGGTTTTCATAGTAGTTACCATTGATGGGAAAGTTTCATCAATGGTAAGTTTTGTGCAGCGGGGCCATATCAATTTTCTGTTAAATAGCTTACATGGTTTAATGAACTTCGACTCATCTATAAATGGAAGTAGATGCTGATGCACATTAATGAGGTACATATTCAGAAATATGGATTTTCGTAACAAATGTTATGACGCTATATTATAGGAGATTAAATATTACATCGAATGACAATCTGTCAAGTCCATACCCTTTAAACGAAATTATGAGAAGTAGGTGCGTTGTTTGAGCTTTTTGCTAAGGACAGCTACTTGATTGCTTATGGTATGTTTTGCTATAAATGATATGATAAGTATATTTTTCTCGAAGGAAGGTCAATGCACTCAATTCTTCAAATATGTACCTTGTGTACGTTACAATTGAAATTCAGCTGCATTTCATTTCGCGTAATCGAAAAGGAGAATAAATAAAATGCGGAAGCCTAAACAAGTAAAAACGATAACAATTTGACAGTGTTCTGCTATGAATTTGAATGCTTTTTTCTAAATCTACCGGACCACTACCTGCTGCAGTTAGTACATGCAGGGGTGTCGATCCCGGGGGACGGGGGGACACGTCCCCCCTCGATTTTTGTAGGAGGGGATCGTCCCCCCTCGATTTTTGTAGGAGGGGATCGTCCCCCCCCCCCCGGAAAATTTGAAAAAGTGCAAAAAAAATAATGTACAGCAAAAACTGACTAAAGACTTCAACACACTATTAGGCTTTGGAGGGCTCAAGAGTGCAGTGTTTAGACAAATAAAAATGCAAAAATCTCCTGGCTTGGGAGCTATGCTTCCTCGCATAACATCCTTCAAAATGTACAAGTAAATATTGTAGAAAAGTGAAGTGTGAAAAAGGAACATTGTTTGTTTTCATACTATAGTTTTGCCAAGGAATATAATTTAGTAATACAACAAAACTTCAAAACCTGTGAGGGGGTACTCAATTTCGTCCCCTTCACCCCTCTCATTTATTATGCTCACTCACTCGGGCTTGGGGCAGTCCCCCCTCCCCCTCCCGATAAAATTCGAACGTGGTTTAATTCTAATTCGATACCAGTGAATAATTTACAAATGAGCTTCTGGGGTCTTTGCCCCCTGGAGCCCACTCCGATTAGTGACCTCCATGCAAGCGTTACAATTAAGGTACCAAAATATGCTCATCTGACCCTTATTAAATGCCTAACAACTCTAAGCTTCATGGGGCTCCGCCCCTTGACCCCCGCCGGGGCTTCGCCCCTGGACACCACGCCAATTTACGCCCCACTTGCTTTGATCTATCTGTTCGCAAATACTTTAGCCCCTCCCCCACTCCCACTTTGAAAAACGTTCCGCGGGGCCTGCATGTAACATGTAAGAGCGGTGATGATAGATGCGGATTTTTTTCTACCCCCCCCCCCCCCCCAAAAAAAAGTTTTTGCTTATTACGTCACTCCTCCCTCGTTCCTCGCATTTCGTCCCCCCCCCCCCCCCCCCCCCCCCCCCCCGGTCATGAAAAGAAATCGCCGCCCCTGAGTACATGTATTGCAATATGAAATGGTGAAATGTAGAAACATGTACTAATACGGATGCAAACACTTTCTTAAAATAAGAGCAATTTTATTATCTCTACTGAATTTCCTATATATCCCGTATCTGGATTTTGAAATATATCATTGTTATTTTTGCATATTTCAATCGGTGACGCACATGGCTACTGAAATAACCTTCGGTCCATTCTTTGAACGTCTTTGCCACTTTCGTGATGTGATCAGATTTAATGCACTCATCTTTGTTATGTGCGTCGTTACAAATTACTTCACTCACCTGTTATGAATAATATTATCACAATCGTTAGAATAATAATTGCATACATTTAGTGATGAAAGGTTGGGGAACCAAAATGTTTTTCCTACCTAGCATGTTTATGATAATGATTATCCCATATGAATGACACTCTTACCACCACCAATGAATCATAAGAAGTAGGTGTAGGCTGTCAAAATAAGAACGATGATGACCAAATGAAACAAACATCAAAATAAACAGTATGAACAATTTAAGAAGGAAAAGAATAAAAAAAAAACATATCTGCCATCATCATTAAAATTACATGCATGATTCAAATGCACACGAAAAAAAATACTCATTACAAGATATCGATATTTCATATGGTACACTCTTGAAAAGTAGGCACGATTAAGTTGTTAAATTATGTATTATTGCAAATAATTTCACAGTTTATAACAATATTAGTATTATACACAATTCATGTGATAAGTCACAAACAAAATATAGGTGCACTATCGGCTTATCATTTACTGAATCCATTAGGCGTTATTTCGCTTGCGTTATTATCTCGTATCTCTGAAGGTAAAATTAACTAATACCTACTGTATGGACGTAATGTTTGCAATGATCAGTTTTAGCTCACTCTTTTCTACGATATAAGTTTCGCATGGCACATCAGACCAGGTCAGAGGCTGACGCATTCATACGTCCATAAATGTCGCATCAGATACGACGGGTGCAAACAAAGAGTATATTAAAAGAAATAGTGAAGTTATTTTAAGCTCGCTCTCTTCTGCGATGTACATCTAGCAAGGCACATCAAAGACCATGTCATTGGTCGACGCAGTCATCCGTCAATAAATGACGCATCGAATACAACGGGTACATCAAATAGTATCTGAACATAAACAATTCAGTTAAGGGCGTTAAAACTCACTGTCATGCCGTCTCCGTTCATGACTGAAAACCTCCCTTCCAACCAGGCGTTCGGGTTCGCCGTCTGCTGGCCGGACAGGCGCCATTTGTAATCCTCGGACCCTGAGAGAGCGTCGATGACGCGGACGTTGAGCTCGCCCACGGTGGAGCCATACATATGATACCAAAATGAAACGCAGGAGCCCGTGGCAGAGGGGAAGATGGAGCTGAGGAGACGGGCGTTGGCACCGACCCCCACCGAGCTGGCTTCGATGTACATGTAGAAACCTGTGGACGAGGTTGAATTGTAGGTTCAGTCACATGACTTCCAATCGAGAGTCTAGAGCATTAATGTGATTGGTACCCTTTGTACCTATTTCTACAGCATGTTATTGTATAGCCATACACACACGCAGACACTGGCCATGGAACGTTCATTTTCCATGGCTTGGGGTGCTGTAGAAATAGGCTTTAATCCCTGCATTGGTAATTATTTTTGTTCTTTTGCTATTATTCACCTACAACGTTATAACAATGAGCTCAACAAAAATTAACTCAAGAGCACATTCAATGCGCTATTGTGAGTCACACAAAAATAACTTACGTATGTGCGAACGTCATGTCGCGCATTTCCATCGGTGACGTGCATGGCCTTTAACATTTACTGTGAATTGTTTTTTCCAAAAATGTTGCAATCGTATTGTACTACGAATTTTTGGAAGGAATGCCCTACTGTTATTCATCCTGCATGTAACCCAATGTCTGATATGCTAATGGACAAGTGTTCATGATAGGAGAAGTCCCGCACCAAAATCTCTCTTATCTCTATTTCTCTGTCTCTGACTCTCTCTCTATCTCTCTCTCTCTCTCTCTCTCCGTGTCTTCCTCTCTGTCTCTGTCTCTCTGTTTCTATGTCGGACTTTCTCTATTTCTCTCTTTACACCGATTAAAAGGTTACTCACCCTTTATGCATTACCTAATGAACACTGTGCTAGTTTTTAAATGCCCATTGCGAGGAAACTCCTCATCCTCTCCCTCCCCCTCCCTCTCTCTCTCTCTCTTAAAACCAATGACGATATCACCCACCTTGTGCATTACCCAATGAATGATCCACTAGAGGACCCATGCCTGTAGTAGGGGAAACCCCATCCCTTCTCTCTCTCTCTCTCTCTCTCTCCCTCTCTCTGTCTATGTGTCTCTCTTTCTCTTTCTCTAAAAACCAATAGCGATTTACCCACCTTGTGCATTACCCAATGTATGATCCACTAGAGGACCCGTGCCTGAAGTAGGGAAAGCCCCACTCCTTCACTCCACCTCTCCTCCTATCTCTCTCTCCCTCTCTCTCTCTCTCTCTCTCTCTTTCTCTCTCTCTCTCTCTCCCTCTTTCTCTCTTTGTCTCTCTCTCTCTTAAACCCAATAGCTATATCACTCACCTTGTGCATCACCCAATGTATGATCCGCTAGAGGACCAGTGCCTGTAGTAGGGGAAGCCCCACCCCTTCACTCCCTCTCCCCCTCTCTCTCTCTGTCTCTCTCTGTCTCTCTGTGTGTCTCTGTGTCTGTCTATCTCTTCCTCATAAAACCAATAGCTACACCACTCACCTTGTGCATTGCCCAATGTATGATCCGCTAGAGGACCAGTGCCTGTAGTGGGGGAAGCCCCACTCTGTCGGATCCAATCGAAATCGTCTCCATCCTGTGTATTACCCCATAGACACAGATCAGTCTCAAAATCACACGAAACTGAAAGAATATGATGTAATAAAAAGATAGAAATTTATTTAACACGTAGGACCGAATTCCCAAAGGAGGTTTGTAGACAAACCTTGGTCCGAAACGCGTCAAACCTCCTTTTGGAATTCGGGCCAAGAGTTCTGAATTCTTGTATTTTCCTGCGGTACAACGTATAGCAGGAAAATGTTGTATATGCGGATCCGTTTAATGATTACGTAATGGGAGTGGCGAGACGCCACGATTCCGCGAAGCGGGATGGTTTGAATAACTTAGGCAGGTGTAAGTTATTGTATTGAGAAGGAAAGGAATGTTCAGAAAGGCATAATAAGAGAGGGAAATGGGCGTGGTAGCCATTCTAGCTTTGTCAGACACTAGATACACGACACGACTTCGGGGACCGAGCCAGGAGCGACAGCTACTATACGATGGAGCCGATGGACATTGCCGAGCTTGTCCGCGGCGAAGTGAGGGATTCACAGAATACATTACTGGATAAATTAGAAACGCTTGTTTCAGATAAGCTTAATCATTTCCAGAAGGACATAAACGATTCACAAATGGCTATGAGCGAAGTACAGCTATCAAAGATGGAGGAAATAACCAACACGACGTACAAGTTTAAAAAGAAGGGAAACGAGGAGCAGTACAAGAGCAATACCAAGGTTTATCAGAAGTTGTCTGAAGCAGAATCTTTGCTGAAGAAAGACGAAGATTTGAGCAGAGCTTCTACGGCAGCACAGAACAAAATCGCCGAAGGTAAAGACATTTTAGAGCATAGGCAGAAAATCATCAAGCTTGCTGATCAATCACCTTTCGGATGGCTTACAGTTTCTGAATATGAAACCAATAGCCTCGCTCGGGATTCGGACGACGAGAAAAGAATCTGGAAGGTGGAGGCCAGAGCGAAACGCAAGATGAATCAAGCGCCTCGAAGGAAGATAGCTTCACGCAACCAGATACGTCCCTATCCAACAGATCGTCAACCAGCATCTCAGCAGTCTTCAAGGCCATGGTCAAATCCTAGCTCCAAGACAGAGGGATGGGATTTCAAGAGGAAAACGGGAGCATGCTTCGCCTGTGGTAAATTCGGGCATTGGAGGTTCGAATGCAGGGAGCTGGCATCAAGCAGAGAAGCAAGAAATGAAAAGTAGGTGTAAGGACCGCCGTTAAGGAAGAGATGAAGCGAGCTCAAGTTACGTCATCAAAGTTCATCCAACTGGCAGAACAGATGTCATCGCATATCATTAAATCGAGAAGCGAAAACACAAACAAGAAGTATTTCGCAGCATTTAAAGTTGATATTCATTGATTTTAAAAACTAACTTTATTGTCATTATTGCAAAGTTGAAACTTTGATTCGACAAGGTTATCGAAATTCAAAGCTTGGAAACATTCGAAGTAATGATTATTATAAATTACAAAACGCTTAAATACAGCCCCGGCATAGCACCTGAAGAGCTCTCCGAACGTTGCTGAGATGTGTGAGATCACAGTATGGACATGATTTGCACAAGCAGACGATGTCCCATGACATCTCACACATTTTCAGTGCCTGTGTTTTCTTCTTCTCTTGAGTTATTTCTCTTACTTTACTACCGTCAGGCTTAATGTATAATTTATTGCCTCACTCTAAACCCCGTGCATGGTTTTATTTCGATGACAAATGCAGCGATACAAAAATAAAGGAATCTGTCGCTTGTAAACAAAATAAGACGCCATTGTATATTCAGCTGTACACAGCGGGGTATGTTCGGCGTTTCAAGAGGGAACAAATGCCGTCCTTAATATCATTCCGGGGGGTTTTCAATTTGAAAGTCTGGTTTCTTTGATTGTTAATTAACCCCTATCCTGTGTATTTACAAGCAAAAGATTTTAGTTATCGGAATCGGGTCATATCCCCTTTTGAATGGTTTGACATGCCATTACATTTATATACACTAAACTCATTATAATTTGAGAAATAATAGCTTTGCGATTATGTTCATTCTCTATGGGATGTCGTCTGCTTGGGCAGTGTTGGTCCATATAGTGACGTCATTAAAACATCGTTATTTTTCCGGCGAATCTCTCGTATATCCCAGCTGCTATGGAGGTGATTGTATTTGTAATTTTATAAATCACCCGATATGTAGTTGACCTAAAACTTGTACGATGGCCATCTGTTAGTTTACCAATTTCTAGTGATACATTAGTTGACATATTTGTGATTTTCTTTGAATTTCACCTTTAACCGATGGGATCTATTCATCAGTGCAGAAGGAGGGAATTCTCTTCCAGCTGAATCTATTCACGTCGCCCTATATGTGACTCATCTTATTGACAAAGGACATTCATCGAGTGTCATAGAAGGTGCTGTATACGCCATTAAGTGGGCTCATAGTCTTAGAGGGTTCAGGGATCCCACAGACAATTGTTTTGTAAAGAATTTGTTGGAATCTGCCAAACGGCAATGCAAGAAAAAAGTAAACAAGAAAGATCCAGTTACTTCAGATCAAGTTAAAGAGCAATGTAAGAAGCATGTTCATACAGAGGACGCAATTTTGTGTTTCACGGGGTTTCTTAGATATGATGAAGCAAGATCTTTGAAGTGTAATGATGTGTCAATTTATGATGATTATATTTCTCTTAATATTGCTAAGAGTAAGACAGATCAGTATAGACAAGGTAATAGTGTAGTCATTAGTGCCGGTGTGACAGAAGCTTGTCCGGTCAAAATGGTAAAGAAGTATATCAATGTGGCTCGGATTTCTTTAGATTCCAATCATTTTTTCTTTAAACCGGCATACAGGTCTAAAGGAGTTAGTGCGCTTATAAGGAAAGACAAACCTTTAAGTTACACGACAGCTAGAGAGAGGGTAATTTCTTTGTTGAAAGAAGTATGTGGGGATGCAAATCTCGGATTGCATTCACTGAGGGCAGGTGGAGCCACTATGGTTGCTAATACATCAACTAAAGACAGATTGTGGAAAATACATGGTCGTTGGAAGACAGATAAAGCGAAGGATGGATATGTTGTAGATACATTAGATAATAAACTTGAGGTGACAAAATCCTTAATGCTTTAGGCATATTATGAATGTTTTCCATCATAGGAAACGTGTTTATTTCGAATGTGGAGTATGAATTGTCTTGGAAAACAGATATAATGTCCGACAATATGTTTTTTTTTTTATTAAAGAAGAGTAATGAAAGAAAGGAAAGAGTAATCGTTATATGAATTCATGTAATACATTTTTTCTGCAAATAACGGTTAAGTGATTATGTTTTGTTAAATAATCAGAAAGGGATATTCGACAAAAAGGATATTCAAGAAAGATGATCATTTAAATCTTGAGACGGATTAAATTGGAATAGATTGTTAAATATTTTTTTGTTAAATTGTTCAGTGTGCTACAAGGAAATGCACCCGTTCTTTTTTACATCTAGGTCGGTCTGGCAGGCTTTTCCGTAAAGACTGTTATTGATGTAATCTGTGAGTCATTAACTGAGTAATGAAGGATGAGAATATACTTGTATTTTCCTACGGTACAACGTATAGCAGGAAAATGTTGTATATGCGGATCCGTTTAATGATTACGTAATGGGAGTGGCGAGACGCCACGATTCCGCGAAGCGGGATGGTTTGAATAACTTAGGCAGGTGTAAGTTATTGTATTGAGAAGGAAAGGAATGTTCAGAAAGGCATAATAAGAGAGGGAAATGGGCGTGGTAGCCATTCTAGCTTTGTCAGACACTAGATACACGACACAAATTTCAAGTGGAAATTTTAACACAGAACAATAGTTTGGTGTTTGTTTTTGTAGGAGGTTTAGAGATTCAAATAGATTAATTTTATAGGGACGATTTGCCATTAGGTTTTTCCAGAGCATTTGCCTTATTTAGTTTATCTCTGGTTTTTTCAACCTAGGGAATCGGTCCGGGCGTGGGGAAAAAAGGCAAAGCCCCATGCAGGTTAGGGATCAAAATTAATATTTTATTCTATACAATGTCAGTATATATTGAGGTGTGAACGTTGACGATTGGGATTGAAATTATGCAATGTTAACAATATTTACACTTGATATTTTCAAAAATGAAATTATTTTGATGTTCAAAATGATATAATAACAAAGATTGTTCATGATTGTTCAAAAAGATACAATTCGAATAAAAGCTGGCTTGGTCGGTCTGGCAGGCTTTTCCGTAAAGATTGTTATTGATGTAATCTGTGAGTCATTAACTGAGTAATGAAGGATGAGAATATACCCGCTGCCTCTTATAAAGGAACCACCTTCCAGTAGGCACTGCGGTATTAACGTTGCTCAAGCGTTGGTATATAGAGGGCAGCACATGGACGTACGCACGGGAGCGTAAAACCCATGGGATCAGTGTCAGGTAGTGATCGGGAGTGATCGCCAAGTTATCTACTTCACGAACGACTAAACACCCACGCATGATGATGATGATGATGACCCACGGCGCTTATATGGTGCCATTTATCTGTTTCAAACATCCTTAGGCGCCAGCTCCTCCAATAGTCATGTACTACACATTTGCTTGAAAAGCTGGGTTTTGAGGCCTGGCTTAAGCTTTCTAGCTTGTCGGTGAGCCGAAGAATAGGGGGAAGGGAGTCCGAGAGGCATGGAGCAACTGAAGAATAGACACGATCACCATACAACCGGAGTCGTGTACGTGGAACTTGGATAAGAAGATAATATCCTTTGCAGGCAATTATACCACAATGTCATTAAGTGAATCTACCACCATATAATTATAACAAAAATAGATTCAACAGAAAGTCAACGTTTGTGAATTTCTGTACGCACTGTGAAACAGATCGAAGTGCCCGTTACCACAATTAATTCTCATGTTCCTTCACACAAGGTACATACCACGAATTTCCATAGACTTAACACAGGGACAACCAATTTCCAGTAAGCAATGTAAGAAGAGTTTACAGTAAATGGAGAAGTGACACATAAACTGACATTATGAGTAGCATTCTCATATTGTAATCAAGACATGATAAAGCTTACAAAAGAAAGAGGTCCCACCGAGACTTGAACTCGGATCGCTGGATTCAAAGTCCAGAGTGCTAACCATTACACCATGGCACCTTGCCTATTTGTACAGGCGTCCATATGAATAAAGAAATAAGACTGGCTTTTTGGAAACGCGACGTTGAAAATACATTTAGTCTCTTTAAACCTTGAACCTCCCCATTTATTATGGAGCGCGAGGGGAGACCCTTCCCGGTAACACTAAATGCAGTGTGAGGGAAGGACCAACTTGTGAGGATCCGGGTAGACGTCCTGTACTACCTTCAAGTTGGTGGCGGACAGACCAGGGTGGATAGGAGAGGAGTGTTTCATTCGCTTTCAGTCCCTTTTTCTATGTATGATTACTTTATATGTATTTGTATCTGATTTTATTATACGGAAATAAAAACAACAACAACTTTGAATATGACTCAACTATGGCAGGTCGTTCACACCACTGTTTGCTCTCACTATTTACTCAAGGTACGTACAAATCATGGTCACAATATTTACAACATTTACATTTGTTATAATCCAATATTGAGGAAAAATATTATTAATGATCATAAAGGTGAAGCCAACTAGTGGCATGAACAGCCTACCATAGTTAAGTTCAACTTAAAGTCGATCCGAGTCTTAGTGAAACATTCACCAAGGGTGTACATCAGGATAAAATGGAAGCAATCAGTCAAGAGTAAGACAGAGCAAATTCTAACCGAACAATCAGAAGGAAGGAAGATATAGGAAAAAAAATAAACGAACCATCACCATGCAGAGACCATCAGGAGGTTTCCCTGCCTGCTTGGACAGTATAAGTCAAGTAAGCCAATCATGATAAAGCTTACAAAAGAAAGAGGTCCCACCGAGACTTGAACTCGGATCGCTGGATTCAAAGTCCAGAGTGCTAACCATTACACCATGGCACCTTGCCTATTTGTACCAGCGTCCATATGGATTGAAAGATAAGGCTAGGTTTTAGGGACACATCACATTGAAATGCACTTAGTCTCTACATGTCTTGAACCTCACATGGAGCGCAAGGAGGAGACAATTCCCGGTAGCGCTACGTATGCAGTATGAGGAAAAGACCAACGTGTGATGATCAGGGTAAACATCCTATGCTTTCCACAAGCTAATAGCGGACAGACCAGGGTTGCAAGGAGATGAGTGTCTCTTCCGCCTTGTGTAATAATATGAGCGAAACTGTACGAACAATGGTAAGCATAAGTAGCACAAGGTTTAGAACCTCTGATAACTAACAAGGCATTCCAAGCGATAGGCCTGCAAACTGCTGTACATTCTAATGCATCATCTTTAAACCTAGTTGTAAGAGATCGTGTTGATAACCCAAAAAAAATAATTAAAAAAAAAAAAAAAAAAGTGAAAATGCTGATAGGACTATTGCGGACACTAAATTTATATGGAAATAAATACATTCTTTTGAACTAGCTTGAACAAAACGAAGTGAGAAATTATTGGAGTCTACGAGACACTAGTAAGTCAATCATGATAAAGCTAAACAAAATGTAGAGGTCCCACCGAGACTTGAACTCGGATCGCTGGATTCAAAGTCCAGAGTGCTAACCATTACACCATGGCACCTTGCCTGTTAGTACAAACGTTCATAGTTAACAGAAACACCATGTTAAACATACACTTGTCTAGATATTACTGTTTAGTAAGTGTATGCATACTTTTTGAACAAAAGTTTCTCTTGACAACTAAAAGCACTTGCTAGAGGCTTGCTCGACATAGTAACAGTTTAGGTATGCAGAGTGAATTCCATATATGAATATGCCATTATTCATCACAAGTGAATTAAATGACTTGTAACATGAGGTAAGTAAAAAACACAGATTTTTGAAAACAAAATGATCATTATTGATGTTGAAATACATTAATAGAAACAAAATGTATATCTCAGACTGACTCCGTTGAACGAACCCGATTTTCAGCAAACGCCTAAATCAAGCTTGAGCCTAGATAAGTAGAATGAGGGCCATTTCATGGACGGCTTAAGTCAGGTAAGTTAATCATGATAAATTTTACAAAAGAAAGAGGTCCCACCGAGACTTGAACTCGGATCGCTGGATTCAAAGTCCAGAGTGCTTACCATTACACCATGGCACCCTGCCTGTTAATACAACTATCCATGGTTTAGAGAAACACCACGTTTGAAATACACTTGTCCGTATGTTCTTCTAGCAGACCCGTTTAATAATTCTATGCATGGACAAAAGTTTCTCTTGGAAACTAAAAGCACTTGGGAAAGGCTTGCCCGACATAGTAACAACTTAATTATGCATAGTGAACTCCATCAATGGAGATTCCATTATTCATCGCAAGTGAATGAAATGATTAGTAACAATGGGTAAGAGAGAAAAAAATCACTTGAAATACATTAATAGATAGGGTCTACGTTAACAAAATAAAACAATATCAGGCTGACTCCGTTGAACAAACCTGATTTTAGTAGATTAAATATTTGATTTACTGTGAAATATTAATTTGGGTATCGAAATTAATAAGGGTAACAAATACATTAGTGTAACAGCATATTGATTAGGAATAGAGCATTTCTCGGTTTTAAGCTACAGATTTTTAAAGTGTTTGGGCGAAAAGTGAAAATGAATTGATTCTATCATATGATATAATAATGTTTTTTTCATTTAATATACCTGAATCATCGCATACGCCATCCCTGTAATCAACATCGTCTATGGCGATATCGCCAAGCTCTCCAGTCCCTACGGTCGCCTCAAATATCAGGTGATATGGAATGGATGACGTAACAGTGACCTGCTGACCGTACCACGCGTTGCCTAGGTTACCAGCTGTAGACCAGAGAGGTGTGTTGAGGTCTGATTGCAGCTATGGAATGACAAAGATTGGTTGAACTTGGTAAACTAAATTAATAGTAATGTATAAACTTTTTTCCTCAGAAAATAATATATCATGAAGTAATTTTCTTTCATTGGGAATATAGGCATCTTTTGGGCATAAGCATACGCGGAAACATATTAAACACATGCAAATACTTTGATATGTACATTTTTGTAGACATACTTGCACAATCAAAGCGTGACGGAGTGTCGATAAGTGGCGTTTTTCCGAACTGTTGTGATTATTTTGTCTAGTATTAGACAATTTTGGGTCGACATTTGATGTAGGGTTTTCACAAAGTGTCGGGTATACTGAACCCGATACTTTCGGCCATAAAAGGGGTGTATTTCACCAGCGTTAAGAATTATGGACTAAGTGTTCACGATAGCTCGTGTTCCCGGAAAACACAAATATCCAAAAAAACGAAGTATACGAACATGACTACCCTAAGTAGTTTCAAAGGTGGTGAACAGATCAAATATATGTTTAAAATTGTTCCTTGTGTAATAATTTAGTTATGCTTACAAAGAAATATAAAAATGTGTAATAAAACGTAGAAATATGTACCTTGAATGCTAGTGTATACACATCTGGTCCGTACATGCTGTAGTAAAATGTCCAACAAGTCACGCCGGAAGGTTCGGGGGTAAAGGTAGGTCCTACCAGCCTGGCCGTGTCACCAAGGGTCTTGTTAGTTGCATCAATATACATGTACTTTCCTGATATAGAGAGACAAGGAGGAAGGAAGAGAAATATGGAGATAATTCGATGGGGAGAGTGTTAGGACCATTTGGAGGAGAAGGTGTATTAGTGAAGCATATAAAGCTATTTTTAAATGTACAGTTAACAGCTAAATTGATCATATACTTGCAATTATGATGTTTAAACAAAAATCTATTTCGTAACTTAAAGCCACACTGTCCTACTGTAGCTACTTGCTCCCTCTATATAGAATTTTAACTGGTGACCATTAGTCGCCTATGATCCCCTTTTTCTTAAGCTAATTGAGAGCTTAGTCGATGAGATAACCACCTGTCTAGTGACCACACAGGGCGGTCTAATCCCTCGAAATGTCTATTCGAAGTTTTATGACTACTATTGTAATACTAGATACCATTTTTAGCATTGTAGTTTACTATTTATTTTGCTTATAATAAATATCTGTATGATAAGACGGAAACAAACAAAAATAGCTTACCATAAACTGTACCATATGTAGCATCTACATCCGGGCCTGTACCGACGGTATCCGTACTACCATCGCCCCACAGCCAATCAAAATCATCCGTATCATCTTGAATGTACTGGCACAAGTCAGGTGACTGGAAGTCACACGCATGAGCAGCTAATGAAACAAATAAGAAAGGATTTTTTGATCCATTACACGCATAAATAACAAGGGAACATTTTGTGCTTCCAAGCGACGTTTGTTCACACTTTAGACGATAGTTAATGAATAGTAAAACATATATAGGGTCTATGTGAGGAAGATTTAAAAACTCGATGACAATATTTATTGTAGCTAAGCAGTAGCCTAAGCAAAAAAAAAAAGAATACAACAAAGAAAAGATTTATAACAAAACCAAAAATGACAGCAACGGACGTTTGACTATTTTCCTTTGTAGCAAAATATTATCATATCTGTCGGAAAATGTTTCGATAATCGTGCACGTTCCTGTACATATATTTCAAAAAACTCATTTGCAGCATCTAGCATCTTTTTGAAGATGTTACCCTTGAAAGAAAAAAAAAGACGAAGAAGAAAGAAAAGAGGAAACAAAAGTAGAAGATTTAAAAGTCACCTTCACACTCTCCTTCATAAAGATCAAGGTCATCGAGCGCTATATCGCCAGTGAATGATGATCCCCGTACAGCTTCATAGATCACCTGTAAGAGCAAACAAAGTACAATTGTATTGATAGACCATGGAACTTTATCTTCTGAATCAGTACGACTCATCACTATTCTAGGGCCCCGTTTCACAAAACTTGTCATCAGTGACAAATGATAGTCTTTGTTAAAAGCTACTGAAATCCTTGCTTTTGATTGGTTATTAACATATTTGTCACTAATTTGTGTCATTTGTCATTGAAAAAAGGCTTTGTGAAACAGGTCCCAGGAGACCTTTATTATAATATTTGCAAACGCAGAGAGCATTGCACATGCAAATAATTTTTTATGAGATCTGCTGAAAATGTCCATATTTAATGAAAAACATTCGCATATAGATATTGACGTCGATAGCGCGAAGCTATTATCCCTCCGACGAAAAAAGAGTGGAAAAGCACCAAAAACAACAACAGCAACAACGCAACAAACAGAGCAGGGTAGCTTATAATACAAGACAAAGAGACATAGTCATTCTGAGAGAGAGAGAGAGAGAGAGAGAGAATGTCAGTTAGTGTATATGTGAGAGAAAAGAGAGAGAGAGGTGGTGTGTGTGTGTATGTGTGTGTGTGAGAGAGAGAGAGAGAGGGAGAGAGCGTGTGTGTATGTGTGAGAGAGACCGAGAGAGAGAGAGTTAGTGTGTGTGTGTATGTGAGAAAGAGAGAGAGAGAAAATAAGAGAGAATAAGAGAGAATAAGAGAGAATAAGAGAAAAGGATCAGCCTTATACACTGTTAGAAAAAAATTAAACAAGTTGTTTAAAATTTTAAACAACCACAAGTTAACCGGTGAATCGCTCAACTGTTGTTTAAAAATTAAACAACTTAAAGATTGTTTACGTTTTGAACACTTAGTTGTTTAAAAATTAGAAAAAAAACTTTTAAACAACAGCTGTTTAGTAATAAAATTGTACAACTCGGTTGTTTAAAGCAAGTTGTGTAAATGTTAAACAATAATGTTTAAATTACTAAGCAACTTTTGTTTATTCAATATTACTGCACAACTGGGTTGTTTAAAAGGAGTTGCTCAAATTTTAAACAGAACTGTTTAATGGTTATTATCTGGTTGTTTGAATTTGTGAAATGACCTACTGGAACCACTCCTGCAATAATCACAACGACACTGTAACATGTAGAGCTTGTTGCCAATTTACTTCAACATTGGTTCATCATATTCATTTAACAGTGACAGAAAACATTATTAATTGTTTCTATAGCTTCACCTAAACCCCATCGGCGAAGCCGAGAAGAACCAAGTCGTCGCCTTGCCCTTGTTCCGCCATTTTCATCTGCACTGCACTGCACTAGCACTGCACACTAGCACTGCATGCTTGCATGCATGTATGTACGTACTTTGTGCATATCGCATGTGTGCGCACAAATTGCAATCGCGTATCGAGAAAATATCAACGACGCGAAATCATGATTGGTTAAATCTATCGCGTGATTTTTCCCCGGGACTTTTTAAACAACTCTGTTTAATTAAATCTTTTTGTTTTTTAATAGATAGTTGTTTCAGTCAATTGAGCACTGATTTTTCGATTTTGAACAACGTTGTTTACGTTTTTAAACAACATTCTTTTAAACAGTGATATTTTAAACACCGTTCTAACTGTGTATGGTATAAAGTAAGGCCTACTATTAGACTTAAGTGGTATTTTCACATCTTACCCTGAAATCATAAACATCCACCACACCAACCGATCCCCTGGTCCAGCTATTACCAAGGGACCCGGTCCTGGTCCAAACAGGTAGACCCGCCGCTGATTGGTTGTTTTGAATGTAAATATTGAGTGAGCCGATGGTGGCGCCATACATGTGATACCAAAATTCGAGACAGTACGAGCCTGCCGGTGCGAACGAACTGCGCAGGCGCGAAGCGTCGCCCTGTGCACCGCTACTTGTCTCGATGAATATGTAGGTGCCAGTCACTGTTGAAAATGAGAGTTTAAAAAGGTATATGTTTCAAAATGCAAATCATGAAAATGAAATAATCTATAAAACGTCTTAATATGTCAATTTTCTCATGTGGTAGGATTAAAAAGTACATGAAATGTAAACATTTTTGTAGAAATATGAATAATGTAAGTGATCTTAAATCTACCGTCTTGTAACCAAAACACAAACAACCAAGTGCTTTCAACTCAATTTGTCAAAGTATACAAATTAAGATAACAGTGCTGTACAAATTCAGCATTATCAAAGCTTAAAGGTCGGCTGTGTAAATTCATTTGAAGTGAATTACACACAATTTTCTAATTGAACGTTATCACAAAAGGTGACATATAGCATATTAATCAATAACAAAGGTAGGCCTAATTTGTATTAGTTACAGGTCCTGTAATCATAAATAATGCAGTTTTCTGTTAATACCTAATAATTTCAATGCTATGTATAATCATAAGAAGTATTCCTAGAATCAAAATTACCAAGACCAGTTGTATGGTCTGCCGATGGCCCAGTTTCCACGGACGGTGTTAATCCTTGATTGAAAGACCAGTCGAGCTCATCGTCGCCGAGCTGCTCGTACTTACACAAACCATCCTCGAACGTACACGACCAAGGGCGAGGTACTAAATATGCATAAAGTGGATAAGAGTTTAAAGACCGTCAATACTACTGGGCCAGATAGGATTAGACCACACAGCGAGGTCACTGACAGGTGGCTATCTCATTCACTCAACTCTCAACTAACATAATAAAAAGAGGATCATAGGAGACCAACAGGCACCGATTGGGGAAGTTTTCTATTTAGAGGGAGCAAGTAGCTACAAGTAGGGCTTTAATATCGGAAAATACGAGTATGATGTAAAACATGCCTAATAGAATCTGTAAACCTTGTTTCTTGTTTGGACTGGGTATGTGTATAACTCAAAGCGAAGAAATACAATGTTGATCTATTTTTAATCTTCCCCTCGCCCTTTTTCTAATCACTCTGTTCATAATCGAATGTTTTTGAGGAATATCAATGTATTTTTTCCATCGGGAAGTCCCCCGGCTTCGTGGACGGCACAAGTCTAGTAAGTTCATCAATATAAAGCTTACAAAAGAAAGAGGTCCCACCGAGACTTGAACTCGGATCGCTGGATTCAAAGTCCAGAGTGCTAACCATTACACCATGGCACCCTGCCTGATAAATGAACTGTTTGTATCGATGTATTTTACGTCAATTAAACGTTTGTTTAACTCTCATTTCATCACTCCAACCATAGTCTCGTTAAAACTGTTAGTTTTGTAGCATATATGAAAGGATTATCCTTCCATATGGGCACATGATAAGTAGAACACATGTCAGTTATTCCCTCACATACAATAGGTAATTATCTAATCCGGTCATAAGCCATATGGTAATGCATTGTTATATATTTTTACTTTACAATACATATGATAGTTTATTTCAGCCGAACGCAGTATAATCATTACTATCTCCATCACTGGAGTATACAACGCTAACGTGCGCATACACACACACAAACACACCACACATATTCAGACACTCTCACCAAGGGCTAGACGCACATCCACACATTACCTCCACATGTTCCTTGAAACAAAGCCGTGTCGTCGATAGCGATGTCGCCCACCCATGTTAGAGGGTCGATTACGGCGCTGATGACGATCTGGTATTCGAGTAACGACGACACGTTGAACTGACCGTACAGCCAACCGTCCCCTCGGTCGCCGGTGTCGTTAAATAGCTGGACGTTAGTGTGGGTCGTGGGCGGAGCGAAGTCGAGTGAAGAGGCGATCAAAGATGCTGAACCTGGGTGATGATAAGGGAAAAGAGCAGAAATATTGCATAGCTATAGAGTTAAATATTATAGAAATATTACAGATCGTATTTGACAACAAACTTCTTTATCTCTTTAGCACAAATATTTTATAGTCGACCCAAACTGGATTGTTAGGATTAACAACTATAACATGAAGCAAAAACAACAACTACAAAAGAAGTATGTTTAATTTACAAACACATCTGCGTAGGGTTTAATGCTTTTGCCGACGACTTTCACAAAGATTGCTAAAATATTCCCGTAACGCAATGCATTCTCATTTCTCTACCGCTGCCTTTCTTGTAGTTTTTGAGAACACCAGCGTTTGACATTTGACCTTTGACTTACCTGTTCCTCTGATATGGTACCAGAACGTAAAGCAAGCCTCATCCACAGGATCAAATACTTCACTGTACAGATCAGCTGTATCACCAGTGAACATGACCACTGGGTCTGGAACTGTATCAACAAACATGTAGAATCCTGGAAGGGGAGGAGAGAAAACAACTATGATACATTACATAGATCCATCCTATAGTGGACTTAATAGCATATTTTACTGTAAATTGATATTAAAGTGCTTCGTACAAAACCATTTATGCACTAAATGGCACTCCTTGCAGCTACTCACCTTACCTAGCATCCCGTTATAGCTTACTGAGTGAGTTGCTAAATTGATTACTCCATCAAGTACCGAATATCAAAAAACTTCTACGATTTACATTTAATGATCACTTCAGGTATGTGTACATACAGGTTAGTCACCGGTTATTTGACGTGGATAATTATATTATCCCGCGGCGGCCACCATGGCAATAAACTGATCGTTTTAAATAAGGTACCAGGATGGAGAGTGGCAAATATAGATTAATATCTTGCCAAATGACATTAGTGCTGGTGGGGGGACTCGAACTCGGACTCGGCGACTTATCCACTAGACCACAACACCTCTAGAGAACGATGGTTTCACTCAGAACGTAACATTTTGGTTATTTCTTTTTCTATTCTCGTTCTAAACATAATTTAACTGTACCTAGATCATTCCCCATGGTGTGATCATATGCTGGTCCAGTCCCATCAGTATTGGCTGAGCTCGATGTCCTCTCCCAGTCTAGGTTATCACCACCTCTGTTCTGCCATGAACACATCCCATTCTCAAAATTACAGTGTCCTTTGAAAAATAATTAGAAACAATATGAATAGTACCTCCCTCTATTCAAATTCCTACTTAGTTTTCAATTTCAATTTATTTATGGTTCCAACAAGATGTTTCAAATCATTTATGAACATTTACAACAACTTAGGAAAACAAATTGAAAACAGAGGGGTCCACTAAAAAGCAATGCTTGTACAAGTGTGGAACACTCAACTAATACTTAGAAATAATGAGTAATTTAATTAACAAGTTTGTTACTACAAAATGAACTACAGAATACTCTACCAAGGTGTATTATAGTCAACGGATAGCTCAGTATTTTATTCATGTATTTATTTATTCATTAAATTATTCATGTTTCCGTTTGACAAAAGGGCTTGCGTTAAGAAAACCAAAGCCTTTTCACGGTACGAAAATGAAAACTGAAGATTACAAACTCTCAATGTTGGTGTGTATCACTACTAAATAAATATCCAAATGTAAGCTTGTTTAGGGTCGGGGAAAATAAATAAGGTTCCCGCATATTATTATGCTGTAAAGAGGCCTAAAATAATAATTGTTAACACTCTTTGTATGTGTATTGTTACGTATGAGCGGAAGAGTTGATAGTTGTCTACCTATTGTTTACATAAATTAAAGAACCTTATTTTGCAACTGGTTTAATTCAGCTCAATTGGTGTTTGAAATTTGGGTTTAAAAAAATCGACCAACAATTGTGTTCTTCAAATAAAGCTTTCATTCATTTTTTTCTCAAAGCATAAAACAAGTAAATCAACAACTTGATAGATACATACGTTTCGCAAACAAGAGAACCATGAAAAACAAGATTCTAGTATTCATATATACACATCTTGTTGCGTAGAGATTGTTTGTTGAACTTCATAATGGTATTTTAATATCTTTTTTAATCAAGGAAATGATAAAGATCTCGTAAAACATCTAATTACAAATATTTTTAATTGTTTTGATTACATACCTGGAGGATTGCAGGGTCCTGGTGTGAATCCTACCTCATCAATGGTAATACCACCTTGACTACCTGTACCGACAACCCCTTCTATCACAGCCTGGGTAAAGGATGATATATAAAGATGGGGAGATACAAAGATGGAAAGAGGAAGAGGCAGAGAGAGAGAGAGAGAGAGAAAGAGAAATAGAGAGGAAGAGGAACATAGAATGAGATAGAGAGAGAACGAGAGAGAGAGAGAGAGAGAGAGACATATAGATGAATGGAGGGAAAGATATATATATATATATATATATATTGGTAGAGAGATATATAAATATAGAGAGATAGAAAGGGAGAGGAAACAAATAGAGAATGATAGATAGATAGAGAGAGGGAGAGAGAGAAAGAGAGAGAGAGAGAGAGAGGCGAAGAGAAACAAACTATTTAATGCATCCCCTCGTGACCCTCCCTAAATATATACTTATTTTGGTTCTAACAAACATTGTATTTATTTATGATCCTGTTTCATTTATTATGCTAAAAGAGAAATGGATATGGTCCATATATTGCCTCATATATTATATTGGATAAACGATATTCAATCTTGTTAATAAGTATCAATTATTTCAGTTCATAATTATAATACTCTTATGTTCGGAAATATTACGAAAAAAGATATAGAGTATTTACAAACGAGACCGCTGAACAAAAAGTAAATGAATGAGAATCATCTCAAAATTTCAACATTGAAGTTTTGTTTTATATTTTATTTAATGCTAAGTAATTTATAATTAGCATTTATGTAAAGAACAATACATAATATGTCATGGCTTTGGCCCATCCAGTAATGAGATATAACGATAAACCAAATGAACAGTACTGATAGCCGCAAGCATTGGCAGCAGAGTGTGCTAAACTTTACCTGGTAAGCCGTTCTACTGATCATGGTGACACCCGCAAACCACCAATAGTCATCCCGGTTACCATCAATAGACCATAGTACATCACTCAAGGTACCATTGGTCAGCTGGTACACGTTGATTGCACCCACATCCACGGCGTCGATGTGGTACCAGAGACCAAGACAGTCCGCGCCGCTGTCTGGTGGTGATCTGAGGGCGCTGTTTATCATGGCTGACTCCCCAGGGTTCAACGCGGAGTCCTTTAGATCTATAAACTCATATCCACCTGGACCAATAAAGTAGAGGGAAGCGTATTTTATTCATTTCCAATAGCTTAAAAAATATACCTCTATAGAGCGCAACTTCCGGTGATGTAAGTATGTCAACTGTAATAGCTAGCTATGGTAATTTGGCTATTTCAATGTCATGCCAAAATTAGTTACAATCTTATGGTTACTTGGAATACTTGCTTAGTTTAACAATCTGGGTTTTCTAGAAAACTGCAAGTAATGTAAGATAAATATCTTAGAATATATTACATGTCAGAGTTACGACTTCGTCATTGGTTTGCAAGATCTTACTGGTTATATATTCTTCATGTCATCATTATCCATTCTAAGATTATTTCCTTTTTTTTGTCACTTTTTTGGAATTACTTGTGATTCTGTTATAAAGATTGTTGACAATCGCGATGAAGCTCTTTAGGATAGTAGTGCTATAGGCTCTAAGAAAAAAAAAATGAATGATGGCTATTAAAATAAACATGAAAAAAGAAGAAGAGGTTCTGTGCATTGTATCCAGGGGGATCATACCTCCCTGCAAGGTCTCTGACAGCTGATGATCTCATCAAATCAACTCTCAATTAACATCAGAAAAAAGGGATCATGGGGACCAATGGTCACCGATTACGCATTGTTTTGGGCACAAGAAGCTATAAGTAGTGCAGTGGGGCTTTAAAAATCAATTAAAACTTACCTCCGATGACTCCCGATGTTTTGTCCGGTAGGGAGCTGGTCCCAGATGGTCCGTAACGTGTATCGGCTCCAGATCCAATCAGCCAATCAAAATCATCCAACAATGTCTCCTGTGACCAATCACAGATGTCGTCTGAAAAGTCACATATTGCTGAAATGAAAAGTATAATACAGGCATAATACTTCCTTACCATTATAACGGTATTCCTAGCATGTATATCTACAAAGAAAGGGGGAGAAAGAGAGAGAGAGAGAGAGAGAAAGTGAGAGCGAAAGAGAGCATTAGAGAGAGAAAAAAAAGGAGAGAGAAAGAAAGAGAGAGAGAATATAAAGAAAAGAAAGAGAGACAGAGAGAGAAAAATAGAGAGAGAAAAATAGATAGAGAGAGAAGTAGAGAGAGCGAGAAAAAGAAAGAGGGAAAGAGGGAGAGAGAGAGAAAGAGAAAGAGAGAGAGGAAAAGTGAGAAAGAGAAAAGAGAGAAAGAGAGAGTGAGAGAGAGAGAGAGAGAGAGGGGGGGGGGAGAGGTGTTGCAATATTTACCAGGTGGAGGGCAGGGTCCCTCTAAGTAGGTGATATCATCAATCGCGATGTCGCTTTCCCAAGATGTTCCCACTATGCCTTCAAAAAGAATCTGGAAAGAGATAAAGTTTAATCCATTGAACAGAAAGTGTACTGCAAACACTGTTTAATAGTGATAGTGACTTTTAAATTATCCTGAATTTACGAAGAGCTAATCTAATTATTGTAGCCAGAAGTTTGGCTTTGTTGCGCTGTAATTCAACCAATACTCATCAACTGTTTCGTTTAGCTTAGTTTACAGGTTCTGTGTTTTATATCTAGCGCTATTCCGTGCACCATTCATTCACCTGGTGCATTGTTCTTGGCCATAGCTGGTTCCGCACTCCATTAATTGCTTGGTACGCTCTAAAGGTGCCAATTGTGACAACATACATATGGTACCATCAAACATAATTTATGGTACCACCAAACGAATCAAAATATGAAAATGCTATTAAACACCCTTTACTATATCTTACTTGGTTCTGTGCTATGAATCCAAAACTGCACCATGCTCCATTCGCTGGCTCGACCACAAGTTTTAGACCATTCATAGTTCAAAATACAACTTTTTACTTGGTACACAATGAAGGTGCCAATTTTGTAACCATAAAATTAGATAGCAAGTCAAACGTATGATACCAGCGCACGTATGCAAATATCAAAGCTACTATTTATCACTTATCCACCCTCTTTTCCTATCTCTACATTGTGGGTTCTGTGCTATCAATCCAAAGCTAGGTTATTCGTCATTCGTTTGCTTGGTCTCCGATTCTAGACAATCGCTGGTTCCACCCATTATTTTTTTCCCGCTACGCAACAAAGGTACCCATGGTACCACCATACATATGGTTTGACAATATTCCAAAACACAACTTTGTACAACTTTGAGGGTTCTGCGTCATTGATCCAGAGTTGCTCCATGTGCCATCGGTTCCCATGGACCCCTCTTCTTGACAGTCACTGGTTCTATTCATGGTAAACTCTGAAGGTTTATACGGTACCACCACTCCGAACCAACCATAAAATAGACCACATGTTTATAATAATTTCACCCTTTTTTCCTTTACCTTCGTTGGTTCTGTGCTATTAATCCAGAGCTGCGCGATGAGCCACTCATTCGCCTGATCTCCGGTTCTAGACCATCGCTGGTTTCTCGCACCATTGTTTTCTTGGTACACATTGAAGGTGCCCATGGTACCGCCAAACATGTGGTACCACCAGGCAAAGCATGCACCAGACGGGCCGGTTGGTGCCATCTCGGACGAGGTGAGGATGGCGATGTCCCCCGGTAATCTCGGCGCAGAAGCCTCTGTGAAGACGTACCCTCCTACGGATGAAGGAAACCACTTGTTATCAAGAAATCGACGGCAATAATATGCGATGCTTGTACAGGTATAGAATGGTCGAATAGGAATGGTACAAATTCAGTAGTGCACATCACTTCACAGGCGCCACTGTGCACTTAAACAGAAAGTTAATCTGACTATGTAAGGCTCACATGAGGACATCGCGCGTTGCTGAAAAAAATATTGTACAAAAATAAAAGAAAACAACATAACGTAGAGGGGATTAGAGAGAGAGAGAGAGAGAGAGAGATGGGGATGGAGCGGTAAAGAGAGAGAGAGGTAAGGAGAGAGAATGAGAGAGAGAGAGAGAGAATATAACAGAAGAGGTGAACAATGATATGTTCATAACAAGATAATGTATAAAAGAGGAAATCACAGGAATACGCGAGGAAAAAAGAAATGTCCGAAAGGCTAATAGTCTACCAAAAATTGTTGGGAGATTTACGAAAACGACCCTCTTTTGAAGACCACGTTTGAAGTCCCTAAGACGGCATTTATCGGTCTCGGGCTCTCGGTCTCTGCAGCCTCTAAGGCCGGACCCCTAGTCATCGAAACATTTACCTGTCCCAGATGTGTGGTCACCGCTCGGTCCTGTATCTAGCGAAGGTGTGGAACCACTGAATAATGTCCAGTCGAACTGGTCAGTGACGTCCTGAGTCCAGTCGCAGATGGTGCTATCGAAGGAACACGAGATCCCTTGACCAGCTTGATTTGGGTCAGCCGCTGGAGGCGCAACTGTGTGCAGTCGGAGAAAGAAGTATTAGTTAGATTAGTGTATAATTGTTTCTTTGTATGTTTTGTAATTAATTACATTGCGGTGTGAACAAAATTCATTCAGCCACATATGTTTTTTTTTCTTCTCAGCGAGTCCTTATATAAAAGAAGACATCATAATAAACAAACGTAAAATACTAATTATTAAACAAATAATGTAGACCTAAGTTAAATACATTAAAACAAAAAAGCAAACAGGCAGAAAGGCCGAACAGGTATGAACTTGAGAAGTTAAACGAAAAATGAGATTTGACATTATAAAGTCATTTCAGATTTATATTCGATTTCGTATGAATGTATGAATCACAATGTCTCTCTCTCTCACTATAAGTGCCATATCTTTTGACTTTGGCTATTAACGCTATTTCACAACCCTCGGTTCCTAGCCTTCTGTATTAGTACCACTCCCAGTTCTTTCACTCCTCTCTCTTCCAACAATTTCTGCAGACTGTCCATCCAAAGTATCCTCCTTCGTCCCCTACTCTTTATTCCCAAAATTGTCCCTGTCAAAGCAAGATTCTCTAGGCCTTCTTCAAGTGTAATGTGTCCCAAAAGAAGAAACAAATGATTGCCTAATCCAAGAATAAAATAATATTTTAGTATCATTTATAAACTGCAGTGTATTTTATTTTATGTGTACACATTATTATTTTAAATGTCAGGCCTACTGTAACAATTCTTTCGGAATCATTTGATTTTATCTGTAAGTGAGTATATAAATGAGTTTTTATAACAAAATATAACATAAACAAACATCCACATACCATCACATGTGCCCGGCACAACTAATATATCATCGAGCGCTATATCACTGTAGAAGCCTATGCCAACAACGCCCCAAAACTCAAGCTGCAAGAAAAATGATAATAGAACGTCGAACAGATGGACAAAAAGTCATCTCATTTTCTGGTAGTTAAAATGTGTATATTTTTTTTATTATAACATTTGATTTTGTAATATTCAATTGAAAAGCACTATTCTCATAATATCATAGAATATTTGAGATACATTGTTTTAATATCATAGAAAAATACTCATAGGCTATACTTGCCGATTGTCTTGTACCAATGCATGCAACAACTCTTTTTTGTCTACTAATTCTTAATAATGCTAACAATGCGAATTATATCCAATACTGATATCCGACGTAATAAACAGAATGTAGAACATGCCTCCAAATAATCAAATATTCAAGTTTATTCTACATAATGGACTTCTGCAAATGCATTGGAAATAATCACTGAGCTTCGGTAACAAACAAAACAACTAATTTTAAACAAAAGGGGGAGAGGGAGAGAATCGTTTTATTTGTTAACTGTTACAATAATTGTTTTGTTGTTAAAAATACAGTATTTATTTAATTGTTCCCATGGCATAAAAATAGGTTAAGCAAAGATACAGATTAATAAATAAATACGTTTGACAAATAAATATACAAATGACAAACAAAGATTTTAGTGTTAAATTAGTTGAACGTGCCTCAATCTATTAAGTAATTAAATAACGTTGCATATAGATTGTTTCAACTTCATAATGATATTCTAATTTCTTTTGAATGGATGCCAAAGATGTAATTAGGAAGGGTTAACTGAAATTCGTTAGGGGTATATTTGTCAAAATCTTCTAAAAATCGTTCAATTTACCGTGAATGTTCCGTTAAGGGTAACTTGTCCCTGTATCCAGTGCGTCTGATCAGTACTCTGTTCACCGTACAGTAGCCATAACAACTCAGGAGGATCGGTGTTCCCAGAAGAAACGTCTTGTCTGTATGAATTATTATGGTTTTACATTGTTTAAAAGATTACACTGCTTCAAACAAAATTTCATTCGTAGTTTAAGTTACCTGATCCGTTTTCACGTTATTCTTATAAGTCACACCTGATCATCCAATGGTTACACGATAGACTGTACCGTGTAATTTTTGGAGAATTAGTGACTAATAAGATGAAAGTGAAAATAATAATACTAAAAATAATAATAGGTATTTATTAATTGAATGAGCTATCTTCACTTTCATTTCAAGATTAATACCGTATAAAGTTTGTGAATTGGGTGTTTAGTCATCGAATGAAGATACTGAATTATTTAAATTAGCTACTTACTTGTATAGCCTGAGATCAGCTATTTGCGTGCCATACATATTGATCCAAAACGTAAAACATGCGACCCCGTCGTTTGTCGTATAAACAGGGCTGATCAGCTTCGCTGTATCACCGGGTAGTTGTGGCGAACTGCCCTCGATAAATACATAGTGTCCTAGTGAATAAAAGTCATGAATGTTAGGTGAGAAAAAGGTCTAGGAAACATGTGAGGGATGTATTTGATTACATATAATAAATGCTACTCCCAAAACTTTTATATCTGCTTTAACAAAAAAATCAAAAAAATCTTTGATCAATATTTTGTAACAGGCAATTTCTTTTTTCATCTAAGGTCGAGTAAAATGCCATCCCAGAAAAACATGAATATTTTAATCATGATGCGTTAAAGCAAAATATAATTCACTCTATGTTCGGGCTTAAAATTTAATAATCTGATAATGCAGGGTTGGATGTGTTCTGTGATAGCTTTTATTGTTTTATTTGAAGGAGGAGGTTGACTTGCCGATAAATACGTCAACCGAATGAGTAGATTATACCAATTATAGAAATAATTATCTTCATTACAACATTCGCCCATTAATTATGAACATACTGAAGCAAATTACAATTCAATCCCGATTATAATCTAATGTTACCTACCTGATCCTGTAGCCCCTATGGTGTGGTCGTAGAGGGGGCCGGTGGAAGCTGAAGGTGTACCGCCCCGCACCCTTATCCAGTCAAACTCGTCACTTTGTGCATTGCTCCATTGACAGAACATATTGTTCTCAAAGTCGCAGTCCACTAACAAGGAATATGAAAATACGACGTTAGATAGTCATTGTCATTAGTAACATAGTATACATATCTAATCACATTAACAATTATTTCTAAACATATTGAAAATACATCTGCACTTTGCGTACGTAAGTTTTTGAATCGACGACATGTTTGGAAAATTGTCTCCTCTCATTCTTCATCAGCTGCTTCACCTTTCTATGAAGGCCTGTTGATAAAGTTTGTGTTTGAAAAAGTAAAGGAAAACTTCCTGCAATGAGTCCCAATCGACATGTCTTTTTAATATATCATTTGTTTACATTTAAAAACAGAGAACAAGTTTGACACAACCACTCGCTAATTATTGTTTCTCATATCAATGTCACTACTCATTAGTCAATAGTCATATGATTTGCTTTTTCTCATTATTTTGAGGAAACGTGTGGGATATCGCGTGGAATGGACAAGGGTCTTCTTCGAAGCGTTATAGCAAAATGTCTTTTTCATAGTCTCCCAATTAATTTGTATAGCTGACATAATGTGAGGGCACTGTAAATGATGTTTAGTCACTGTATTTTGCAGCAGTTTGTTTATAGAAAATAGTGATAACAAAGAATATTTACATAATCCTCCACAGCTGCCCTCGATCATCCTGACATTGTCGATTGCAATGTCTCCTTCTTCTCCTGATCCGACAACGCCTTCGAAGACGATCTCGTATCCATTGGAGGTGATCTCGAAGGCGGTGCTATACCATTGGTTGCCTTGGTCACCGGCTAATGATGTAACAATGGTGGATGTCGCATCCGCATTTTGGGTCTGAAGTAAAAGAGAACAAACTCGGAATGAAATCCAGATGTTTTCAAAAACTTCAAATCTGACATGACGCACCCCTTTTGTATGTGTCATGAAACGTACGATGTTTGAATCATTGAAGAAAAAAAAAAAAACCAACATGCAACAGCAACAAAACATTTCTTGCTGGGCCTGGATTTTACCTATATATTTGCTTAAAGTTTGGAGATTTTTTTTTTACTTTGAACATTAGGCATATTTGCGTAATCAAACAATCATTTAAATTATTCCTTTATATTTAACATGATTTTCATATCTTTCAATATGATCTTCTGTTAAAAAAAGTATTCAAGTATCATTTCCTAATACATACAAATACACACGTCACATACCAGGGCCCCGTCTTATAAACAGTTGCCAATCGCAACTGATTGATATCAATCGCAACTATGTACATAAGAGATAGGAAACCTTGCACTGTAAACGATTGTTCGGAGGATTTGCGTCTGATTTGGATCAATCGCAACTCTTTATAGGACAGCGCCCTGGCCATAAATACAAGAATGAGTCGTACTCACCAATATGTTCAAAGTGCCGACGTCTTGCCCGTACATATGGAAGTACAAACTCCAGCAGACGGTTAAAGTCGTATCCGTTGAAATATGAGGTCCAATCAGACGAGCTTTAGCACCAGGTGAACTCGGTTGGGATGCCTCAATGTACATGTAGTGACCTTGGCAAAAGACAATTAAAGCGATCGTAAAAACTTTCGGCTAACCGACTCAAGTGGAATTTGCAATAGTTTTTTTTTTTTGTCGAATCATGTTCGGATTACGTAGCGACGCACAAATCTCGTTAAATTCCCAGATTTTATGAATTTTTTGGGAGATTTTTTCGGTCGTGTTAAAATTCCTTAGGGCAATGCTGAGAGTTCATCACCAACAATTTAAAAACGGCTTCATAAAGTACCGATATTTAATGTGATAACAATATGATCATTACAATCCCTCCGTAGAAATGAATTGCAAAAAAAAAAAAAACTTCCTGATTTAACAAGTTTGGATGAGTTTATTCAAATACAAAAATCATCCAAAAAGTGTAATAAGGTTTTATTTCAAATTCGTTTCCGTATTAACTGTTTGTTTAAACGGCTACCTTGTAACTTTAAAAGGTACAACACATGACATGTTTAATATTCAACTAATAGTTATAGCTTTTGAAAATTAAAAAAAACAGAGATTTACCCAAAATAGTTGAGCCTGCTTCACATGACAATGAGGTAACAGCATATGATACCGTATTATTCTAATCTACTATCGTAAACTATTATGAAGGCGTGATAGCTAAGTAGTAGAACAGTGGTCTCGTATCCAGGAGGTCCCGGCATATTGCTCAGATTGTCTCATTTTCGCTCGCTGGAACATTGCCAGCACAAACCACTCACCTCTACCTCCTGGACGGATCATCGCCCATTCCCATTCACTATACGTTACGTACTAAAAGGCTGTATTGTCTGACCGTTCATGAATATTCATGTTTTTGCTTACCTCGGCAAAATGTTTGATTTTACTAAACGGAAAAATGACGGTGGGGGGTTGGATGAAATGGACATAATGAACCAAGCAGAAGTAATCTATGATAATTCATGCTTCTTATCCTTCGTGTGCTTGACCTATAATCTTAAAATCACTTGGCAAACTGAGTCCAAAGTTCGACTCGTTTCACCTGTGTATTATAGGCAACGGCGAGCTTGCAACCTATTTTGATCAAATTACGGTGGGTGAACTTTCAAAAGTCAATGGGACATGAGGGTTCCAATGAAAGAGCTAGCGATAATGTAAGTCGGGGTGAATGTGCTTTTCGTTTAAACAAAAAATGAACTTTTAACGATTTTGGGGGGTAAAATTCCATAGGCTAACATGTTAGGCTGCTGACTCTGAAGATAGGGGGCGTTGCGAAATGAGACTAAACGGAGGTATATGGGTTCGAAACAAGGTTGATGCGCTGGTGCCCTTCGGTAAGGCATACATTTTCATTACCAAGTCGCTCGGAGAGGACTTCAAGCCTTCTGTCCCCTAGTTGCTTACTTAAAAGCAGACACAGCTTTATTACCAGGCAGGTCAAACAATCCATAAAACGAACAAACTGTTACACGTTTCTTACCATAAGCTGTTCCATATGTAACGTCAACGGATGGTCCAGTGAGTGACGTAGGCGTGTCACCTGATCCGTACGTCCAATCAAAATTGTCGGTGGTATCTTGCCGATAGCCACAGAGGAGAGAGTTCTCAAAATCACATGTCGGCGTGGCTGAAAAAGATTAAAACACAATTCGGAAATTATAGGTAAACACCGTTTTTCTCTAGTTTCAATACAGATATATTGCCAACTTAGGCCCGATTGATCCAGACCAAATCAATACATAGTTGCGATTGAAAACAATCGCAACATAAGTTGCGATTAAAATCAAAACTTTATTAGACGGGTTCCTTAAATGCGTGATAGAAGTTCGTACAGTGCAATTGATTACAATTACTTGTGTATAGTTTATATAATACTGACCAAATACTAATCATTGCAAATAAGATACTAGATGACAATAGACTAAACCAACTATAACTGATAATTATAATCAGGATCATAGCGAAGTAAAGGAATTGGATCAACAATATATTCGAAGCGAATCTAAAACTTAGAAAATGAGTTCAACGACTGTGGTGCTTGTGCCATATTAATTAATAAGCATATTTCATCCTGTGTGGCTTCTAGAAAAATGTGGAAAAAGTGAAGATCATTCTATTTTAAAGACCATTAGACTTACAATTGGTCCACACATTCAATGAAATTGAGCCAGCCCACTTATAGTGTATATGCCCCGTTCATTTCTTGATAAGAATCTGACTTTTAAGTCGTTGGATACTGTTTTTGTCTATGTCATCCACTTATGAATGTATAAACCTCATACATAACACTAATGGCAAATAGGGTATTAACATTTACCGGGGCAGTCTCCGGGGTAGATCCGGATGTCATCTATTGCTATATCTCCGGTGAACGAGGCTCCAACATAAGCTTGGAACACAACCTGCACATACAAAATGAAAATGTACAAATGAAGGAGCCCGTTTTATATGATTCTAATGAATACCATGTCAAGAGTACGATTAAATGTTTTTCTTTCAAGAACATTATATCTATGTTATGCTTAAGAAATGTGATATATCTGTTGATATAAAATGATATTTTCTCATAATATTTATCTTTAGAAATTATAATAAATATACTGACTGTCGAATAATGATGCTCAATAATTATAAATGATCAGAAAAATATATTGCACTATTTGCATGTTGAAAAAAAAACATTTTTAACATGAAACTGTCACCAAAAGTACAAAACAAATCATTTAGAACAACGAGAGAATAGCATTACCCTCTCCTTATTTTTCAATGTGTGTCTATAGTAATGAATGTTACTTATATATCGTCAAACCAACTCTGTGGTGTACTCAAGGTGCATGGAGAAATAATTCAGAAATAAACATAAACATTTGTACATAATCTTTAAATGAATAAGCAGTTATACACTCTTCGATGTCTTCAGGAAGGATATTCCATAAAGTAAAACGTGCTACAGCAAAGGATCTTCCCCCCTCCCATATTTGTGCAACTTTAGATATGACAAGGGAACCGTAAGTGGATGGGCGTATAAGATCTCTTGGGGTGTAATTTTGGATTAAAGAAATAACGTATTGGGGAGCAGAACCGTGAATACAGTGAAAAGTGAGCAACAAATTTGGAAAATAATGGAGGCAGTCAGTGTATTATAAAAAGTAATCTTTAAAACATTTAAATTAGATTTTTTTTTCTTCCTTTGATTTATCTTAGTCCTCAGAATCCTTACCTAGTACAATTAATTACCCGCTTAACTTGGCGATTTCCCTTACCTGGAAAGCCACCTGTTCAGCAATGACCACCGATCCGGGGTACCACACGTCTCCTTTCTCGCCCTGACTGCTCCATACCACATTACCAATGTCACCCGGAGCAGAATCATTCCTCCTGGTGAGGACGTTCAGGGTCTCAACGGTCGGACCAAACATGTGGTAGTAGAATGTGAAGCATTGGCGGTAGGTGGTAGGGATGAGCGTGCTCATGAAGCGGGCCTCGTCACCGGGGACACGGGGGCTGGAGGTCTCGATGAAGACGTAGTATCCGGTAGCTGTCGGGAGGGGATGGATAAGAAGGGGGAAGGGAAACAAAGAAGAATGAGAATTAAAAAAAAGAGGAAGAAGTTAGGAAATGATAATGCTGATAATAATTATAATTATAATATTAATAATGATAAAAAGAATAAAAAAAAGAAGAAGAAGGATCAGAAAGAAGAATGAGAAGAAAAAGAACAAGAACAAGAACAAGAAAAAGAAGAAGGAGAGGAAGAAGGAGAAGAAGAAGAAGAAGAGGAAGAAGAAGAAGGAAACAGATAACATAGAGAACAGTAGGAAGTAGAAGAAGATCCAGAAGAAGAAAAACAACACCAAGAAAAAGCATGAAGAAATTAAATGTTAATCAATTGTAATAAATATTGTTTACTGTCTCTCATCTAGTGGCATACGGCTTTGATTTAGAGCATGAGCGATGATCCAGCCGCCCTTTAACACTTACTTGAATGCTCTCATTTCTAATTGGTTGCTTTAGTGCTGCAATCATTGCTATCTCTGATGCAATTAGTAAGCATTTTGATTGGTATACAACATGTCAAATTGTAAAGGTGTACCGCCAATCAATAGACCATCATTGGATTAATTTGAATTTAATTTAAATGGCTTACCCGTGCCTGTTGTGTGGTCTATGGATGGTCCTGTATCTAGGGATGACGTGGCACCGGTCAGCCTTGTCCAATCAAATGTGTCGTCCTGAGCCTGTGTGTAGCCACACCAGTCATCTTCAAAGTCGCAGTCCCACTCGCCAGATTCTGCGTAACCAAATCATTAAATCAATGTTGTCATTTATCAGCATATTTTTCAAATTTAATCATTATTCATATTAAAGATATAACACAAATCAAGCAACCGTTAATTTCATTTATTAGATTTGTCATTTCACGGCCAATAAAAAGACATCTTAAATAAATAAACTGTACATCCGAAAACTTTTCCACTTATCTTGGGCACTTAGGGTCATTTGATTCCTTTCTATTTCATTCCATTTATTGCTTGAAAAGGAACGCAATTATGGCACGTAAAATACCCTTGCCCAAATCGATATCCATCCCTTTAATCCTGTAATTAATGAATTGAAATTTGCGATGCAGGAAAAACTTTAATCTATGATTCCGACTCCTAACTGACATATTAAACCACTTTGTATGCAGCGTACTTTGGAATTATGCAAAGAACTAGTAGCAAGACTAAGACAAATTAGCAGGGAGAAGTTATATTTCCAGGAAAAGTGGTATTTCTTTATAATGTTACAAAGTATCATAACGTTAGGGTAACGGATCTCCAAACCCGGATAAGATGATAATACAGTATAAACAATTGTTACCATTACAGAGTCCATCGACGGTAATAAACGTATCATCGATGGCTATATCCCCTGTGTAGTTCGCTCCATAGGTCGCCTCTATCGCTATCTGGTATGGGTTCAAGTTGGATGTTGACACTTGACCTTTGACCCATCGATCACCATGGTTACCAGACTCACTCCACTCCAGGGCCATGTTACCATTGACACCATCGATTAGGTAAACGTTGAGTTCACCAACACCTAAAAAGTTATTTTAAAATCAATTGCTGTGAAGCCTGAAATTCACTTCGTTGTTTGAAGGGATTGAACAAAACAATGTTCATGTTTTCAAAATAAATTAAATTATCATCATGAATTTAAACAAACAATCTACACGCCATAAGATAGGTTTTTATTTCTTGTTGGATTGAGGCACGTCCAACTTATCTATACTGAGAGAATCTTGTTTCAATGTCACCTTTTCGTTGTCAATGTATGTATCAATCAATTTGTACATTTGCTCGTATTGTTTATGCTTTGAGAAAAATTGAATAAAAAGATTTTATTTTAAAACGAAATATCAAGGAGTTATCATTATAAGAGGAACAGTTTCGTCCTTTTTTAAGACCGCAAATGCCTTCAGAGTGCATGGTTATTGATCTTATTATTACTCATGACATTTCTAGTGCCCTCTTGGGGTCTGATATTGCTATGAAGGTACTTGTAGACTACAAAGTTTTTAAAATTTATATTAAATCCTATCATACCAATTCAGCTGCACTTTGAACAAAATTGCGGTGACCGTTAATTTAGTTATCTAATAATAATAATAATACACCGGAGCCCCATAAATATTATAAATGGTTATATTTATTTATGGATATTTCTGCCGTCTCTGAACCGATTATGGTAAAAAAAAAGAGAGATGATTTTGTCATTAGATTACAGACTCTTTTCAAATTTGACACTCAGTTTATTTGGTGTAGCGCCCTCTGCAACAAAGCTCATCTATCCCTTTTATTTAAATTCCACTTACCTGCACCATACATATGATACCAGAAAGTGAAGCAGCCGTCAGAGGGCGGGCTGAATTCACTAATCAACCATGCCTTGTCACCAGCAACAAGCGTGCTTGTTTCGATGAACACGTAATGACCTAAAAGACAAAGAGAATATAAACAAATACATGCCTTTAATCCTTCATCAATAACGTGTTACTCTACAGATAATGATGTAAAGAAAAACGTCTACTATGTCCTTGAGGAGGAAAAATATTAAGATGCTTAACAACTCTTCCCCCTCCACCCTTATGTTACCTTCATTTGGCATTGTTAGTATTTTTTCGTTTGCTTGTTGGTTTACGTCTCTGTGCTTTGTTCATTTGTATTATTTCATAGAAGAAAGTACAAAGAACACAGTCTGTCCTGTTTGGCCATCGCATTACAGACTTTGCAATTTATTTGCCAAATATTTAAGTACCTTAATAATTGAATAAAGAGTAAGTATCCCATTTGAAAGGAAAACAATAAATGGAGATTTACAAAGAAAGATAAATGGAGATTTACAAAGAAAGAGAGGGAAAAACTTGGACGAAGAGAGAGAGAGGGAGAGGGGGGGGGGGGGGGGGGGCTAAATTGGAGCGACAGAAATGTAATCTAATGACAAAGAGGAGAAGCCGGGACAAAGACATTATTATGTAAAGTGTGGTTGTGAGTATGCAAGGGAGAGAGAGAGAGAGAGAGAGAGAGAGAAAGAGAGGAGAGTTACAGTGGGACGGTGAATAGAAAGGGAAACCAGACATGGAATAAATGTAGTTACCACTCGACGAAGAAAGGGTGTGGTCTTTGCTAGGCCCGGTCGTGACACTGGGCGTGGCACCGCTACTCAATGTCCAATCAAAGTTGTCCCCCGTCCGTGTGTTGGTCCAGTAACAGTAGTCAGATTCAAAGTCGCAAAAACCTAGAAAAGAACAATAGTAATACTAAATAATACTTCTGATTCTGATTAATTTCAAGTATTTCCACAAATCTACGTAATTCTTGAAGTTTGATATAATCATGAACAAAATCAAATCATACGTTTTACTTGTATTATGTAACGCGCTTCATATCTCTATATCTTAGAACACAAGGCTAAGACGATCTTTGTCGCATGCTGTTGTTATTCTTTTGCACGTAATCAAGCTTATTATAATAAGACCACGGTTCATCGCGGCACATATGACGAATCTTTATTGTCTTTGCAACGTTATTTATATGTAACATCAAAACTGATAACAAAGTCTTATTTAATTTACCTGGTGGTGCGCACGCTCCGTATTCAAACGTGATGTCATCAACCAACATATCAGCAGCGGTCGTTACACCTACAACAGCCTGAAGTACAACCTTTAAGGCAATAGAAATAAGAAGAACATTTTCAAAATTTTATAGAAAACAATGTGTGTACATTTTTAAAAAGGGGATTTAGATTATTATTTCTTGAAGGGAGCTCATTCTTAAGAAAATATAAGCGCTCTCATTCTTTGGAAAGATTTACTTGCTGTACCTTTAACGACAGTTTAGTACTCTACCCTAAAATGTGCCGGTAGTTCACTAAAAAAAAATATGATTTTTGAAGAAGAGAAAATGAAGAAAAAAAATGAAGCAGAGAAAATGAAGAAAATAGACAACGATATAATATGGAAGGCTTACTCAAACGACTAGTTTCTTATGTTTCATCTTTGCTTAACGTTAGTAGGTATAAGGATCTTAGTGATCATCTAAACGCAAATTTGTGTGCTGTGTACTAGAAATTAGAATAAGATTATTGTTATTGTTATTGTTTGAAACCATCCTTCGGCATCGTTTTTTTTTAAATAACATGCGTTATTGATTTGGTTCCATTCGTAGATTAGATTCATTCGAACATAAAAATATTCATGCAATCGACAAACTGGTCTCACCTGGAATGTCGCATTCGATTTTAAAGTCACACTCGCAAACTGCCAATCATTCGACGTCACTCCAACTGTCGATGTCCAATACGGCCCATAGAGGGCGCCATTTATAGACTCCCAAACTGCCAAGTACCCTTCATTCGGGTCATTATGTATGTGATACCAAAACGTCATACAATCGCCCTCTTCTGTTGCGTCATATGAGGGACTGTAAATCAGTGCTTGGTCACCAGGAGCACGTTCCGATGTCGTGTTCGCAAAAAGAACGTTACCTGTAATTTGAAACAAATTATGATAAACAAATGAACCAACAAACAAGCATGCGAGATTCACGTTTTGAATCGTCGTTTTATATACTCAAATTGTTTTTTGAAGGAGTATAATTTAAAATGCACTATTATTATCAATTCATAACCTGAGGAATACAAATCTGACCTATATATGAGTTCGAGCTTAAATGATCTCGTGAAGGCAATGATGAGAAGACAGTTGCCATTTTACTGATATTATTTTTCTAACCGTTTTACAAGTATTAATATCTTATTTTGCAAAGAATCGGTTGCAGATCCGTTATCTTAAAATCATTTTTTGTTACCCCCTGTCACTCCGTGTATGTTGTTTTCTTATATTAATATGTAGCAATGATAATATTAATTGTTTAGAAGTTTCAAAAAAATCTAAATAATATCATAAACCTTATCATTTACAAAATCACGGAACACGATGAGAAACATAAATTACATAAACGTTCATACACAAAGCTGTTATAATATTTATCTTTTCATGAAATGATTGTATCAATGTGTTTCATTCTTGATATATGACATTTGTAGCATCTAAGAACTTTCTTGATCAATCGAAAGAGTCATATAGATTAAACATTCTGAGAAGATATACAGTGGAATAATCCACGTTGTCACAATTATGTCACGAAGAGAGGTAACAACAAATCATCTAACTTTATGAGCTACAGAGTAGTACCATCACAAAATGTAATGTTATTACATTATAACACGTAGATAAAGTCATCAGTGGAATATAGGTGAAAGGGGGACTAACGTACCTGCCGGGGTTCCCGTTGTATGGTCGTTGTATAAAGAGCCACTAGGGACTTCAGAAGCTTTTCCTCTTACCCAGTCAAAGTCATCTAGGACAGCTTCCTGCTTCCAGCTACAATCACTAGCCTCAAAATCACAGGTTCCTAAAGTTTGAAGAATACCAACAGAAATTGATTGAATTTTAAAGAAAAATGTTAATTTTCACAGCCTTTATGATATTATAATTAGATGCGTAATCCACTTAATTATCCACGAGTCATAGGCAGCCATATGATCCATATTCCTTATTTCTTGGGTAGCCAATTTTATTCATGTTACAAATATGTGCTTGCTAATGAATTATGTTGCAAATGGAAATCAAGAAAAATCCCTGTGGAGGGAAAGGTATAACAAAAATCTCTATTTTAACAATTTTGTGAAAGCGTTGTCCTTTTTCTTCTAGTTTTCGGACCAGGTAATAGTCACTTTCTAATCGGTAATGCTACAAGGGGAGTAATGTTATTATTAGATACCAGTCCTTCATGTGTATCGTTTTAAGAAATTCTTGTGTACCAAGAGAAAAAAGTAAACAAAGGGGAGAGAGAAAGAAAGAAAGAGAGAGAGAGAGAGAAAGAAAGAAAGAGATGGATAGAGAGAGAGGGAGAAAAACAAAGAAGTAGAAGAAAAAAGGGAATAAGGAGAAGAAGAGAGAAATAGGCGAGGAGGAGACATAGAGACATGTATACTGCCAAGAAGGCATGGGAAGAAAAATGTGTGATCAAATAATGAAAACTTACTTGAAGGAGGACAGATTCCGTTGTAATATTTGATGTCATCGATTGCTATATCACTCTCGAATGAGGACCCAATGATACCTTCAAAGACAATCTGCATTGAGAGAACAATCAGTAAAATAGGAATGAATGCGATATTCCATGAAATCTTTACTTACAAGGGCCGACACAGATTAAGTTGTTGCAATATTACTTCAAATATATGATTGAATGCATACTTCCCCGCCAATAGTGAACAGCTCCTCATCGGCTACTGGTTGAATCAATGGCGAGTGGATGCGAACCAAGAATAAAATGACGATTCAGATTGTGATAATTAAATCTATATTAACATATGCTTTGTCGTGATATCCACGATTATTTCTAGAAAGTGGGAAAGCCCCTTTCATATAGTCTCGTCTTTTTCAAGATACTGAAATGTCTAAAATAATATGAGGTTTACGAGAAATCCATATCAATATCATTATTATAAACATTCTTAGCATATTCTTTCAGTTTATAAACATTGGTATTACGCTTTTTAGATTTGTTTGAGAAGACGGTGAATAAGTTAAAATCTGCATCCAAAAATCCAATTAATCATCAAGGTAATAGGGAAACTGAAGAGAAGGCCATTTTGCATCAACAACTGTTTTACTAGGGTACCGTTTCAAGAATACCATTCAGATGATCTCGAGACGTCTTCGAGAGTCAATTCTGATATAATCGCAGCTACCTACTGAAAGGGGCTTGATACCCACCTTGAAGTTGCTCCCGCCCGAGTCAATATTAATCGACGAGAGGAGCCACCTATTTCCATAATCTCTCAACCCTTTGGTGAAGATAGTGGTCTCTGACCCGGACTCATCAAGGACATTGACGTTGAGGGCGCCCATGGTGGCGCCATACATGTGGTAGTAAAACTCCAAACAGCGCCCTCCAGAGGTGGTTGCATTCTGGAGAGTCGACACGAGTCTGGCCTTTTCACCTGGTAACCGTGGGCTAGAACTCTCGATGTACACGTAGAACCCTGTTACAAGTGATTGAAATAGAGGGGAATGTAGGTATTCATAAGATGGGGTAAAGGCGATTTGTATTTGGGAAGCTATACAGCGGAAAGAGACCGGATGCAACCGTTTTTTTGTCGTGAGAGACCCGTAGGTATTCTTTCACAGAAGCAATATGCAGATGGGAGGGGCATTCAATCAGTAAAAAGTAAGTACAAGCTTTATACATTTTACTTGAATAGCAATGATAATTTGACTCAAGGCAATCATGTCTTTTACAAAATTGCCTAATCGTAATCAGCCTTGAGCCATGCATAAATACTCGAATAAATATCTTGAAGCGGCCTGAAGGCAATAACAAAATGTTGATGTTGCAAAAAACCCTAAAACTCCTTTGATTTACATTATATATCAGAAATGACATGCTTTCTGTTCATGACTCCTTTTGTTATAGCTTTGTGTACCAGGTGTTTGGCCATTCACGATAATTCGGACTTTGGAGGTTTCTCACTAACATGCTTCGGTTCTAAATTTTGTGAATTTGGGTCTTACATTATTGAACAAACCCTGTCACAAAGAGCATTACCATATTAAGTTGTTATGTCCGTCTGATTGTAGACAAATAACAAAAACTATCAAAAACTATCAAAACCACAAAACAGGATCAATAGAAGAAAACATGATGGTGGTGGGCAACAATTTTACACGAACCAGAGAAGGATGCCTTTTCTTTTCAATTAGAATAAACAAAAGTTGGCCTATGTATTATCACTAAAGGTATTCTCCGGTACACTGTACAGGGCTGACCCACATTATTATTGAGTTTAAACCATTGACCGGGATTAAACTACCTTTGTTAATCTTAGGGCTTAGATTATTGCACATACCTGATCCAGATGTATGATCATTAGAAGGGCCTGTATTGGTTGATGTTGTAGCTCCTGTTATCCTGGCCCAGTTAAAATCATCGGCGACATCTTGGACATACGAACACAGATCTCCATCGAAATTGCAAGACGCCGAACCAGTGAGTGTATTCGGTTCAGCATATGTCGGTTGGACTAAAATTTAAAAAATGAGATGTGTCATAATGTTTTAGTTTGTTTTGTTCTTCCGCAGCCCCAACTCTTTCTCCATTTCCAATTGACAGTTAAAGCTGGTGTTTTGGCTGGTTAATCTTTCTCCTTTTACACAATGCTACGGTGTTTTTTCACTCGAATTATTGTAAACATCGTACAAATAAAAGTATTCCAAATTGCACGTGGCTAATTCAGGGATTGTGCTGGGTTCAGCGTAAGTTGGTTAGGATAGATAGGAAAAGGCCAAATCGTAACATATCCTAATTATTTCTGTTATTTTTTGTTTTCTCTGTGAAACCCATCGCAGCCCATCCCTTTCCCCCTGTATTATCAATGTGACATATTCGCAAGTCGGGTTTTCAACTGGCCAGCATTTAACTATGTTCACCATGTATTCCGTTTAACAAGAAAATTAATGATACTGTGGGGCTCGTTGTACCAAACTTAGCATTGATAGTAACTTTGCCATTGGTGGTTAATTCCATACAAACCTTGATTTGATTGGCTGTTGAATGGTGTTGCCATGGTATATTTAATAGTAATGACAAAGTTGCCACCAGTGTCAAGTTTTTTACAACAAAACCAGGGTTATCTATTGTTATTATTAATTAAAATTTTCCCGAGTTCTGATCTATTTTCCCCTATCTCGCCTTTAAATCAAATCCCTTTTCTTTTCGTTCAATTTTTCCTCGCTCTCATATTCTCTATCTATTCCAATATAATTCAATTGTTTACAACTTTTCCATTTTATTTTAATGTTTTATGAAACAAGTGCTATCGTTGTTCTAAATCTTAATTTGATTATAAATACACCGGACTGAGAAACGCGTTATTGATGAACAAATGGAAAATAAACTATACTCACTATCGCATGCTCCCTCTGCAATGTCAATGTCGTCAATAGCAGTGTCACCATAGGGTACCGTAGTTAAAATAGCAGCAATATATATCTGTGATGCAATAAAAACAAAGATATATTCATCTTGCTTTGATATACAACAAATACTCCTCGACTGTTATAAATATTATCCAGCATTACAAATACTAATGATAGGCATTTATATGGCGCCGTCTATTTATACAAACTCTATTCCGAGGTGCACTAATTTTTACCCGGCTTTAGCCTAGCTGCCATTACAGCGCTCTATCATTTCAAGGAATTAATTACTGCCTTATATTGTCTCATACATAGCACTCTAATTAGATCCAATAACAATTAAAATGATTGTATCATACGATATTAAAATGAAATATCCTAAGAAGATTGTTGGTTGGAATTAATATCATGTCCTAAACAGTAACTTTACTTAGGAAAGTTTTTACTGAACACCGTATAAGCAAAATAAGTTTTGAACAATTTAATTGGAGCATATCTACGTTTATTACCACGAAGAGATTGATATAACATTTCCAATGTACTTAATTAATTTTATTTGTGAAGAAGACGCTGTTTTTTCAATCTTTTTTTTTTTTGGTTAGCGAATGCCTCCGATGGCTGAAATGGTCATTCTAAATGGAATTATTTTGCCTAACATATATCCCTCATTGTTGCAGCAATGCAGGCATACACATTTTCTACACACATACCTCATACACTAGTATTGCATGTGACATAATGAGAGTTACATTGACCAATAACGTTCATAAAATTGTAGAGGAGTTTAAAATGGGGTGTAGCATGACGCGCGCGCTGACTGTTAATCAAGACCATTCGTTTACGTGCAGTTGTCTAAAAGAAGTCGTAGATGGCGTTAGCCAGTAATTGCCATGCTCCACTCGCTTTAAAGCCTGTGAGAAAAGGGTGCAACGGGATCAACTTGGACGGATTGCATTCTATTCTCACCTCATCTACAGTGTCGAAGTCTACGGTGACCTGTCCGTTGAGCCAGGTCTGCTGGTCAATATTCTGCTGACCAGCGAGCATCCACAGGACCTCCCGGCTGAGACTCCCCGATCCCATCGATGTATAGACCACGAGCTCCCCGGTGTCCACGCCAAACATCATGTACCAGAAACTGAGGCAGCGCTGCCCCGTGAGACTCGGGGCGCCAAGGAAGAGCACGGCTTGTTCCCCGGCGATCTGGGGTGACGTCTCGACAAACATGTAATGTCCTGCGGTGGTGAATATGTCTTTAGCATTGGTGTTTACAGGTTCAGAATGAATGCTAGTAAAGCTTTATATTCATGTTAACTGTCAAAATATTCACATTCGGGGTGGATGGTTCTTGACAATCATGTAATATCCTTTTCAGTAATAATAATAAAAATGGGTATTTATGTAGCGTACATATTCACCATGCATGGTGCTCGAGGCGCTTCTACTAGTTCAATTTGTTCTTGATATTTAACCCTTATCAATTCAGAACTGATGTAATTACCTCATAGTTTATATCCAGAGATCTTTCCATATGTGTATATACAAATATTGATACGACCTTATTCAAATGATTTGCCTTAGGTAAAAACATTTTCAAACAAACGAACAAAATAACAATAGAGTGAGAGTCAATCGGCGATTCTTCATAGTTCATTTCCAAAGAAACTGACCAAAAAACGATCGAAAAAGAAAAAAAAAATACAAAAAATAAAGAGAGAGAATGAAATAGTACCCGATGATGTCCCAAGGGTATGGTCAACATTTGGTCCTGTACCAGTGCTAGGGGTGCTACTCTGGTATCGTAACCAATCAAAACTATCCGCATCGATGTTACTCCACATGCACATTCCATTCTCAAAGTCACAAGAACCTGTGAAACAGTAAAGACAATTTTGGGGAAATGACATTAACTGATAAACATACATAATTATTAGCGTCTTCAGAATTTGTATAGGAGTTTTGAACACGCCATTATAAGAGACTGTTACGGGGAACCCATGGTATTCCCATAAATAATATACACTTTTTGATAAGCAAACAGACAAACTCTTCAAAACTAATAGATTAAAGTTATATCTTACAAATCTACTTTTATAGAGAAAGAAAAAGTATGTAATTACCTTTTTCATTATATGAGGATTTTTGTTTTACGCACTAGCTCATGGCAAAGCATAGCAGTGCTAATATACTTTATTTTAAATCTGGGGATGTGTCACAAAGACTAAGATCAACATTTCGGTTACAATGTAAATTGGATGACCAAAACACAACTTTATCTTCAATGTTTTGAATCGGTATTTTGTCAGCATCTCACCTATAGATCCGCACGGTCCCAGCGTATAGTCGACATCGTCAATGGCCAAGTCACTCCTAGGTCCAGCACCGACCACGCCCTCGAAGACCAAACGGAAGACAGCTGAACTTGAGACATTGACTACCGCAAAGAACCATGTATCACCCAGGTCAGCGGCGGACTGTGTCCATAGGGGCACCGTGTCACCTTCAAGCTAATGAGGAATGGATTTGCTGATTAGTTTAATACCAGTTATAGTATTTGGGGAATCTTCGATCGATATTGTAATGTTATAAAATACAATCTAAACACTTGATTTTTCAATCTCATTGACTGTTATTTATCATTCAAGCTTTTGTGTGTTTATTTCTTCCTGTGTGTGCTTATCTGTTCAATGCCTTCATCGGCAATGTTTCATGTTCTTCTTGGTTTTCATGAACATTGGGAACCAATTAATATACACATGCTTTGACTGTTTAAATGATTAATTCTATCATTTTTTTCAAGCAACCATGGTATCTAATTTTCGTTTTAATTCGTTATATTTTTGTCCGGTTATGGACACATAATGTAAACAAACGTGCAAGTTGGTGTGGTGAGTATGCGTATCTTTATTCGGCACATAATATAATCATTATTAAATTGTTTATTAAAATAATACTAAAAATAGTAGTCCGGGAGCTGAATTACATTTAGTTTACAATAAAAGCACATGGAAAACATATCAATTTTAAAACAATTATTTCATCAAGCTTACGAGAATACATTCAAAGATAACAGTAATATGATATAATATTATTCAAAAAGTTACTTTCCATTGAACACATATTTCAACAAAAACAACAGCATCGAAGTCATTCAGAAGTTGGCCCTACCATGACGTTGAGGGCGCCCATCTGATCACCGAACATATGATAGTAAAATGTCCAGCAGGTGTCATCTTGGCCGGCATCAGAAGGGTCAAAGTATGGTGTCAGAATGGTCGCTTTCTCCCCTGGCTGCTGACCAGCAGCGTCGATGTACATGTAGTGACCTGGGGATGGTAAATCAAAAAAATAATACCTTTAAGATAAAGTTGAGTTCTGATCATGCGATTGCATTGTAAAAGAAGCGTTGTGGAATCGATCAGAAAAAGTTGATCATCTAGCATATAAGTACTGATGTGTACTGCAAGATTCTGGAATCATCAAAATGATGATAAATTGGGCAAAGTTTTAGTAAAGTTACAATCACTGCACACAGAAAGATGTATATCTTGGACACGGTTATTTTTTTTTTGTATAGAATAAATATATTTCATATGAATACGTATATGAGTGTAAAAAGCTTTACATGTTTACATTTGTTAAAGCTTCTTATTAACTCGTCTATCTATAAAAAAAGGACTGATACATTTCGCCTAGTTTTGCAGAAGTTTCCTTTTTATATAAATAAAAAAGGACATCAATATGGTGCAATATAAATCATCCTTTACTACATAAAATTAGATTTACTTAATCGTGGAGACAAGATTAAATGGATTTTTATTATAAATTTGGCGTCACATGTGCCTGGGAGGCGAAAAGCGAACAAAATCAGTGTAACCCTCGTGTCTCTCCTCCCGGTATAAGCAGTTGGACCACTACACCGGAGTCTCCCTCTACTGTTATACGAATAGTCCTGGGGTTCTTAACTTGCAAAGGTGGTGACTCTCCTCTAAACGGGACCTTCCTTAAACGTCATATCCGAGGGACGAATAGTGTTACTCACCGGATGCTGTTCTGGTGGTAGCATCTACCGAGGGACCGGTATAAAGAGTGGGCGTGGTTCCTGCGTTCCATGACCAATCAAAATCGTCGAGATTGCCCTGGGAATAACCGCAGATGGAGGCGTCCTCGAACGTACACGTGTGGTATCCTGAAAAAATGACAACGCATATAAAATTTAGATTTTACTTTACCATGACATAGGACAAACCTGTATAATTTATGTATATAAATTATTTTTTATTGTTGGTATATCTTATAGAATACTGCCAAATGAACGCTTAGAAAGTCGTCTAGTTTAGTGCAGTGTAGTGCATGGGACATAAAAACTAATAGTAATAATAATGAAGAAAATAATTGATAGGCCTATGTTGTAATTTACAGCAAATTTTGTAATGTTTACCCTAAACATATTGTTTGTGTTTGTTATATGTTTGTAAATATATATAACATTTCAATATAGTAAAACAAACCCTCGTGGAAGAGGCAAAACGAAAAAATTAATAATGATGATAATTAGAAGAAGACAAAAAAGTAGTACATAATACTAATAATACTTAATTATGATAATAATACAAATAGTGAGAATAATAATTCTAATAGTGATAATAATGATAATATTAATTAAAACAACAATAATGATAATATTAGATATATACCTCTGCATGCCCCTGTTGTGATGAAGATGTCATCGAGAGCGATGTCACTGTCGAAATTTGAACCAGTAACGCCCTCAAATACGAACTAAAAGCAAAACAAAAAGAAGTAATTAAAAGTTACTTGTATACTTATAATCATAATTAATAATAAACCATTTGGTTTTGATTACTCAAGGTAGCCACACAAGTATTTATACAGCTATTTCTGCCGCCCCTGTAAATGTTACCGCCCCGGCATTTGCCAGGTAACCATTTTCACAATACCAAAGAAAACCAGACATGTATTTTTGATACAAGGAGAAAAGTATGAGAATACCCAACATGTTTCTTTTCAACTCTATTTTGTATTACGAAAACAGAACACCGACGGTTCTAATATCAGGAACATAACAAACGCTTAGGTATGATATGGTATGGTATTTATAGAATCATGCATCGTAGTTTACAAATACTGAATTGCACATGGATATACATTGCATTTTTAATACGAGTGTACAATTCAAAACAGTATCATTTACATAATTATAAGTACACGTATATGTCACATGTTTGAATGTCTAACCTTAAGATCGGCAGTAGGGATAAAATCAATCTGGGCCTCAAACCAGCTCCTTGACAGAGCCCCACTTTGGGTCCATAAGACCTGGCCCGGCGTGGTTCCGGTCTGGGCATAGACATTGAGTGTACCCATGTCAGCACCCCACATGTGGTACCAAAAATCGGCGCACATTCGCCCGGACGTCGCAAGAATGAGTTCCGACTCCAGTACGGCAACTTGGTTAAAAAAGCTCGATGCTTCTGTGTAGATGTAGAATCCAGCCGCTATTATCGAAAGAACAACGAAAAATAAATACCGGTGGAATAAAAACGATGCAAAAAAAAAAAAAAAAAAAAAAATCAATTTTAAGAACTGTTATATAACCAGGGTTTTATAGATGCAAATAGACAATTATTTTATACTAATTTTTTATCATCTAAGATGTATGTAGGAAAAAAGATGACAATACTTTGTTAACCCACGGAAGCCTCATCAGCATCAATGTTGTCGTTCTTCCCTAGGACCCTTCAATAATTATTACCCCAGTAATTATTGGCGGGTACCAATTAAACTTGGAATTTGAAGAAGAAACAAAATGTAAATATGATTTAGAATCGATAAATGGGCTCTAAATTGATGATCTCAATATCATTGCTTTTCAATAAAAAATGATTTGTTTAAAATTTTCAAATTGTTCAACTCCAACCCATGTTTATTCCTCCAGAAAGTGTTATATTGTATATTTGGAAGAATGTAGCAATAGAACAAAAATACAACATTATAACGTTTGTTTGCGGGGGGTCAATAAAACAAATTCGTTGCCGATTTAACCCATTGTATACTTGAAGCGGTGGTTTCTGTATGAGAACTACTGGGAATATAACATGTCAGTTGTCAAATGGTTAAACAACATACACGTACCTGTGCCAATTGTATGGTCATTTTCCGGGCCGGTATACGTAGAGGGCGTGTTACCCGACAGCCTCGTCCAATCAATATCATCGGTAATAGCTTGGGTAAAGGTGCACAGGTCCAAGTCAAAGTCACAACCGCAGATTGGGCCTGGTGAATTGAAGTATGATATTCAATCAGTAAAGTTGGTGAATCAATATTAGCTCCTCACTTTCAACATCGTTATGATAAAAGAAAAGTTCCGACAAATACGTTTTCGAAATTTCCTGGTAATTTAACCTTGAGACGAATTGATAACTAGTTCGAATAAGGAAGGTAGTGATTAGATCATGAGATGCTGTAATATCAATCATTCAGTTGACCCTTTTCCCTTCCTATTGATTGTGTTAAACGAAACGCTTGGCAAGTAATATTGGCAGATGCAAGAGCTAAATTTTGGAGCAGGAGGTACTTCTTGATATACGAAATTTAAAAGTAAAATAATTATACTAGAAATATTTTAAAGTGCATTTAGAGTGAAGATCCTTGTGGAAGTTTTGAGCTTTTGTTGGAGAAATCTAAATGTGTAGAGTATGGAACCCAAGTTTACTACGAAGACATAAAACCTCGCACATATCAATATTTAATGGTACTGACAATACTATAATGTCGCTGTAATGTTTGCAGTTTTCAATATTTATGGTTAGGTAATTGCATTAGGAGGATTTTCTGGAGGTCTTTACAATCGTGGATTGCATAGGTGACAAGGCAGATGTATGAAATGGAAACCTACTTGGGGCTACTGTTGTAGGAACTGGTTGGGTCCCTGTGCCTGTGTATGGCTGCGCTGTTGTAGTGGGGCGAACATCAGCCGCTGGTGGTTGAACTGTATAGATACCAAACATAAATTGATGAATGCATATCAAATCATCTGGAAATTCACCTGCCATAATGTTGCGCTAATAATTATGATAGTTGTCACGAAAAGCTTACCCTACCAGAAATCTGTAATTGAGAACTGGTTGATCTAAAAGCAAAATCAATATACCTCCTTGATATTCATTTCTAATATGAAAGTTTGTTTTGTTAATTTTTTTACAAAATGTTTAAAACTTTCCTTCAGCCAACCGCAAGGTTTTTCTTTTTACAAGTCCGCATTAAAGAAAGAACAGCATTACAACGGAAACCATTTACAAATAGTTAAAAATATACATTAAAACACAATAATAAACAATTATTTATTTGATTTAAAAGGTAAGACAGAGAGAGAAAGAGAAAGAGAACACCGCCCAGGAAAACAAAAGAAAATATTTGGTCGCGTTAGAAAGGTCAAAACGGGAAAAAGACTTAAACAAATAGCTCTGAAAAAATGTGTACCACCGATTTAGATATGACCAGATGACCTTTAATAATTGTTTTCTGTTTTTTTTTTTTATAGAAATTAAGAATATCAACAATATTTATCCTATTGAATTTGAATTTCAATCTATATAATTGCCTAATCAATGTAGCAAGTAGTTTGATAATGGTTGCAAATGTCAAACTCATTTTCCAGTCTCCGCCCTCACCCCACCTTACTCAAGAATATGGGGGGGGGGGGGGGGGATGAGGGGCGGATTGGGGTTAGCCGATCATTCTACATTAGTTATGATAGGGGATAAGGATTGGGGCGGGTCCAGGGAAGAGGGATGCCAGGTATTACCTCCGCATGTAGAATCAACAAAAGAGATGTCGTCCAGAGCAATGTCGCCTTCGAACCCCAGTCCGACCACACCCTCAAACACAACCTGAGAGAGAGAGAGAGAGAGAGAGAGAAAGAGAGAGGTGGAGAGAGTGAGAGTGACATAGAGATATATATAGATATGAAGAGAGATGGAAAAGAGAGAGAGAGAGAGAGAGAGAGAGCAGGAGAGAAAGGAAGAGGCATGTAAAAGGGATTGGAAATTCAGTGATATTCGAAACAAATTATGTTAATTACAGAGAGATACTACAGTAATATAAATGCTCATGTTTATGTCAGGAGCAGAACTGCAGGTTGTCATCAAGTGTCTAAAACTAATAATGCATCATTTGTCACCGGAGCATGATAGTTTTCGTACAATCCTAATTATTATTAAAAAAAACAGTCCTTACCACATAGCTGTCTGGACTCTCTACAGGCATCTGTCCACTGTTCCATCGGTCGCCTAGGTCCACTCCGTAAGACCACCCATCGGACCTTACGGCGCCCTCTATAGTTTCCACGTATACATTGAGGGATCCGATCTGGGTTCCAAACATGTGGTACCAAAATCGAAGGCAACGCCCGCCAGAAGGCGTCCCACCAAATGCCTGGCTGCGGAAGCGCACTGTGTCCCCGGGAACGACTGGTGAAGAAGTCTCCATAAAGACATACGACCCTGCAAATGAATCATCAGGGGGGGGGGGCGTTTTACCAAAAATTGTCATCAGTGACAAATGACAGTTTGTGTTATAAGCTACTGAAATCCTTGCTTCTGATTGGTTATCAGCAGATTTGTCACTGATTGGTGTAATTTTTCTTCGAAAAAGGCTTTGTGCAACGGGTCCCAGACGTCGTCAAGTTGAAAAACAAGCCACAGTAAACAAACAAAACATCAACATAAATACAATATGAGTGTTTGGACATCTTTCCACCAATCTATTTCAACGCATATGACTATACACCTCATTCGCATTCTCTCATTCTTGCCATTGGATTCAATTTCATATAACGCATGCTGCAGTGAAATGCATTTTCTCTAGCTCTTGATAGCATGCATTGTAGCATCCTGTTTTTAGTCATTCATATAGTCATCGGTCGCAGATGTTCATCGTTACTGACTAATTTAAAATGGTAATGGTTCATTCTTAAAATTACTCACTTATAAAATGAAAAGTGAGGTTCAAATTGGCAAACAAAATATTGATAACTTGTCCACTAATATTCTTGGAGACTTATTCCGAATTCGGATGATAAGCGATAAAGTACAAAACTGGACCCCAACATTTAGCAAAGAGTTGGTTCATAGTTCCCCTTTTTTGACGCAATCTTTATTGTTTATTTTGTTTGTTATTTCTATGTTTTGTTATCCACTTCAACATTGATACTGCTCTTCATGCGGGCCCTGACATTATTATCACACCAGCAATTGGCAGGTACCTTTTTACACCTAAGTGGCAAATGTTAGTTAACATCATATACGATAGGGCTTTAGTTCATGATGGGTACTCGAACCCCTAACCCTTGGATAGAGAGACACCCCATCTCCAATGGTGCATTTTCTGTTATTTCTTCACAATATGAGCGGGACCTGGACTAACCTTGAACAGTCCCAAGGGTGTGGTCTATACTTGGACCTGTGTTGACACTAGGCGTACCACCCTGTCCTATAATCCAATCGAACGCGTCCGACGTAGGGTCGTTGTTCCAGGTGCAGAAACCATTCTCAAAATCACAATCACCTGTTAAGAACAAAGTGGATTTGGGGGAAATAATGAAATTAAGAGTTGAGGATCGCAATTTGGAGCTGACTCATCAATCATTGTTTTTAATTCTAAAGAAAGTAACCTTAGGAAATAAATAATACTCACTTATATTCATTTGACGATTATTCTTTAATGAAAATAAATCCTCTCGCGGCAAAAGAATGATGAAAATATCTCCCTTTTTTGTTAATTATTTGCTCTCTATACCACTCTTAACAAGTTGTACAAACCTTTAGTGTATTTTATAAAAATTAGAATAAACGCATGGATTTCGTTATCAATATATAAAACATGAAAATGATGTTGTCTGCAAGATTATTACGGCATTTTAAACGTAGATATAAAGGATAAGAAGATACACCTCTTAAAAACCCGTTTTTTATATCATAATTGATTTTGAATTATATAAGATATATTACATAAGATAAGACCTGAGAGAATAATTATACACTTATAATGAACAAATAACAGTGGTTATTAATAATCTGGTTTAATTCATTCAACGATGATTGAGATATGATCAAAATCGTTTAAATAATTTTATTTTATTTATATATTCATTTATCTGTATCATTATTATCATCATTATATATATATATATATTATATATATTTTTTTAATCTTGTTAATAATTAATTATTTAATTAATTAGTTATTTGTATAATTTTTTAAAACTCAACAAAACATTATGCATTACTATATATATATATATATTTTTTTATTTATTTATTTATTTATTTTTTTTTTTGGGGGGGGGGGCGGTAGGGGGAGGGGTTCAGAAAAGGCCTGGGTCCCGCCCCGCCCCCAGTACCGATACTGCCAAATATTTGTTTTAGAGTACCTGGTGGCGGACATGACCCGGCATACATATCGATGTCGTCTACAGCGATGTTTCCCAGAACTCCATCACCTACGGTCGCTTCAAAGTACACCTGAAAATCATCGTTGATACTGAATGGGATGCGAGCCACGTTCCATTGGTTGCCTAGGTTACCGGATAGTGTGAAGTAGGGCTGGGAGAATAGTCCTCCAACCTAGACATGTCGATAGATCGAAACCAAGAAATATATTTAAATATGCATTGAATAAAATGTACATCGTTATCATATCAACTCTATTTCTTTACGAATTATATTTAATTATCGTTGATAACATTTGCAACATAAAAGCTTAAGCTTATTTTTCTGTTTCAATGAAATTTAAGGAGCGTCGATTTCGTAGGAAGTAATGGACATGCCAGTCGTGTGGTATGCGATCTACCAGAGTAACTTATTTCTTTAAATAAATACCCTCTATTATAAATATACTGTCTTTTTAATTCACTGGTATTTGCCTTATATATGTGTTATGTACAATATTTATATTTTACATTATTAGTTTGTATATTGTTAGACATTGTTGAGTATTCTAGTTTTTTAAAGTATCCATTGTAATAGCGATTCATTATTTTTTGTTTTGTTACGTTTCTAAACTGATTTGTACGAAAATACTTTGTTTTGCTGTTTAAGGGTTTAGGATCGACTAACACATGTGCTATTACTTGGCCCCTTTAACCAACCAATATTTTCTCTTCTTGTATATGCAAAATCATTGTATGAAATGTATGTATTGCTGATGGTAAATCAATTAAATCAAATCATATATGTATAAATTTACATGCCAGTTTTCCATCGAATCAAAACGATTTTCACTAACAAATATGCATGCCTTTCTAATTATTGCAAAATACACATTTAAGCTAATTAAATGTTTATGCAGCGAATGGATATTGATGAACCTTAAAAAAAAACATACTAACTAACAAACAAACAAACAAACTAACTAACTAAATAACTAACTTACTAACTAACTAACTATCTAATTAACTTACTAAATAACTAACTAACTGCAAAACAAGTATTTACCTCGACAAGAACATTTAGCGATCCGATGTTATCTCCGTACATGTGGTAGTAAAACTCGAAGCAGTGGCTACCTGTAGCCGGGAAGGTATGTGAATATAGCCATGCCCTCTCCCCCTGAACTCTGGGGGCTTCTGTCTCGATGTACATGTATTTACCTGGAACGGTTGATAGCGTAGAAAGGCTAAATCAAAAACTACATTGTCCTAAATTCTAGAAATAACATTTTACCTTGAAAAATGGTGGATCATTAAAAATTTCTCGACTGATATATATATATATATATATATATATATAGGCCGATACATATATGTACATTAAAATCTGCTTTAGTGGCCATCTGTATGAAGAGACCACTTTTCTTAAAGGCCATATTTTGTGTTTCCCTTGAAAATGGTTTCTCTAATTGAAACATGTACTAAAGGAACATATAAAGACCAATTTTCTTGTCTGCTTGATTGGTATTTATATACACGTTTCACTCTCTATATAATATATGTGAGTGTGTGGGTCTGTTTGTGTGAGTTATTGTTGATTTAAAAATGTTTTGAATTCATGTCAAGGAAAACAAATGTATTTTATTTCAAAGATTGATATGTATTATTTGGAATCAATAACTAAACTATTGAAAACAAAAAGTAAGTATGTGCGTGTAGTATTCCATCAATCCGTACTAAATTTCATTCTCATGATTTCATATTTAAAGGGACAAAAATACGCCTCCAACATTTTGGGGAAGGTAGAGAGTAATGTGTTCCCTACATGTTTGAAGCGCCTTGAGCATTTAATTAAAATGGATAATGGCGCAATATTAATATCATGTATTATTGGATCAAGATTAATAACGAACATATCAATGCACTGACTGACCATTGATTGCATTGGTCGTGTGGTCAGCCGACGGGCCAGTCAGGGCAGTATCAGTAGGTCCTGATCCAAGACTCCAGTCAAAATCATCTAGCAGACTTTCCTGGTTGTATCCACATACTGCATAACCGTACTCAAAATCGCACACAGGGCTAAAAGCTCCTGGGCTCGGAGTGACTGCAAATTAGGAACATGAGAAATACATTAATAAAAACAATTGAAGTTTGATTGATTATAGAAAACCTAATTAGGAATAAGGTAATATAATATGGTTATATAACGTCATAACTTGTTTAAAGAACACACTAATTTTTGTAAACATAGGTATTTGCACGTATTTTTTCGAAAAGAAAAACGATGTAAAGCAGTAGAAACGGTATAAATTACCCAATTTACCGATGCACGTAAAATGGACCACAGGTTGCTTTCTCTAACTGACATGGAAATAATTTTGTTTTCAGAAGCTATTCATCCCAGTTATTATCCTGACTTTGGTACAGAGGAATCTACGGCGAATTAAAGGTATTTTGTGCAGAATGTTATTGACGACATGTAGGATTGTTGTTGTTGGTATTATTATTTGATCACTTTATTTAATGTATAAATTACACAAAATAGGCAAAGAAGCAGCTCATTTAAATTCATGTTTAGAAGTCTCTTAAAATCGGTGAGGTATGGAAAAATAAATGTACAAATAGATAGGATTTCGCTAAGTATAACTTAAAATTCATCTTATTGTTATATGAATGAAACGAGTATTTTCAGTGTAGCTTTTTACGAATAAAGTTTTATCTCGAAGCATAAAACAATGTAGGCAAATGTACAAATTTAGGATACATGAGTTTGACAAAGAAAGATACAATGGAAAACAATAATCTAGTATTTAGAAAAGTTGGACGTGCTTCCATCTATCGATACAAAAATATCTACATTGTTGCGCAAAAATTGTTCCTTCAACATCCGAATAATATTTTAATTTCTTTTGAAAACAAGGAAATAATAATAATTCCTTCAATCATCTAATTTAAAAAATAAATAATATTGTGCATCCAAAATAACGAAATTAAAAAAGGAATAATTTTCAGTGTGTGTAACTTACTTGCCAAACAATCCTCGTTTTCCAGAAGAATGTCATCAACAGCCATATCGCATCTTGGATCACCACTCATTATTCCTTCAAATATAACCTAAATGTGAAAAAACATATATAGCAGGATAGAATATCAGAGTTAAAAATACGTTATAAATACGTACCTACGGCTTATTACGGCAATATAAAGATATCCTTGACACGAACGAATAAAAATGAGAGCAAAACATTCATGTTTTACTTGTTTAAGTTACAGCGATGCAAACAAGTATTGATTTATGTATGCAGATTATAAATAATAACTTTTAAGGACGCTGTAATTTGGTGACGTGTATCAGGGTATTACAATTGAAGTTGAAAACGTAACAATATACATTGCTCTTAGTAAATTATAATTATATATCTATATGTGAGATGGTACTTACATTGAAAGGTGTCGTTCCGGTGACTGGTACCCGAGCAACCAGCCATTGGTCTCCCTGTGTTCCGGCCCTGGTCCAAGCCAGTGTTTCTGCTGACCCGGAAGCAGTCAGGACGTTGATGATACCGATCTGCTCACCATGCATGTGGTACCAAAAGGTCAGGCAGGAATCCGAAGTGACGGGACTGTAGAGGGCGCTCCTCAAGCGTGCAGACTGTCCTATGCTTGTCGAATCGGCCTCGGTGTACATGTATGAGCCTGAGATAGCTATACAAACAAAATGGAAATGTGTATGCTTTGTTGGTGAAATTAATCATCGTCTCCTTGGAGATTATAGCGTAAATGGGAGAGAGCGCACTGAACAATTTTATATTCCTAACTCCATGTAACTGTGGCGTACAAACATATGAAACCGATGTGGCCCGCACGTTTCGTTATTATACACATCCACAATAATGATAATGACATATACATTTTCCTCAAAAACATAAAGATTCTTCTTTATGCTTTATTACAGTTAATGAAATATGTGACACTCTGTGAGAATGCATTTTTTAATCGAAAATTTCACTTTTCTAACACTTTGTGAATCAACAGTGTATGTGTCACTGATTTCTCTAATGATATTAAGGATGCATGACAATTGTCTACTGTTACATGATGATTGCTGTATTAAACATATATGGAATATGAACATTCAGGAGTCATTGGGTTAACTCTTATCATGTCACAGGGCTAATCCCCATTGTGCCAAGCCCCAAATCCCCCGTGCCAGGTTGTTTTGGAGATAATCTAATTAACGCGAGGATTCTATGAATAGCGAGTGCAAAATACACAGCACAGTCCAATGAGCATGAACAATAACTGCTATTACGAATGCTGCATTGCACGCACATGGCACTCAAGCGATAGCTCTCTCGCATGGACAAAGCAGTATAACGATAGCGTGCATGCAGCCTCATGTAAGGCTATGATTTAAGACCAACATCTATTCTTACTGAAACTTCCAGCGTGTGTGTGATCGTCGTCTGGTCCGGTGTTAGCCGTGTCCGTAGGTCCAGACTTCCTGGTCCAATCGAAGTCATCCCCCGAATCTTGACCAAAGCTACACAGACCCCCTTCAAAGTCACAGTTAGCCGGCCCAGCAGGAATGACTATGTGTGGGGCTGTAGTGGGCAGTTGACTGGAAGGCGGGAACGTCGGCTGTGCAATTGCACTGTTTGGTATAGCTTAAGATAATTGAATAGAGATACAAATGATATAGAATAATTATAATAATATCAGTAATTTGAAGTTAGTTTAATAATTGCAATATTTTACTCTTTTCTAATATTCTTCTCTTGGAATGAGATTGGTAAAACGTCGTATAAAAAATTATAAAACTACTGCAAGCGAAAGATATGTCTTCGGGCTGATCAAAGAAAGGCTTACTATCGTTTTAAAATACAATGACATGATTAGTTATTGCGTATAATATTTATATTATGAAAACCCAATAAATAATTGCTTGAAAATAAAGAACATACATATATGAAGCAACATTTTATTCGATTCTAATACACCAATCGTATCATTCTAATTTTGTAAAACAAGAGCCATGTTATTAGTTTTGTCCTCTCAACTTCTCTTTCTCATTACAATAAGAATTATAGAGGTTATATTCAATGGTAAAATATCTAGCTTTTGACAAGGCCACACATTTTTTGCGAATGAATAAGAAAAATAGAAATACAATGAACATTTATTTTTAACACGTACCAGTCTATCAAAATTCCGCCTTTTAACATAAACACGGTTTTTACGTTTAATATTTAGTATATAATCTAATTCAGTTTGGATAAGAAGTCAGGGAAATACCTGGGCAATTATTGTCTGTAACAGTAATGTCATCAACTGCAATATTTCCTGTGGTGGAAGCACCTACTTCGCCGATGAAGACAACCTAGGCATTGGAGAAATGCATCGAAGACAAGTTAAAGGTAATACAAAGTTTTGGTATGGGGTCATGAATTTGGTTCAAATTAATATATTGGAAGCATATGCGATCCAACAATATTTATTGATCGTTGTCGCGGTTGAAATCGAGTCTAAAGTTATGAAATTGTAAATAATAAACTATTTATGTTGTTTTGCTCCCTTTAAGCTATAAAACAATGTTTCTGGACTAAAATCGACCGATTAGCTATTCCCGTTTGGAAAGTATATATCACAACTACATATTCTGAAATTGTCATGGTCGCAGCTACCATTGTACGGCCGTAGGCGCTATTTGAAATTTATCAAAATTTACCGGGAGCACCGGTAAATTGTTATAATCAAATTTTCCCGAAAGCAGTAGTGTTTTAGGGGCTAAAATTTCTAGTGCTTATAAAACATCCACAGGGGCATCCAAATATATTAAAATTGTAAACAATCACTATCCAACCAATTTTCAAAATTTCCCAAAACTTTGTATTATCTTTAAGGATACGCATCAGTCAGAGGCGATTCAGATGTTTCAATGTTTTACTGTTATAGCATTTTATCACTATTTCACAATTAGATCAGTTATTTTAAACAGTGGGGCAATACCATGCAGTCATGTTAAATTCCGTATATATTTTACTACCCATCAATTTTAAATTATGATTGTACAAATTATATTTAATTCCATTTTCCCTGATCTAATGTTGTTATTTTTTTACTTGCATTGTATTTTACCTGCACTGTGAAAGCATGTACAATTCAGTCTATGACTGCCATTCAAGTCTTTAATAAACCTTGATTGAATCGAATTGAATTGAATCACTTTTTCACAATTATAGCAGTTTATCACTATTTTACGAGCACTGCCGACTGTGGATATAAACCAACAAAATTCCACAAGCTGCCGTATTGTGTTAAGGGTAGAATTATAATTTCACAAGAAAAATATTTGCTAGTGCTCGTGTTTTTTCATGAAAGTGTATTTTCACGAGAGCGACAAATTAAATCAATATCATAAAAGTTTAAATCGAATAATGATATAAATCACCAAATTATTATGGGTATAAAGGTAACAATTATTTCCGGTACATATAAAGTTCTATAGAATTTATTAGATTTCTGCCATGTTTTTCACCTGCGTCTAAAGTGGGAAATGTAGGTAACGACTTTCCAAAAGAAATTGGTGCGAGGAAAGGGAGAGTGTTACCATGTGTTCCTTGGCCCGTAAATTATCCGAAATAACTCCTGCCTTAAGACAATTATCATTGTATGACTAAGATTAATCGTTCGGTATTTTCTTTCAACCATCCCGTTGTAGAATAAATTATGAAATACCCTGTAATCGTAGTCTTGTGATACAGGCACTTGTCCGTAAGTCCACAAAGCACCCTGAGTTGAGTCTAGCCTCCAGAGGATGACGTCATCTGGAAACCCGTAGTTCTCTTGAGCAACGGAGAGGGCGCCTGCATCAACTCCTTCCAGATAATACCAGAAAGTAACGCACCTTCTCGTCGCAGTTTGGTTGTTGAACAGCGAACTGACCATACGGGCGTTTTTACTAGGCACCTGATTAGTTGGATCAAGGTATACGTAATACCCTTATCCAGAAAATAAAATGAACAGGAGAATGATTGCACTTGAATTGCTATTATTTGACTAGAATGTATGACCAAAATACACATTTCGACCAAAAAAGAAACATTGCTATTACGGGGAAAGGTGCAAAGAAAACATTTGATGATAGCATTCGAAGCAGGCAATCACTTCTGGTATTTTACCTCATTGGTGACGACGTTTAAAAATACATACAAAATACATTATATAGTATTAAGATGACTATGATAGAAACGATTACCATGCACATTTTACTTTAAAAACATTTATATAACAATGTAGACTTGAACAAAAAAAATTGATTGTAATTCAAGTATTGATTGCCATGCTTACGTCCGAAGCGCTTAGTCTCTCGTTTGGACAATTGCAATCAAAATACCTGCTAATCTCACAAATGATTTCTTGATGTTAATTTGTTTTGGTTTATTCTCATGACCATACCGCTTAAACCGCAGACACTAAGCATGATTTACTAATCATTATTTTGTATAGAGACCATCACTTCAGCAACGCCTTATATTCACATACCTGCTGATGAGCCAATTGTATGATCCGTTGGAGGTCCATCACCATTGGTGGCGCCCTGCTTCCTAATCCAATCGAAGTCATCGGCTGTGACGTCATTTGTCCAAGTACAATAATCGGCTTCAAAATCACAATCGCCTGTAAGAACATAAACAAAGGATAGCCTTGATATGATCTGGGTTTTTCGGCTATAGTAGGAGGGTTATCGATTAGATCTCTTCCTCTTTGACCCCTGATCGTTTGTTTCTAGGTCTAACTCAATGATACGTTTCGTATAACCGTTAGTGATCGATTTTTTAGACATAATAAATCCTTTAAGTCACAAGGTCTGTTCAGAAATTCACACAACAACGGCGGACGCTTTAGGCAGATTTCGTTCAGAAGTTAGTTGGCAACATCGTTTCAGTATTGTATTTACACCGGAGTCTATGTTTTGAAGTTAGTGAACATCTTTTTACTCTTTGAGGATCCGGTGGTCAGTCAAAATAAGTAATGAAGTCTCTCAAAATAATACATTCATTTGTGTAGGGGGCAACATTAGGGCCCAGTACGATTGGGGAAGACTACGATCACTTCAATAAGGAGAAAGTACTTACCTTGAGCGAGACAAGAACCATCTGTAATTCTGACGTCATCAATCGCGATATCGGAAGTGAAACTCGTTCCAATAACGCCTTCAAATACAATCTACAAATAGGAAGAATGGTAGTAATAGCATTATGTTAATATGCTATATGAAACAAAAGGCACATGACGAGTAACGTCTACTAATAGTGAGCGATTCAAGACCAAACAAGTTTATTATTAATTATGCCTAATTGAAAACAATCGGTCATTTTCAGTCATGTTTAACCAGGGAAGCCAAATTGATTCCAATACTGCTCTTTCTTTTGACCAAACAGCATTATATCGTCAGTGCCAGGTACCCATTTAATACATCTGGCTCGATGAGGACAAAGGTTTTGAGTAAAAATGTTGTCCAAAGCACCGAGCGAGGATCGAACTCGGGACCTTTTATACGAGAGACAAGAACCTTAACCAGGATGCCTCCCTGTAATACTATTAATTAAGTTCCAATCCACTAAATAAAATCAGCCAAATTCTGGGCTCAGTGTCAAAAAGAGTTGCGATTTATCCAAAGCAATGGGAAGGCATCCAAGGAATCGTGTACTGCTTACAGTGTCATATCTCTTGTTTACATACACACTAATAAATAAGGGTGCAATTTTGCTACAATAGGAGCACCCCTCTGACAAATACGCGGAGTCGGATGCAGATCTGCACCCCACTTGCACCCATATTTCTTAGTGTGGATTTATATCAATCGCATAAAAGTTGCAATAAATATAAATTCGTTATAATTATGACGGTTCTCTGGACTACTCACGAAAAAAAATTAATTTCTAGAATTTCTCAATTTTTACTAAATTTTCCAAAAAATCATCACAAATAATGTCCAAATGTCGAAAACCAATTGAATTTGTCAGGTATTGGCTTAAATCTGAATAATTGGATTGCCTATAGGAACTCAGTGCTATATTGCTCTGGTTCTTAACGTTGTGAGCCAGAGCAATATCATAATAACACTGAGTTCCTAGAGGCAATCTTTTCATTCAGATGGTCATATCTCAGCCAATACTTAAGATATCCAATTGGTTTTCAGAAAAAATTGAGAAATTCAACAACAACAACATCACACGTCATCACTCTACAGGGGCCACTCCACAGTTTACCTGATAATCATTCGTAGTTGGAGCCAGGAACCTTGCGATGTACCACTGGTTTCCTTGATCGGCCGACTCACCCCAACTAGGGAGCAGCTGCAGAATGTCTTGGCCAGTCTCCACGATGTACACACTGAGCGTACCGATGGAACCCCCGTACATGTGGTAGAAAAACTCGATGCAATGGCCGCCAGCGACCTGGTAGGTCGGTGACCACAAACGGGCCAGTTCGCCTTGGATGCGAGGAGAGGAGGACTCGATGAACATGTAGAAGCCTGAAAAGGAAGTCATTCAAATAATGATACCGTTGTAAATATCTCGATGAGATCAGTTCAAAATACACATTATCTAAACATTGTTAAACATGATGAAAGGTTATAACTTGAAAAACAAAATGTTCACAAGCCTTAATTTTCTCTTCATTTATGTAAATTTCGTGGTTTATATAAAATGTATGCAAGCAGTATTGTAAAGTATTGTGAAACAGAAAAGCTATGCAATTGTTAAAGCACTGTTAATCAAAAAATGAATCATGTTTCACTTGAATCATGTAGGGTTGCCACGGTAGTATTTAATTTGATTTTATATGATTGTTTGATTTGTTCAAAAGCGATTTTTTTTTTTTTACCCCCAAAACCAAAACATAAGATAAACAGACGCAAATTAGAGAAATAGAGAAACACGTAATACATATTAACTCAGTAAGCAATACACCAGCAGTGGGTGAAAAAGAAGAAACAGAAAAGACATAATAAACGGGAAAAACAAGACACCCAACACAACAAAAGTAGGGGTGGGGTGAAGTCCATATTTCCCGACATAAAATCTACTCAGAAACAACAGTATTGATTTCCGCCGAGCCTTCCAAAGTGTTCTGTTCGTTTGAGTGCGTGTGTCTTTGTGTGTGTGGGTGTTTGTGTGTGTGGGGTGGAAATGGTGGGGTAGGGGGTCAAAACAAATACCCATGGTATGTTTGTCTCTCAAGGGGGTTGCCATAAGCATCTCGTAATCCCTCTAATGTGATACAAGAAATCACAACGTACCAGCCGCCGTTCCAAGGGTGTGGTCATTGGGCGGGCCTGTGTCTGTTGAAGGGGTGTTTGCACTCTGTCTCAGCCAATCAAAATCATCGCCGCTCGTCTGCTGGGTGTATCCACAGATGTTCGGGTCCTCAAAGTCACACTGGATCAGGGCTGGTATTGATGAAGGCTCTGGAGTGACCACCACTATGGCAAGGTAAAAGGACAATACAATGTGACGGTAAACGTCGTAACCTTACGCCCTGTCGGGCGTCACTTTCTTTTTGAATATGTTAGAATTTGTTTTCCTTGTGACATGGGCACAATTGATTACGTGTCCCTACTGTTAAATGTGATTAGTGATTGTAAATGATTATGACCATCGAATGATATGTCCTTATTCATTAAATCATTTATCATATCGTAGAATCTGTCATCTAACTAAACAGATTTAATGGTTCCAACCGTACGTATATTTCAAAGACATCATCGCTAAACTTTTTGTGGACAGGATTTATTAATAGGGCTGAAATGATCACATATTGTTCTTCAAATTGGCAACAATAATATTTTTCTTTCATCGCTACAGTGATATAAAAACATGCATTGTGTCTCTGAAAACAATATACACAGGCGGGATTGCTGTTGAAATAATATAAACGTTATCAGTTTTGATCGAAAGATAATAATTTTATTCTTTCAACCTGTTGCCAATTTACGGATTTTAAACTTATTTCCCCTTTTTAAAATTGCTAGCATCAAAGGCAATATAGTCATGGAACAAAAGTAGACGCAAAGTGTGCATACATGTTTTCAATTTTTACTCGTGTATCTAAGAGAACTATGCAGGCTTTGAATCAAAGTTATCGAGCCAAACAACAAAATATGGAATGATTGACCCGGAAGGGTTAACACGACTACTGCGAGAAGATAGGCCACTTTTATAACGTAAATTGTATATGCTCTTCAAGAGAGATTCCTGTAAGTATTGCATCAGACCTTGCGGACAATATCCTGAAAATATGATGATGTCATCGATAGCCATGTCACTTGTAAAACTGGATCCGATCACGCCCTCCACGGTGACTTGAAATCGATCTGTGTCTGCACGTGTGATATCCAACTGTAACAATGGAAAAACAAGTGACGCTAATATACATTTTTGTCCAAAAACCATGGCACATTATAAAATAAAATATCTTTGTTTTTGGCTTTTGATATCAAACTATAAATTTTAAAAAAAGAGAGAAAAATGATAAGTTATGTTCATGGATTCATGCAACATCAAATATGTCCTTAATAAATGTACCATTTTATAGACGACAACGCTTCTCTTATGTACGTTCAAGTTTGTTTTTATTTCTATCCTGATTGATGCCACTACTTCTGCCCATTGACCTCAAAACAATGACAACAATATTATTCCTAATTTTTCAACCAATCTTTGTAATATTTCAAGAATTGTTTCGTTTCCTGAATATTCCCCCTTTTTAAGGAGGGAGGGGGGGGGGTGGAATGTGGATAATAACCAAAATCACTTTGTTCTACTGATTGCAAGTTACAACTCTGAGGTAGGAGAAACAAGAAATCAATTAAATAACTATTATATACCCTATAGTCCTACTTTGAAACAAGATTCCCCAAAATATTATGTGATGAGTTTATGTGATGTCGGCACATTGACAAAGCCGATTTATTGAATTTTTGATATCAAGAATAACCATTGCTTTACAATAGAAAATCATTTCTTGATATCAAGAAATAGGAATAAATGATAAAACGGCTTGCCAAAAATACGCAGAAATACGAAAGCCAAATACGCAAAGGTATGACTGAGGCATATTTGCTCACCTGGCCGAGATTCCAGCCATCGCCTTGTGTTCCCGTCATCTGGAAGAGGGGACTGCTGAGGGGGTCACCCACTTTTGAGACGTAGACGTTTAAAGTGCCCATAGTCGCCCCATACATGTGGTAATAAAATCGAAGACATTTTGTCCCGCCGGCGACGACCTGATTGTATGGGCTGGTCAGTCGGGCGATCTCCCCCGGAAGTTGGGGGCTGGACGATTCGATGTATGCATACTGACCAGCTGAATGGTAGGTAGGATAGATATAGAGAAGGATGTGTCAGGGGTTTGCCTTTACAGGACTGCGCCAACGATATTATTACCCCTTCTCCCATCCCACTCTATCTCATTAGGCCTATGTTTTTTTCTCTCCTTTTCTTCTTCTTCTCACTCTTTTTCTCTTTCTCCTTCGCTCTTTCTGTCTCTCTTTCTGTCTCTCTTTCTGTCTCTCACACACTCTCTCTTTTTCTCTCTCTCTCTCTCCCTCTCTCCCTCTCTCTCGTTGGAGTGTCGGAGTGCCATTTGCAGCCCGCGGATACGCCACTGTCATTGTTGCGTGCTTTCTTATCCACGTGTCATCAATGTGTTCGTTTGAATGTCATCAACCATTCCAAACGATGAAGAACCTAATTCCTTTTTCGTAATGTGCGACGTGAGTCTCCTACATGTTACATCTTTGTTTCGGTATTAACATACGAATCACTGTATACGCATAGGCCTATGCCAATATCGGGGGAGGGGGGGGGGGGGATTGTGGAATATCACTTTCTTTCTCTCGCACACAGATGCACACGTGTGCATATACGCACAAAGAAACACACACACACACACACACACACACACACATGCGTATTTATATCAAGTTTTATAAAAAAGGGCCCTGGGACCCGTATCACAAAGCCTTTTTCAAATGACATATGACAAAAATCAGTGACAAATCTATTGATAACCAATCAGAAGCAAGGATTTCAGTAGCTTATAGCAACAATTGTTATTTGTCACCGATGACAAGTTTTGTGAAACGTCCACCGGCCTCCGGTCTAACCCTGATTGTGTACTGGTGGTTCTCACCTCTTGTAGTGTGGTCTGAACTTGGTCCTGTGTCAACTGAGGTGGTAGGACCAGATAATAAGGTCCAATCAAACGCGTCTGTTAAATCTTGGGTCCATCCACACAGTCCAGAATCGAAATCACAATCGAACTGGGCACCAGCTGTAAAAAAAGAGATATTAAAGTTATAGACCAGTTTTGAAAACGCCCCCTCCCCCCCAAAATAATTGGAAGCTCTTCATACCAATCATGTGAGATAATACATTTTGACTAATACGTGATGATACAAATTTTGCCGGGAAACCGCCTATTAATTGATATATTTGGTAAATTATCATATTGATCTGGCCTGGATAGTTATCGCTAATGCACCTCAACATTGAACATTTGGGCATATATTTCTGTTTTTTGCGAATTTAGGTTAAAAGGAATGCCATGGAGCTAATCAACCCGACAATGAAATTTCGACAAGTGAATAGGAAGACAGCACTTTGGTACTATATTCTATATAGTTCAGGTCCAGGTTAAAGTCATTTTTTTAAGCCTTGGGAAAAATCCGAACATCTTGTGTGAATTTGACAATTATGTGTTGTTTTTTTTGCATGAACAACCGGAAACAACGATCTTGAAGCATAATCATACCCTCTCGCTATCTGCAGCAATCTATATGCAATTTCGATAATTACCAACGCGTCCCATGGCAACTGGAGCGCAAGTGCTTCTGAAGAGAGGTTAATTCCCAAATTAACGATGCCTAAATTATTATTTTATTCATCTTTCGGCATTTTAAGAGGACTACTGTTTGAATTCCTCATTCTGTGTAAGCAAATACAAAGAGAAAGTACAATGAGAGTGAAGCAATTTTGGTTTCGCTCTGCACTTAAGATATGAAATTGGAGGTTCAAAAAAAGTTGAGGGGGCGCTGGTTGCTTGTGCCTCTTCTCTATGTTCAAGCCGACGAATTGAGTTGGAGCTCTGATGACGTAGAGTGGCTTGAAACACACCCAACCCAAGCTTCCTGAAAGCTTTTTTTGCGCGGCCAATCTTCGGGACTTTCACTTAAACTAACTCGCCGATTGTAAAGTGTAAAAACTGCTAGCGTGACACTAGGTAAATAAAAGTGGGTGGTTTCAACATCTTCTGATTTTCTTGACGCCTTGGCTGATCGCTTGTCCTCCATCTTCTGTACCAAATAAAATTTGTCAGTTGAGTATTAGTTTCAAATAAAGAAAGCAATTTCTGATATCAAAGGTAAGTCCACTTATATATTCCATCAAAACTGATTCAATACTTCATTTATACTTTTGTTTTATAAAATATACCTTCTTTATATGTATGTGTTGATATATCATACACTGCCTATCATGATTAAATTATAGATCCATTTATGTAAATCATCAAAATTGTTATTATCTTTATCTGTCCTACTTTATATATAGTAGAACTAATAATTGTAATAACAATTATGATTATAGTTATAATTCCTCTTTTTAAAATAACGAATGACATGACTTAATATTATTAATGCCCCTCTGCGCTTCGTTAACAAAACATTGAAATTATAATAATAATAATAATAATAATAATAATAATAATAATAATAATAATAATAATAATAATAATAATAATAATATAAAATGCAGCAGCGCTTAACAACACAACTTGCCTTTCAACGAATATTAATACTATAAATCAATTGCTCGTCGAAGATGTAGATGTGTCATGGTATAGCGGTTTATTCACTTGAATCTCATTCAAAGGGTAGATGGTTCAAATCCTTGCACCGAACTAGAATCCTATATACATTAATCCACATGTGCCCCGCTTGAATGAATTCCAAGTATTACTAATGAGGAAAGAAAAAATGTAATGTAGATGTTTTGTGTATCATTTGTATCATTTTGATTATTATTAATATTGTTACGACGTTTGTCATTATTATCATATTTATATTTGTTAGTATTATTACCATTAATGTTATTATTATTATTATTTATATTGGTATTAAAAGCAGTTATAACGGTTGCAGTAGCAGAATTATTATTGTCATTATTATTATATTAATTATTGTTATTATTATCGTTGACATTATCATTAATATTATTATTATTAATATGCATCAAATTGCAACAAATATAGAAAAACTCAGAAACTAAATTGTTGTTGAACACTTTTGCTCTTCCTTGCACAAATGGTATGATTCCGGTTGTATATCTTTGTAAAGAAGGTTAATTCATGTTTAATTTCAAAATTAAAGAGTTAAAATAGAGAGAAGAAAAACATAAATTATTATCAATGATTATTCTTTTTTCTTTCATATTTCTCCTTCTTCTTTTGGTTCTTCTACTTCTCCTCATATTTCTTTGTTTTCTTTCTCTTCTTCTTTTCCTGTTCTTATTCTTCTTCTCCTTTTTTACTTCTCATATGTCCTTTTCTTCTTCCCTTTCTTCTTCTTCATTTGCAGTTCAGGCCACCGTAACGTGTATTGTCCTTGCGGTGTTTTCATTGCTTGAACGATCGAGTGAATATTCCTTGAGTACGTCTGTCACCATGAACTTAAACTCGACAGCGATGGAAGGGGCGGAGGGTGCTGGAAGCTTCCTGCCCATCTTGCTGTACAGCCATACCGAGAGACTGATTGGATTGGTGTTACTGCCTGTGCTGAACCTCGTTTACTTGCTTTCCATCGGGTTCACTCATTACATCCTTGCCACGTGCCACGGCGCCCGGGGGAACATGCAACTCTTCTTTCGTGCAGCGACTCTCTTAGATGGGCTCAGATGCATCTCTTTCTTCATCGGTAAGGCACTCGAAATGACCCAGGCCATTTCCGCGGCAACCGCCATCTGTTGGGTACGACCCGTGTTCAACTTCGTGTTCCCTTTTCCTACCATCATGACTTTCATCTGCATCCATCTCGATCGGTTGTTGATGCTAACAAAGCCCCTCCGTTACCATTCACTGGCAACTCCCCAACGAGCCAGGAAGGTCCTCATCTTCATAGCCGTCACAGCCGTCCTGTACATGGTGATCTTCTTACCCATTCCAGGTTTCCCATTCGTTGTTTGCCCCACCCAGCCTCTCAGCACCATCAACGCCACTCTTCAGGACGACATCACTGCTCGATACTATACGCTCGGCAGAAGAAAGGCGCTTGTTTTCGTCATCCCAATTTACTTGGGTATTGTGCTACTAACTTTCAGCGGTGTTTGTATAGGCGTTTTGTCCTTCAGACAAGCAGTACAAATTCGCCGGGAGTTTCGGCAAATAAATTTAGGTCCTGCTTGCGTCCATCGACCGGCCCCTGTATCAAAAGTTAAGGGCGTGGTTACAGTGCTTATAATCACACTGATTTTTTATCTCACTTGGGGTTTCTCGTTTCTACGAATCCAGAACGCAACTCGCTTTAAATTACCCTGGCTAGATTTGCTTACCGGGGTATTGGAGATAATATTGGGTTGGGGTAACATTATGGCGATTATATTGACGAACAGGGATGTGCGCAATCACGCCCGTGTAGTGCTGAATAATATTTTTAATTTAGCTCTGTAATCGAGTCGAATTGCCGAAGAGCATTACACAGAATAACAAAATCAGCTCCTAATAAAATACATTTACATAATAAGTAACAAGAATGTGCGGACGTATAGAGTGATATTGTTTTCTTCTTCAATTCAATGTGGTTTATTAAAAATAAAAGCAGTAGTCGATGTAAAATGATCAGAAAACAGGATCAAAGATTAAAACAAAAGGAAAGTTAATAAGAAGTTAAAGTACATAATCATTACAAATCAAAATAACACTTTTATGCAAGTATAAAGCTTGTGGGTGAAAAGTGCACTAATTTGCAAACGGAAGCAAAAGATTACTCCATTATTTTGCGGAAAATTAGATGAAGTATCATTTTAATGCACTATACGAGAAAACATATTATTAACTAGTTGTTCCAAAACACATCCTAAAAGATTTTTAATATGGCGTCCAAAGAGAACTCACCTTCAATCATTTGTCATGGTTTTAAAAATCGGATGTGTATTTACCAACTACGTCACAGTGAAAAAGATAACCTCAATATACCCGGTGGTCTTAAACCACCCTACTACTGAACACCAACGTGGCGTCCATCCTGGAGAATGTACGCCATTCCCCATGGGGTAATTATTTTAAAAGTAAACACTAAAAGGTGTAAGAAAAACTGTTTTGTTGTTGTTAATGTAATATAATTATTGCTAATATATTTTTTTAGAAGGTAGAAAATTTAACAAAGCTTTCAAACACTAGAAGTGAATAAGACAATCGTTTTACACCGTAGCCGTTAGAGTTTGCCATGTCATACTAACATGCATACTAGACAATGGTGTAGGGAAACTATCACTGTCATAACGACCCTTATACCAACTCGGTGACCCGACCTCCCCATCCTATACTTGAGTGACCTAGGTCAATCTTTATATCACCGAAAATCCTAGAGACGACTTGCAAATACTGGTAAGACGGCATCGTTACCAAGAAAAGTATGAACCGTGTGAAATGGGCGCTTTCGGACAGGGTGGGATTTGTAATTTGTTTAAATATGATTATAGCATTAACAATATAATTTTAGAGTATTTAAAGCGGATTTGTTTTCTTGTCAATAGTCAAGCATGACTTGTTGCCAAACATAAAGGAATAACTGTACCACAACAATTTGACGACCGAAGTGGTTACCATTTTCACGCAATGATATTTAAGGATGACATATCCTGATTTTATGTACACCGTTTTTGCACGTGAAATAAGGGACATCTACAAAAAGTTGAAATATGTTTTGAAGTATAAGTAGTCCTTTTGACAGATGGAAGAAGAAGTTGATGATATCTTTTTTTTTTTAAATGAGTTCTAAGTTGGGCTATCATATAAATCTTTATATATATGTATATATATATATATATATATGGATATGTTTGTGTTTGTGTGTGCGTGTGTAATTGTTAGAATATAATCTATGTAACAGCTTTGTCAGATAGCGTGGAGAAAAATTCAATGCGAAAAAAATGAGAGAATAATGTTTGTGTAGCTTAAATTAAAATTCCCTATTGCTGTCATTCATGTTAGGACATTTTTGAAATAGTAAATTAATATTTGATACAAACTACTATTGGTTTTACTACCTAGTAGTACTCCTACTAATAGTACTTCCTCTCCTGCTACTACTAACACAACCGCTAATTTAAATGTTTCTACTACTACTACTACTACTACTACTACTACTACTACTACTACTACTATAACTAACACATTGACCACTACTACTACTACTACTACTACTACTATTTTTACTTCTACTACTACTTCTACTTCTACTACTACTTCTACTACTACTAACACATTAACCAATATATAGTTATAGTAGTGGCAATGTGGTAGAAGTAGTACAACTACTTCTGCTACGTCGACGTATACTACCACTACTACAAGCATTACAACTGCTACTAATGGTACATTCACTCTGTTTCTACTTCTACTGCTGCTATTATCATTATCAATGCAAATAATATAACTACCGCTAGTAATACCTATGCCGCTACTACTACCATAACAACTACCAGCAATACTACTCTAGTAACACCACTACCTCTTATACTAATACCAATAGTACTACAACAGGTACCATTACCACCACTTCTACTAATACGTCTACTACTACTACTACTACTACTACTACTACTACTACTACTGCTACTACTGCTACTACTACTACTACTACTACTACTATTACTATTTTTTCTTCTACCAAATCTGCTATTGATAATACTACATGTATTTATAATAAAAAAGAACGGAAAGCGTACTTCTCTCATTCATCTATCTCCTTTTTTTTTTCGTTTTGTCGTTTATTTCTCTCTCTCTCTCTCTCTCTCTCTTCTTATTTTTTTTACCCGGCTAGTAAGGATTTTGTTAATTTTCACTTTATTCCGTCAGACGAATTAAATCATTTGAGGCTGTCAGTTCACTTCGGCAAGGTTATCGTCATCAAACATCATTGGCTTCCCCTCCCGTAGTGCTTGAGATAGTCATTACCACTATTATATGGTTGACGGCGGAGAAAAAGTGACGCCTTACTGTAATGTTTTTGGTCAGGTCAATTGTTTATGTTACACCATGAATGACACCAATATTTACAAAAGATCGAGGTTTTTTTTTTTCTTCTTCAATAAAATCATTTCTAGGTGTAATTATTTAGTAATTATTCTTAATTCCAGTGTAGCGATGATATCATACAAAGAATGCGTTCAATCAATCGTCATGTATTATTGCATCAAGTGTTAGATGGTTTCAACTATGCACACTTATTAGCTGCACGACACGTTGACAATTGAAACAGAATGTTTTGAAGGTAATCATAGTGTAATTTAATGGCTAGTATCGGTGGTCACAATTTTCACATTCTGTGTCGCTAAAGAAAAGAAACATTGAGCCACATGCGTGTATTGCGTGTCGAATGAGGTTCCTGGCGTGTGGGTGTTTTTGTTTGTTTGTGTGTATGTGTGTGGTGATGTGGGAGTGGTTACTACGGGGATAAGGGTTGCCATATGCTTTCGGAAAAATATAGGGTAAGGGGGTGGGGTATGTGCGTGTGCATATGTCCTTACAGCACCTTCCCACTCTCTTGTCCCTTTTGCATTTTCTTTGAATGTTTAACTTTTCTCTCTCGACCTATCACCCCAAATAACGAAACAAGAAGGAACTGTAAATAGAACTTAATACTGGACCGGATTTCATGCTTTAACTTATTGGTTATAAAACATGTAATGATGACAATGTTCGAAATTTTGAAATTTCCTTGCAATTATGTTGATGACAGGAAAGAATAAACACATTAAAAAAAAAGAAGAAAAAGTCATAATAAGTAGTTAATCGTGATAAAATATATACACTGTAAATGAAGTCGTATTAAAGATAAAACCAAGTTCAACGAAATGTTTGCACTCGTTTGATTTCAAAGATTACACATACATTAGAACGGAAGACAAAGTCTGTGGCAAGTGATAAGCCGACCACACATTACACGATCCGACTGCGAAATGATTTTCGAAGAATTTGGAATAGCATCTGATACGAACATTAAAACATGTAACAATGACCGATGATTTAAAGGTGTATATGATTAGGTAAATATAGATTTAAAGGGACTTCATGGTTCCTTGAAAGTAGAAAAGCTAAATCGGATCAGAATCTTAGTGAAGGATAACAAGTTAAAATCCCGAATACTGAGCTCAAGCCCAACTTGGTTTCTGTGTGCGTCTTTGCGAGGCCAGGGTGTACGCATCAAGTCTACTTAAAGATGAAGTTGAATTCTGGTCATGCGATTGCATTGTGAAAGAAACGGTTTGGAATCGACCAGAAAAGGTTGATCACCTATAGCATATAAGAATTTGTGTGTATTGCAAGGTTCTGGAATCATCAAAATGATAAGAAATTTGGCCAAGTCTTGGTAAAGTTACAAACACTGTACACAGAAAGATGTATATGGGACTACACGAACACGTGGCGTAAAAATCCTACCCCGGAGTTTTACGATGTTACATGACATATTTAGAATATGAAGGCATTTGAAGAGCCATGCTTTTCAGGGAACATGTCTTATCTGATGTTCTTCCACACTTGCATAATAAGAATGATAACGCTCACAAATTATTGTTCACCTCTTCCCAGAACTCAACCTTCTCTTTAACATAATAGTCCATATGCTTACCACTGACGTTAAATGTACTATAAGTTATACTAAAAACCCCGCTTTGTAGACGTAATATTTGAAGGTCATATTTTGAAGGCAGTATAGGAAATTGGAAGCCCTAACTTCAAGAGCAAAGAATGTTTCGGGATTGGTACGCTTTAGCGAGAGAGGTTAAGAATCGCAAAGGGGAGCAAACAAGAAAGAGAGAGAGAGAGAGAGAGAGAGGGGGGAGGGGGAGAAAGGTAAATGAAGAAGTAAGATAAAGAGAGAGAGTGATAAATTTAAAGGAGACATTAAGAAATATAGAGAGAGGGCATAAACAGAGGGAGAGACAGAGAGAGAGAGAGAAAGGAAAGAGTGGGGATGTGAAAGGGA